ATAACGTAACATTAAAAATTGTCCGCGATTAAAGTAATCATTCATCTGGCTCAATACGTCGAAGCTTAAATTTAACGTATGTCTCAAAGTATTCTAATAAATTATACCGACTCGTGATTTTTCGCACCATCCAGTCCCGACCCGGCATACGCTGATCTCGTGCAGGCTTGTATTTTATTAAACTGCGATACAATATCGTGATCTGTCATTTGTCAAGTAAGTAGCATAATTAATCAGTCTTTCTTTAAAGATGTTGTGCACATGCTTACGTTTTGTAACGTAAACATAATTCTTCATCAATATTAATTACCTCTTTGATTTTGTACGATTATAAATAGAGGCACAGGATTTGAATTTCTTCAAATTCCTCATTTGTCTGGCCCTCATTAGTTTGATTTCATCTGGTTCTTAAAACCAGATGAATTTGTACGGGTCAGACGAATTAGATTCAATTCAAATATCATATAAATCGGTACAGAATTGAGATTTTGTGTTCCAGATTTTTTGAATATCTTTAAGCTGTACATTGCTAAAATTTATAAAGTCTGTTGTCTTAAAAAGGTACAAATTGGGCTATGCATTTTGATCCCATTTTCTTATCTTCAGATTTGTATTTTGAAAATGGCAAAATCAAAGAAAGGGACATGAGAAGAAAGGCTTAGAAAAAAGGTGCTAACAGAGAAAAAGAGATATGAAAGAATAAAAAATAATGATGCCTTATCGAACGAAAAACAAGAGAAGAATAAGCAAAACTACATACGTAGAAAGGAGAAAAAGAAACAACTACCTATAAGTGAAGTGAATCCTGGACAACAAAGGTTACAAAGAAAGAGGTGGAGAAAGAACTACAAGTCATATTACCTAAGAAAAAAGAACAACAGCCCTACTAGTACAAAATACCCCAACACAAAGTCCCACCATTAAGTCTGATACTGAACTGATAGTTTTACGGAAAAATTTTTATGGAAAATTTTGAAGCAAACTGAATGCAATGCAATTCAGTGTTCGTGCAGTGGTAATATAGCTGCTCAACGAAAAGCTTTCAGAAACTTAAAATAACGTTTTCAAGGTAGAAAATAACACACTTACAAGAGGGTGAGTGTATTATTCACATTGATTATAGGGAAAATTATGCACTTAATTGTAATGAAGAAATACAGTCCTACCATTTCGGTGGTAGTCGTAAACAATTAACTTTACATACTATATATTTTCTGAATAATGAGAAGATACAGCAAATATAATTCTTTTGTACGGTGAGTGAATGCCTGTGCCATGATATTTTAGCCGTATGGGCTCACATCGTGTCAATCCTCGAATACATAGGTGTAACAACGACATACATTCACATTGTACATTCAGTCAGTATCGTAACAAAAAGATATGCTTGAGCTCTATCATAACCATTACGTTTAACTATACTGAACCTGGTCATTTAAAGGGAGCCCCAGACGGAGTAGGTGCTGTTATAAGAAAACTGCGGATTGAGCGGTCTCCCAAAGACAAGACATAAGGGGTCTAGATGATTTTTTGATATTATGGATCATTATATAGAGAAAATGAAAGTGAAAACTACTTCCGAATATGACATAAGTAAAAAGGGCTTGCTTTTCCCACCTAATTTTAAAAGATTTTCCAGGATGCATCAAAATGCATCAAATTGTCTGGAACTTGAACTCTCCTATGGTAACCGTTGAAAAAATAAAAACAAACTGAGTTGTACTGATAAATATCATATTGTTAATTGCAACCACATGAAGCAACTTGGTTTTTATCTCTTTGAAAACGGATGTCAGAAATCTTTAATGGTCACCCCCTAGCTAATACAAATAACAATGCAGGGATATCGGTGAACCCTTTTGGACAGTAAATAATGAAAAAGACGTAAACGAAGAAATAATTCGAGAGTCTATTAGAACCAAAGGTATACATTAAAGAAAAGGGCACAAGTTTGTCACCAAAGAAAGGTAGAAGCAAATATTTAACACCAAATATTTACCAAAAATATACTTTTACAGAAGAAAAAGGAAGAAGGAAGGATAAAGAACAATGTTAGCAAAAGCTCATTCTTCTGCCTTACTCATCATTCATCTGGCTGCTTCATTCATCAAGATAACCTAATTCATTAACTACTGGAAGCAAATCAGTGCCTTCAATATAAAATTATTACATTTTACGACCAGGATAAACTAATATTATAATTTACACCAAATAACAAAAAACATTTGAAGTCAGATGAATTAGTCGAAAACTCTCGTTTTCAAAGAATCACCCTATAACGGTATACATTGTGCAAAATAAAGCAGCGTATTGTATAGTACCCAATTCTATTTGAAAGTTATATCGATGTTATAAGGTAATCGATTTTTGCCTATTTTTTATTTATAAACTACAAGGGTCCAATTTAAATAATTAATTCGTGCCCTATGAGCTGGTGCAGAGTCCTGTTGGAATATCAAATGTCTGTTCTTGAATATTTTTTGAGAAAGAGGTTCCACTATGCTTGTTAGGACAGTATTTTGGTACACCTCGGCACTGGTATTTACACATTTTTCACAGAAAAACACCTCAGTTAAGTCTGAATATGAGACTCCAAGCCAAACCATGAGTGGCGAAGGATAATATTCTCGTTGAACCCTCTGAGTACGCGTGCTGGCTTCTTCACTGCTGTGGGCATACACCTTCTTATCATTTTGTTTGTTATAACTTTCTTCGATGTTAAAAAAAAAAATTCATCCGCAAACAAAATTTTGCGCTATTTTTTTCCCGCGTACCGCCGTAATAAAGCGCGGGATCAATCTAGCCTAACATTTGACAGACGCTCGTTCAAAAAATGGCTGGTCTTCTTAAGATATGCTCGTAGTCCTAGGTCTTCATTGATCAGTCTTTTGACCGTGGTTCTGCTTAGGCAAATCTGAAGAGCTAAGATTGTTTGTTTATGAATAGAATTTCGTTGCATTCACGCCTTCACTGCTTTGGTGATCGCGGGTGTCCTAACTGTACGAGGTTGGCCGGTCCTCTTACGATCTTCGAAGCTTGAATCTTTAGTAAATCGTTTGATAGTACGATAAACAAATTGTGGGGTTATTTTCAATTTTTGTAGAATATTATCTTTAAATTAAATCGTGTGAGTACGCTTGTGCAAAATTATTGCGGAATGATTAATGTGAAACGTCAAAAGGTATTTCTTAGATTTGGTTGACTATAGTGATGTACATTTTCCTTAAAAGGTCTATCGCATGTTAAGGGAATTGTAAAAAGATTTAAAGAAATAGTTTTGTGCACGAACTTTTCCGATTTAAATATGAAAGAAAACCTTAGTTATCAATCATTTTAAAATGTTTTGATGGTGCGATTCTTTTCTTTATTAACTGGCTTTACGGCTCTGGTTTCTAGACCTTCTGAGCCTACCCTTTCTTTTGGAATCTTCATTTTATGTTCTTTTTCTTCACAATATGCTGATGCGTCATATTGCGAAGCCCTTTGGAGATTTTGACGACAGCCACTCAAGATCATAAGGCGCCCAAGCGATCAAAATAACTTGAGGTTTATATCGACATCAAAGCACTTCTTTCGTCGTTTTCTCTAATAGTTCACACGCGCGGACACTTTTACGAATCAAAATCCACTTCAAACCATTATTCAAACGATAAAACAGGAGCGACAATCCGTCTACGGCCAAGTTCCCGCCAAAACTCTTTTGATGGTGCAATAAAATACGGAGACACGGAGTGCATAATGCCTACGTGCGTTGGGCATTTAATTTCATTCCTCTTTTTGTTGTGTGGGTAAGTCTATCAACTTTTTATAGACATTCAAGATAAATATCGATATTAATATTGATATAATTGAGTCAATCCGTAGCGTACATGTAAATTTTTTCATTACAAATTATCAACAACGTGACTTTTTTCTTTGCAAAATATCAAAATTAACAAATTAATTGAAAACATTCCATATTTGTAACAGTAGGTATATAATATAAATTTTAACAAAAATATTATACATCATAGCGGTATCGACGTCTTGCTAATTTACTTGTTAAATGTGTAACTATCAGGATTATTTCTATTATTGATTTTGTTTTTATTTTCTGTGAAAAAAATATTATTGATACCACTCTCCACCACTCACTCGCAGAACATGTAACTTTTTTGGAAAACAATTAATTACAAAAATTTACCACAATTATAGTCAAAAATTACAAAAAATATAGCTTATTTCTTGCGTGCCGACTTGCATTACAGTCATAGAGTAGAGTAATATATACAGAAATGGTTAGTCATGATATTTGCTATCCTTTTCTATCTAAGGATTTTTTTCCCTTCCAGACTATGGCCATGTATATATTCGAAGTCTATGGTGTACCAGCTTGCTAATATTTATTTATCTGGTGTACGCACTGCTGATTGTAGGATCTTTATAGTGTACATTTTGAGTACTTATTGTATAAATATGTGTTTTTATGGATGAGAGATTAAATTTGTGTTTTCATAAAATTAATTATAACAAAAAATTAACATAGTAATGAGAAGTCCTGTTGCAGTTACGATTTTTAATGATTTGTCTATGAACAGCAACGTCAAATAAAAAGAATAGAGTTTAGAATTTAGTGAAAACCATAGACTTGACAATATAAATAAAAAAAAAATATGGGAGAAGAGAAACTATGCCGTCAATCCGTCAACGTCACTGATCGTTCGATTTCGATTTAACGCTTTCCGTTTTTGTAATTATCTTCAAACCTACTAGTGATATTAACGCTTGTTTATTTTTGTGTAACATGTGGTAATAGGAAATATTAGTTAGCAATAAAACTGAGAATATGCCTTTATGACGCTCTATAACAATAAGGTAGATTCAATATACTTCAGCATAAAAATAAACGAGCATTCATTTGCGTCACAAACAAAAGGTGTTCTATTTTGTTTACTATTTTCAGGGAGACTAAAATGTCTAAGGCGGTGATTATTCCGGGATGCAATAAAGACATTGGGGGCATGAAAGAAGAAATATCGCTATCACCGCCTGACAAAAAGGATGGGGCTATTGGTTTATTTAGTCGACTTTTGCGCCTGGATACCCTGAGCAAAAAACATAGTGCACCTGATAGTGCTATTGCTTCCGAACCACATACAATATATTATGGAGTCTACATACCTTGCGAAATTAAAAAAGGTCCTGATGAAGGTATGTTTTGACCCATTATATTTTATTATGTATGTTCATTATTATTTAAAAAAAAAAAGATGCATTTTGATGAGTTCTGACAACAAATCATAAATTAAATTTATAACTCCAAAAGTAGATAATAATTTGTGATATTGTCTAGTCTTAATAAATTTCAATTTTTATCATGCATATCTCTTTAAAGATTGTCTTTCCAATTTAGGTCAAAAGAATTTTCATTGCAAGGCACATTATTTTTATGTAAAAAAATATTATACATATTTTAAGAATTATTAAAGGATAATATATAAAATCTACTGTAAATGTCAACATCTGCTAGGCCAGCTAGTCATAATATATAAGATTTATAAGCTATTTATGTGAAGTCTCAATGAAAGTACTTTGTTTTTTTTTTTAATTGATCTACTCTGTTTTTATGAGTGACAAATAAGCTTATCACCATGTCCAACCACAATAGAAATTATAACAGTATATTGTGTTGAACAAAACTACTTTTGTGGATTTTATCAAGCTTAATTTACTTAATTTTAATTTTCAACTTACTAGGATTTATTTGTGCTTACTGCATTCTGCATAGATAGGAGCAATAGTAACAATTAAAAGCTGAAGGCTTTCTGGGTTACCTTATTCATTGAGATGTTAATTACCTCAATCCCCTGTGACCATAGGTGCTGTAAAGCACCAGAAATGTCGGGAATTGAATTTAAGTAAATTAAACGCAATAAAATTGGTAAAAGAATTTTTATTCCATGTGAAGTGTTTGTGTAAATATAAGAAATCATTAAGTATATTATGTTATATTTTTAAAGAGAAATAATTTTCTAAAATTTAATAAGCAATTTGTATTGAGTACCAGTGATCAATAATAACAATTATTTGAGATTGTTTGTAATAAAAAAATTATAATATTTTTTTAAATTTAGTTGTTATGGAATATTTGCATTGCTGTTAACACTACTCTTACTTGCAACAGCAATAGAATGGTGGATTCCAACCTCAGCTTTTGAGTTTTGCAGCATTTACCCTTAACCCTTATTTACTGTTGTTTTTATTGCATGATATAATAATAAAATTTCCTCAGTTGTAATGTAATATTTATGCTTGGTATTTGATGGATAATATTAAGGGGTTGATTTAATATTCCTGCAGAATGAAGAGTGAGGTTGGTACCCATTCCCTGAGGACACATAGCTTTTTCTATTAGCCCATTTGATAGGGGGTTAAAGGAGGGTTTCATCTTCCTTCCTCATGTTTCCACATAAAAAGCCTCTATGATGTGCATCAATATTATTGTACAGTGATTATAAATAAAATTAAATAATAATAAAATATTTACTATCTCAATTAACCTCAATTTTTTAATAAAAATTTCTTGAAAACTACACAATCGCAGATGCACCACAGCATTATTGTATATCAATTAAGACCAAAATCAACAAAATCATCTTACAGGATAACAGAGCCAATCCAATATCAAGCCCAGATGCCTCTGGCCTCTACTCTCTCTCTCTCTCTACTATACTTTTCATTACCAGTTTGGATATTATAAAAACATTAATGTTCTGGCCAATTCTGCGCATGGAGATAACTTCTGAATACTGTCTCTAGCAATCCGTTGCATTGGTATTAAAACATTTATTAGTACGAGGGTGACACTGAAAGTTTTTAGAACTGGCCACTTGTAAATGATATAATAAAAAATAAGTTCAAATTTTGGAAATTTAACTCATAGCCAATATTATTGTGTATGTATTTTATTAATTTGTCATTTGTTTACAATTTGGCGGCAAATTGAAAATTGTCTGTGTCACATCAGCGTGAATTTAACACAAGAAAGTTTTCGTACAATGATGTTTTATGACTTTCTATGTCATTTAAGTCAACAAGAAAGTTATGATAGATTTCGATGGGCTTTTCATGATGAAGCCCCATCTCATGCCACTGTTAACAACCGGTTCAATGAGTTTAAACATGGTCGCACTAATCTCACTGATCTGCGTGTGGGAGTGTGACAACTGTGACTTCTACAGTGACAACTAAAGATAACATTAGTGTTGTGCGGTATGTGATAGAGACTGACAAGAGTTACTTATCAGCAGATTCGGATAAGCTTAGGCATCAGAATGAGTCAAGCGTACAAAATACTCCATGAAAATTTAGTGGTCAGGAAGCTTTATGCCCAGTGGATACCTCATAATTTGACAGAGGCCCAAAACTCCGTTGTGTTGATTAGTGTCATGAAATGGTTTAAAGATTTAATGGAGGTGACTCAAATGCTGTGTTCGACATACTTAAGGCTGATGAAAGCGGCATTTATTATGATCCTGAAACTATGAGACAGTCTGCTGTCTGGGTGTTTCCTTCCGAGGAGTTGCCAACTAAAGTGAAGAGGTCGAAGCTTGGGAAAAAGATGGTGGCATCATTCTTCAGAAGAATAGGTTGTCAGTCATCACGCAACAAATGTTTGCCACTTGTCTTTGAAAAAGTTCGGGAGAAACAACCTTACAGTAAGATCCTCCTTCACCATGATAACTCCTCGTTGCACACCGAAAAGCAAACAATTGGCTACTTGCAATGTCAGACGTGGAATTACTAGGTCACCCACCCTATAGCCCTGACCTCGCACCTTGCGATTTTTATTTATTTCCAATAATAAAAAAAAATTCAAGGTAAACTTATGGGCGCAGGGGAAGCATTGGCTGCGTTTCAAAATTCTGTCAAAAAGAGCCCTAAAGACGAGTGGGCAAAGTACTTATCTCAGTGGTTCCATCACATGCAGCAATGTATCAATACATGTTTTATGATTTTCTAAGAACTTTCAGTGTCGCCATCTTACCACAAGTGCATGTTTAATTATTTCTAGTTAATTTAGAAATTACAAAAGTGTACCTGCCAAATTAAATATAACCGTGAATGATATAGCAGTCGAAGAAGTAATGAACATAAATTTTCTAAAATAATTAAAAAGATATCTATGTGCATGTTACGGATTGTCCATCCTGGCAGAGACTACAAATATAAGTGTTACTAGAAATGCCTATTTTGGAAATGTTTATCCACTTCTAACTTACGATATCATATACTGGGGAAACTCAACAGATATATAATCCACATTCGTTCTCCAGAAAAATTGTCTTAGAACAATATATAACATGCATAGTACCGAATCATTAAGAGATGTTGTCAGAACAAAGGGTTTCCTAACATTGACTGGAATCTATCCTGGAATGTCTATTTGTTAAAAACAATATGCAATATTTTAATTTGAAATCTGATAAATATGATATAAGCTTGCCTATTATTAAAAATATGATTTACTATAAAAGTACCTATATTACTGCTATTTGTGTATACAATCAGTTACCACCAGCTATTAAACAATTAAATGGAAATATGTTCAAAACAAAATTAAAGAAATTGTTAATTTAAAAAGTTTTTTACAATCAATGAGTTGTTAATAAAATTAATGGGTGGAAAACCGGTACTTGAAGTCCTTCAGAAGTTCTTTAATTCCGTTCTCCATGGTGGCACTACGGAGGTGTGAAGCAGAAGTTTGGTGGTTTTGTTCTTCAAGAGAATCGTCTCGCACGCAGATTCAACAACTTCCAGCCTCCCAAGCCCCCATAGACCACATACATATCCTACGGCAGATTGTACAGAAGACCGAAGAGTATAATTGTCACCTTGCCTGGCGTATGTGAACTATGAGAAAGGCTTTGATTCCGTCGAAATTTGGGCGGTGCTACAGTCCCTTCAGCGGTGCAAAGTTGACTGTCTATATATCGAACTACTGAAGTGCTACGATGACTATCCAAGTACAGAACGAGAGTTTGAAACCTATCCAACTGCAGAGAGGTGTATAACAGGGTGACGTTATATCTCTGAAACTTCACCGCTGCATTGGAAGATCTTTTCAAGCTACTGGACTGGAAAGAATACGGTATTAACATCAATGGCGAGTACATCACTCACCTTCGATTTGCCGACGATATAGTCCTTATGGCAGAATCGCTGGAGGACTTAAGCACTATGCTCAATAACCTCAATTGTGCCTCCCAACGGATGGGATGTCTCCCAAAAGGTAGATCTTAAGATGAACAGGGACAAAACAAAGATTCCTGTTTAACGTCCACGCCACGCCTATGCCTGTAGTTGTTGGGAGCACTAAGCTCAAAGTTGTTGACGAGTGAGTTTACCTGAGACAAAAAGTCCGACTAAGTAACTTGGACCGAGAGGTCAATCGACGGATTGAACTCTGCTGGGCAGCGTTCGGGAAATTACGACACATACGAGAAAGTTGACGATTGAGCTTTTCTTTAAAACTGAGCGGCGATGGATCAGAGCTATCGCACGGAGTTTCTGAAATAGAGTATATATTAGTCTAAGTGGTCATGCAATCGTCAACGTCAAGGGTTGATAGGTCAAATTTTTTATTTCATCATACATAGGTTTTGTTCGTATTGTTTTTAGCCTCATTTAAAAATTGATTAGGATTGGGTAATTATTGTAAGGCACCAACAATATTATAGAGTCGCCTCTCTTTAATTCTCCGTTTCAATGACTTTGTCAGTTGTCTGGCAGACATCGTGTCTCTTGGCTGTCTAATGATTTTATCATAAATTTATGAGCTGTATATCTAATCCTACCAATTCAAATATTGCTCGAATTTGCGTATTAGAGTAGGTAACACATAACTACTCATTAGTTATAATGAACATTTTTGGATAAATGTAAAATATTATCCATTGTACTCAATTTTCATAATTACTTAAAAACCAGATTTACAAAACTCTGAAAAATCCGGATTTTTCGATTATTTTCGAATTGCGAAGAATCCGGATTGCAATTACTACCCAGAGCCCATATATAGGTCTCCTCCATAGATCGCTTTACAGTGATCCCCACATTGTCTGCAGGTGGGTTGACTACTGTAGTTTTTTATTTTTAGTTTTAAGAAGATCCTGCTGTCTACCACCTCCTTATTTCTTTCCCTTTGTCACCTCTTGCAAAACCCATGGGATGATATCAGGCAGTGGATATTCTCACACACCCACTAGCCCGTCATTTATTGGTGTATTAACATATTCAGTTAACTGTTACATTTGATTTTCCTTACTTTACCCTATAGTGAAATCTCATGACAAAATAGGATGATGGGCTGTATGATACTATGCATTACACTCTTGCTATGAAGCATATTATTTACCAACTAGACCTATTTCATCTACAAATAGAATTGGCTAGAATTCTTCTACAAATAGGAGGCAATTAGGTCATCATAAAATTCAGCTGCCAATAAACTGTCACTACTGCAAATGGACAGTTCTTCATCATCATCATCATCACAACCTACAACGGTCCACTGCTGAACATAGGCCTCACCCATAGATTGCCTCTTAGGGGGGATTTTGCCATCGTTGACAAAGTTGGCGAGCAGGTTGTCAACCGCAGTTTTTTATTGTTTTGAGTTATCAGGAAAATGCTGCTACCCATCACCTGTTTCAATTTCCCTCTGTTGCCTCTTCTGACACCTACGAGACAATACGGGGTAGTGGATATTCTTACACCGCCACTACACAGTTAAGTAAGATTCAGCTGCCAATAAACAGTCGCTGCTGCAAATAGACGGTTATCATAGAAGAAAGTATTTTTCATACTTGCTATGATAGTAATGTAGTTCACCTAAGTGTGTCTAAGATCAGAGTCTGTCTTAGTGGATTCTCGATTGTAGTCCCTGAAAAAGTGCATCTTTGATAGTTGTCATTTTACTCTGCACTTGGCTACTTTTACATTCACACATGACAAATATGGCATCAAAAAGTCCCCAAAATTATGTAGAGTGGTGTATCTTCATATGCAAAAAAGTTTTGAAATTGACTTTGATATCATCAAAGTGACTATCTCTTACCAAATAATGAAATATTTTATTTCATACAGATGTTTAAAACTTATTTTGCTACTATACTTATTACTTAAGGAATAACTTTATTGGGGTAGTTATGTCACTAAAACAAATTTAGTTTAGTTTACGACAGGCTGTTTTCCGTACCTCCCAAGTCAAGGTGCTTATTTTGCGTGAATAAAAAATAAATGTAAAAGGAGACCATGTTCTGTACATATCCTTACATTTATCTAAATAAATACTTGACCTCCAACGTCTAATTCACGTTTACACTTAACTGTTTACTTTTTTAATTTAAAGTATATGATTTAAATAGATATTGACAAATTTATTGGTAAGTACTTACTTGGAACGAACTGCACCAATAATTTTGTTGACATCAAATATCGATAATTTTTGATTTTCAAATGATTTACTTTGATACAAATTTTAAAGCTTCTAAGTAACCCATAAGTGGCTGTAGATCAAATTGATTTCTAGTTATGGGGGTTCAAAAGTGGCTTAAAAGTTTGTAATTAAGTGATTCTCAAATCAATTATAAGTAAATTTATTTTTTACAGAAGCTTTACATGTATATAAGAATAAATCTGAAGCGTTGGAGCTTGTGCGGCGGTATAAGTCAGCAAGATTCAAGATGTTCAGGAGTCATCAAGATGCAGTTTCCTTTGCATTGAGAGGTGCTGAACCAACAGATGCACATGATGGAAACAGTAACTGTGAGTAGGCTTTTGTATAATTATCATAATTTTTTTTTATGCCATTACATTTTACATTCATCCTACTGCAATATTAAAAAAATATTTTATCATTGAAGGCTCTCTCTTCATAATGGTTGTTTATAGAAAGAAAAACCAACCACCTACGAATGGAAAAGAAAATGAACATGGGCATACAAATGCACTCACACACAGGCACACAAACATGCCCAAACACATGTACAAAAGCACGCACATACGCACGCACACTCATGAATTCACAACATTTGCGCATCTCGTGATGTACATTGCCAAGATGAACATGAGATTGAAGTATTCTATTTCTCAAATGCTATAATTGTGCGTAATCTAGTTGAATTGATACTTCAGTAACGAGAGCAACAACCTATGTTATTATCAGAATTATTGTTTATGAGTGCCGCCCCAGTACCCAACATAAAGATGGTATCACACTTTAAATCTGTTTCTATTTTTCTATTTCTATTTACGACCTCATATAGTGATTTAACATAAAACTCTGTCCATTATACCAATATACAATCCTCCCAGTATTGAAATTAGATCTGTGCCCAGAAATGGCATGTATTTTGGCAGTAATTTGTACACCAAGCCTAATATCATAAAGACGTCAAATTATGTAGATACGTCACGCAGCAAGGTCGTATCGCCAATTTAGCTTAAATAAGCGAGAACTATCATGTTGCGTGAATATATTAGATATATGTATTAATGTATTTGAGCCAACATTTAATTACAAATTTTTAATAATGTATTTATTGTATCTATGTGTATATAAAAATTGTTATTAAACAAATACAAATTCAGTTACGCTAATTTTGAATATTAATTAATTTTATAATCTTCTGACAACTACGTGGCACAGTGGCTCAGCAATAGGTTGAGGGGCTGAGGGCCGTGGGTTCGAATCCCGCTCGGAGCAAATATTTGTATGGCCTACAAATAGTTCTGAGTCTGAATGTTTGTCCTTGTGCAATGTATGCATATAAACTGCCTACACAAAGGCGAAAATCCTAGTGTTGGACTAACGTTTTTATAAAAAATATAAGAAAATACGATATATTTTTATCTATACTATACTGTATAATATAATATTATAAAATGAAAATTTTTTGAGTGAGTATATGTACAGAGTAATCTCCGGAACTACTGTACCTATTTGAAAAATTCTTTCTTTATTTGAAAAGTACATTATTCCTGACGGAAATTGGTTATATTATGTACTCGTATGTATATATGTTGTATATCCATGAAGTTTTAAAATAAATTACACCTTTCTAATATTTAAGACAAATAATTAATCAACACGAGCAAAAAGCTGGGGTGGACCTTGAGTATTTTATAATTCCATTTAAATTAAAAAATTGTTTTGAAATTTCTTCATCAATATTCATATTATTAAAATCTGTCATGAGTTGTGAGTTATGTCATGAGTTATGGCCACTGATAAAACTTAGTATGGCAATCAAACATGCCAAATATAAAACTGCTTACTAAGAGTAGCAACTATGAAGCAATGATTTATATGTGGTAGAGCCACACTGCAGCTATATTATAGTTGTAACACAAATGGGTCAGCTCGACCAGTAAGGCTAAGGTTGTTGATGGTGACTGTAGAGAACCGAAGATCGTTTTTACTGGAATCAAGGCAGATACATCTAGATGTCTATGGGTCACAGAATCCACTTACTATCACGTATATACATGATATATATACGTGAAATTGTTTGTTACCCTTAAGCTATAAAAAAAATTGGTTTGTTAGGGGCTGATGAAGGAGAAAGATTCTTTTAATATTTTAGTGTCAGTCAAAATAAAAGATGTTGTAAATTGTAAAACATGATTCCCAATTCAACTTATCTTATAGAGGTTGAAACACTCAAGGCACATTCTATTGTTGTAACCGTTACACAATTTGCATAAATGTTTATTTCATGATTGTTTTTTGTTCACTAAATACATTTGAATCAAACCGTAAACCTCAATTTATGCTTCTTTGTAAAAAATACTATACATGTTTTGGAATAATGATTTTAGGCTCAATAAACAGTATAATTTATACTTGTGATTGTGACTACTTAGTGAATCTTCATCTTCATTTAAAAAGGATTAAGACATGTATGGATTATTTCACTTACATTTTGATATATTGACTATAAAACCGACCCGACACGCTTTACGGCATCATCAGGCTATATTATATCATTAAAAACTGTTGACTAGCAAACATTTTACAGCAAACATTCTGTGTGCACTATAAAACTTGTATATCTTTCTATTTTGAGCATGCATCGTATTCAATGAAATTATTTTTCGTTTTGCGTCCATCTCTTCATGTGAATGTCTTAATATTATACTTATTTGACACCATCACACTTATTTACGAAAAATTTCGAGATCGAAATTTCGAGAGATTTTTTTTTTATAGCATTGGGCTTCGATCAACAATACCAACTAGATGTCGGGTCGGCGCAAGATATACATCTCGGTAAATATGAGCGCACATGAGACGTGAGCTCTTGCACGTGAGAGTGTAGCTCGGAAGGCAATAACGGGAAAAAGAACTTTATTTGTTATAATTTAAGGTTGATTTCACACTAAATGTTATTTAATTTATGTCTTTTCATAGTTTATATTCACGCGGACAGTATTTAGCTATGATTTTGTACGTGACCCGTTATCTAGTTGGTATTGTTGATCGAAGGCATTGGGTGACTTACGAGCGCACAGTCCACCTGATGGTAAATGGATGCTGTTACCAATAGACATACACATTTATCCTCGATTAAGAATCAAAATACAAATGCGTTGTCACCCCTGAGGACTTAAATGCAATGCCTGGATTCCACTAAAAAGGTTTCCGATTCTCTAAACTCACCATACAAAACACAGCAGCAGCAAACGCGTTGCTTATTTTACGCTGGTATTCTGTGAGAGTGTGGTCCCCACATGGTTACTGAAGCACTTTGACGCCCTGATGACATAAAGATAACACAATTGGTAATAATCTAGTTCTACATCAGAATAACCATAAAGTACATTTGATAACTAAAAATGGGATTGTAGTCAAATTTTATCCCTGGCTGGCTTTGTTCAGATTTATTCAAAATACTATTCATATACAAAGGTCTAAGAAATTAATATGTACAATGAATATTGGATGATTAATAATAAAGAAGACTGATTTATTCAATTTTATTGTTATATTATTAGAATTTAAGTAGATTTTATGGTAAGTGATAAAAAACATTGTTTTACTTTTTAAAAAAATTGTCATGCTTTTTCCAAATTGCACTAAGAAAAAGTTATGGGTGTCCAGCCATTTTACCAATATGTCCGGCTAAGCTCGCTGGTCTGTCAGGCTTTTTGATTTTAAGACCTGGCCTTAGTTACAACCGATGGCCAATGTCTGCAACATTTAACTATAGGGCTCAATTCACGGTCCTTTTCACTTTCTTGTATATGTTAATGACTTACCTTACATAGTAGGGGATAATCATGATATAGTATTATTTGATGATGATACTTTAGTAATTTTCAAATTAAAACGACAGTTATAAAAACATAACAAAGTAAATAATGCTAGATCTAAATTAGTAAATTGGTTTAGTGTTAGTAATTTGCATTTAAATGGCACTAAAATTAATTGTATCTACAAATGTCAAACATCTAAATGTATGTGTGTTACTTTAAATGGGGTATAAAATAATAATATCTTACCTTGGTCAAGTATGTATCAAATTTGGTTTTTAGAATATTTTGTATTTCTATAGCGATCGATATTTTTCATCACGAGCCGTTGTAAACAAACGATACAGTTGCGAACCCACTCTCAACAGTGTGGCAAAAGTACTCGGTATCCGCAGTGAGTCAAAGTGTATCTGTATTTAGTAAAATATATTATTACAAGGCTGCTCACACACTGAAAATTTATAACTAAACAAATCATAATTAAACAGCATATTCCATGGCTTTCCACGTGATAGATAAAGAGATTAAAAAAATAGATCGAGTTGAACAATTGATATTTTCAAAAGTTCCCTCTATGCGGACTTGTTAAATCTACACCATAAGCCACTAAACCCACTTTTTATAAGTTCAACAATCATTTATCTTTCTAACAATGTGCTTTTTATATCATTTATATGTTCAGTGTAATTGTTAGATACAATTTCGTGCAACAAAACATTGGATTCTTGATTTTTAGGCGCTGGTATAACATACCTACGCGCCTTGCGCTTAAGGCATGCAAAAAAGTGACTTTCAATAAGTATTATTTATGATCTATACTGAAGAAAAAAGTTTCTGTCTGTTTATAATGGTTCGATCCGGCGATCTGTCTACGAGCTCTTAAGGGTACACTAGTCGCTTATTCTTCCATACAAACGTAGTCCGGCGATAACTCCACTGTTTGATGGTGTACGTTCAAAATAAAAAATGATTTCAATTTGTCTCATCATTATCTAGCCCTGTATGGAAACAAAAAAGTAAAAAAAGAGTATATTTAAAAGTTATAAGCGTCGAAAATTCCGAATTTCAACACTATTTTTAACACATCTTTGGGCGGAAATAAATACCATAAGAAGAACGAAAATTGCAAAACAGTTACCATACAGGGATAGATTAGTTGTTCAAAAATGCAAATAATTTTATTTTAAACAGATACATTCAATAGATTTTTCGTGACATCCAGACTACCAAAGGTCTGTTTATAAAATTTCGCGCGCCCGTTTTTGTTATAAAACATCTTGCCTTTCGCTACAAATTGTTTCCCCGATCAGTGGGACGGACGGAGGGGGGGGGGGCGCAGCGCGCACTCACACATACTCACTAGGTTAGCCGCTGCTATCTATTTTTGGTTGTAATACCTACATATCTACATCTTTATTTAGAAAAATTGCTTCCTTTTTTTGTTCGTGTCCATTGCTGAAGCCGGTATGAATATAGCTGCTAAAATGTTCCCATAAGTTTGTTGAAGCACATTTAGTTAAAATTGAAAACAAGTTGGTACATAATAATGAACTTTCGATACAGATAGTACATTAGGTACTTTACTACTTTAATTTGCTAACTAACGAAAACATCTCATAGATAAGCACGATTATCGAAAATCTTAAAATTATCTATTAATTGAATTAGAATAGGTAATTTTTAGATTTTCGATAATCGTGTTTACGTATAGGAATCTCATATCCTAATATACCTATTGTTGAAATTAAAGAATTTTCTACTAGAAAAAGAAACGTGTATTTTTGGCTTTTTTGATCGATAGTAATATGTATAGGTATTTCAATCTTGTATTCTCGGAAGCTCGGAAGTCCGATTCGCACTTGGCAAAATATTTGTTTATATTTAACCTTACCTCAGACATACTCATATTTTTTATATATAATTTACTATACTACTATATAAGCTACTACTAAAAAAATAGTAGTAGCTTTGCTATGGTATTATAGTACCTATATTTTGGATTAGATTTAATTTATTACAGAGCCGTGGTAGCTCAGTGGTTAACGCTCGCTGTAAATATAACAGAACGCGAGTAACCCGGGTTCGATCCCCGCCGGCACCAATGAAATTGTTAATTGCAATTTTAAGTGCTGATTTACCACGTGCTCGGCGGTGAAGGAAAACATCGTGAGGAAACCTGCATGTCTGAGGAATAAGAAAAAAATATTTCGAAGACATGTGAAGTTCGTCAACACGCATTTGGGCAGCGCGGCGGACACTTCCTTGCCCTAAACCTTCTCAGAAATGAGGGGGAGGCCTGAGCCCATCAGTGGGACGTATATAGGCTGTAACTTTACTTTACTTTTTTTACAAATTAAATACTAATCACTTTTATACAGTAGGTTATGCTGATGACCTGACTATACTGGTCTCGGGAAAGACAGCTAGCATAGTGTGCGACCTGACCCAAGCGGCTCTCCGTATAGTGGAGAGATGGTGCAGGGAATACGACTTAACCGTCAACCCAAATAAAACGGTTTTAGTAATGTTCACACAAAAACGAATGCTGAATAACTATCATCTTCCAAGTCTTTTCAGCACAAAACTCCAGCTATCCTCTGAGGTAAAATATTTAGGTCTTACCTTGGACAGCAAACTTAACTGGAATAAACACATAGAAAACAAAATCAACAAAGCTAGTATAACTTTCTGGCAATGCAGAAACATGATTGGCAAAAGATGGGGACTGACGCCAAAAATCATACAGTGGCTTTACAAAACTGTAATCCGGCCCATGATCGCATACGGCGCTCTGGTATGGTGGACCAAGACCAATGAAGCCACCACAATTAAGAAGCTTCAGCGCTACCAGAGACTGGCATGTATGGCTGCCACAGGCTGCATAAGAACTACGCCAACAGCAGCCTTGGAAGCGATGCTGGAGCTAACTCCGCTTCATCTACATATACAACAAGAAGCGACTTTAGCTGCCATCAGACTCAAGACCCTAAATCTTTGGAGTAAGAATAGTGTCCCTCATACAGGCATAATTGATAGAATTTACTCAGAAATTCCTATCCTACAAGCCAAATACGATAGGATTCCTAAACAATTTGTTTTCGATAAGAAATACAAGATACAATTAAATGAAAACAGCCAGCCGGAAGTATTAAGCCCAAAAGAGCTTAGAGTTTTCACCGATGGTTCTAAAACAAATGAAGGTGTAGGTTCTGGAGCTTTCTCTGAAGACCTCAATATTCACATATGCACACCGCTGGGTACCTATAACACGGTCTTTCAGGCGGAATGTATGGGTATCATTCAAGCGGCCATAGCAATAGATGCTAGGAAGGTTAATGACTTCCCCATCAGAATACTGACCGACAGTAGGGCGGTACTACAAGCTCTGAGTTGCAATGAGGTGAACTCGGGACTAATATATGAATGCCATCAACGATTAAATGAGGTATGTAAAAACAACAATGTGACTCTGCAATGGATAAAGGGACACAGTGGATCCAGAGGCAACGATGCAGCGGACGAACTGGCCAGAAGAGGATCGGCTCTGGCCACTATAGGGCCGGAACCAATCATACCAATCCCCTTTGGTAACGTTCGTTCAATGGTACGTAGACACTTCACTAATCAACACGCTCAGCTTTGCAAAAATCTAGTAGACTGTAGACAAGCTAGGGAGGCCCTACCTGTAATAAACAGTCGCTTAACCAAAGTTCTAATGAGACTGAACAAGCCGCAGATCAGGATAGTAACTAGTGCTATCACAGGACATGGCACCTTTAACAAACATTTATTTACTATAGGTGTTACAGATAGTCCCCTGTGCAGGGCATGTATGGGGGAGGAAGAAACGGCGGCCCACGTGCTACTGAAATGTTCGGAGGTCGCTACGCTACGTACAGGGCTAAACATCTCGGCACGCCGGGATCACTCCCCGAAGTTGCATGCAACATCAAGGGACTGTTGAGCTTCTTCGGGGAGATCTCATGGCTCGAATAATCACATTATTCCTGCCCACACGCAAAATACGCGCATAGACGTGGAGTTGCGGAAAACAGCCCGTCGCAAACTAAACTAACTAAACTAATTTACTTTTATTACAGAATAACCTACCTTAGATATTGGGTTATGAATACAGATAAGTACACATAGGATTTAGTTTCTAAGTTATACCTACATATTTATAGCCTTCGTTATGAATAGCATAAACAGGCCAAGCCCCGACCAAGTAAAGAATTTCTTTCTACAATCGCGCCTTTTATTTGTTTGGACTGATCACCTGACTCGTTCAGTGATGCCATTCCCATACAGTGTTTAGTTTTCAACTAGCGTTATCTATCATAAAATAAATAAAAATTTTATTCATATTTCGCTAATTGTGTCTGTACTGTGAATTTGATTTACAATCGATCTCTAAATTGTAGTTTTCTTCTAATTACTTACCTTGCCTAGACGTGTTCTTTGGACTTCTGTAAGGAAGTCTATGCTGTTAGTATTCCGTTTATATACGTTACTATTTTGATAGACGTGCTTGTCCCTGCAGTGACACAATGCCTGTTGTTAATAACTTTCTAAGTACTAAGAGAATATTTCAAACCGCTATTGAACACAAACAATCAATAAACAATTTACAAACTAACATTTTTTTATTTAATTTACCTATATAAAAGCCACACTCACATCAAAATCGCGCTGTCGAAAAAGCAGTTATCCTGACACTGGCTGACATATACTTCGGGGTCGGGGAGTTGCCTGCGGGCTATTATAGCTAACTAGCTATGGAAAGTAAATACCTATTTAGAATACATAGTACCTACAGTAATATTTGCATAACCTACAGTAAAATACAAAAACATACAGAAAACATAATTATGTTACACTTTTTTGTGTTTGTTTTAGAAATTGTTATATTTTTTTCAAAAAAAGTTTTTTATGTTACCGTTTTTAGTTTAGAGTTATGTCCCTTTAGTGGGTACAGGCGTGACATTATATTGTGTGATTGCGTAAAGAATGCATAGATAGGCGATAGCAGCAATCGCGGTTGATTTGCTGTCATTTATTGAAGAGTGCCCCCGATTTCTCCAAGATCCCATCATCAGATCCTGATCTGATCATCGTCGATTACCGTGGGATTATCTGGAAAATATATCCAAATCGGTTCAGGCATATTCGAGAAATCGGGGGGACAGAACATACATAAACAAAAACCAACGAATTGAGAACCACCTCCTTTTTTCGAAGTCGGTTAAAAAGTAGGTAAAAACCAATCAATGGAATTATTATATAATAACAACATCTACTTAAGTTCACATAAGAACTTTCATCATAACAACTAAGTACATAAATTGGGTTCATAATAATTACGTTTCACACAGCAGATTCTAAGTTACAATAACACCAATTTGCTTTCTCTCTCCTTTCTCTTTTTTAAAATACGTTATCCCCGATTTTCTCCAGTATCGTAGAGGCAGTTTACAAATATAAATTGCATAAGAACAAACATCCAGACCCGGAACAACTATTTGTAGTCCATACAAAATATTTGTTCCGTGGGGGATTCGAACCCGCGGCACTCAGCGCAGCTACTCATTGCTAAGCTATTGCGGCACGAAGCTCACAATTGCCGTTTGAGTTTATGTTATTATTCTAAAATGAATCGCATAGGTACCTAGGTACGCGATGATGCCGTCGCGCATTGCGTCACTCGAGTGCGTATGTGTGTGCGCACTAGCTTCTTACTGCTCATCACAGCGTCTATCCCTTTCGCATGAGATGTCGGCTGAGATAGCATGCATTTTTGCCCCGCCCACCACTTAGTTCGTGCCATCGACTAGGGCAACCTTAAGGATTGGGATAAATTGGGATAATTTTAATACTTTTCTGACTTACAACAGTGCTAGTTTAAGCTCCATAATGATAATCAATTCCTTAATATGTGTATTGTATAACTTTGGAGACACCGTTCTTTTCGATCCGCTTGGTGATATTTAAAGATTTATTTAATTGTTGACTTTTTTAAAATTATTATACGAAGCGACAATAAGCAAGCGGAGCTCTATATTCGCCAAAATATGGAACTTTTTCTAAAGAACTGACTACCTGATAATACTAATAAAATATTTTAATTCCAGCCTTGATGGGTGAAAAGCCGTATCCATTTAAAGCGCCCTCGCCTCAAGACATGGTGGCCTTACGTAAGTCGATCGAAGCGGGACTCGCGAGCACAGTCCGCGATCGGATATGGGACAACCCGCGATACCTCGTAAGCAGTGGCAACTCACCGGCTATTATGCAGGTTTGTATTGAGCTTTCATGTTTTCCGGGTCGATTTCAACCAAGCGACCTGTTCCCAATAATCTCATAATATTACAGTGTCACAAGCATGCATTTTGTCAATAAATTTATGAATGTGACAAAGAAGTTCCCCAACTAGTAAAACTTATAAAATAATAATGTCCTCCAGACCGAAATTCGGTCACGGCGGCCAGCCTTAGTGGAGACTAGCCATCGGCGCAGGACAGTATTATTGTGCCCAAGTGTATGCGCCAAGCACAGATCCACTCTCTATTCCCTCTCATAGTTCGACGGTATAGAAAACCGACACGACTGGAAAGAGATCAGGCGTAGTTATGTGCTTTCCGAGGCACGGGGGTGAGACACCGTCAACTTCTTGGCACCGGGCACGATACGATAACGATCAGATTTTTTGGCCCGACCCGGGATTCGAACCCGTGACCTCATGATGAGAAGTCGCGTTTACAATCACTAGATCAACGAGGCAGCAATATAATACCGTCTAGTTATTATAGCACACTAGCGGTACCTGGCATGCATTGAAACACCTGTAACTGTCGAAACGACATTCTAGTCGTTAGCTTGAACTTTTCATATTACTACACTGTCTTAGCATCGATTTCTAAAGTTGTTATGTGGAGATTATTTTATTTTTTTGTTCTTTGAAGTTTGCTTTTATTATTAAAGGTTTAAATTTTTTGTGTTAATGGATCTAAATAAATTAAACTGTTTAATCATAAACATTTAGTTATTATGTAAAGTAATGCCAGATACTATTAACTATATTAAAATCAATATAACCAAATTATATTTCTATCAAACAATCTTTACTATCGCTACAGGAAGGTTCGCGGTACAACGCGTTGCACATCGCAGCAAAAGCAATGAATGCGGAGATTTGCAATTTGATTTTGACAACGGTTGGCAATCCTGTTTTCGTACAGGCGCTGTATGGGATGGATGCGGACCCTGAATCTTGTAAGGTTAGTTTAAATGGGTTATTTAAATATTATTGATGACATTCTACTGATTGTGTTAGATCAGACCAAAACTTCCCAATAATGAATTGAACAAAACTAATTTTTTTACCTTTTGATTTAACGAATTTTTAGTTATTGCCGTTTGGGGTCCTTTGCAGCACTCATAGAATACTATAATACACAATAGAATGGCTGTCAACCTTATTTTGTACGAGGATGGGCGTCGCCGGGAGCACACATACAAGCAATTACGTCGTATTATCAGTTAATCACTACTACAAACCCGATTCGCTGTGTTGTAAATAGCGTACAATTTGGCATTTTCTAAATAATTAGCATGCGAAATTTGGAAACGATTGTAACGTCAAAATACATCTCCTGTTGACATTTATGCATGTGAATTGACATGTTAGTGGCATTTTAATGGCTACACGGGCTCCGCCCACTCCTCCGTTCTATTATGTATGTATTATAGTGTTCTATGGCAGCACTATCACTATCACTATCAACTGATAGTGATAATCAAAGTTACTAAAGCGAGAGTGTGCCTTCTCGATACATTCTCGGAAAGATTATGTCCAGTAGCAGTCTTAAATGACACTTTCTTATTCTCTTAATAGGCTATCTTTTTCCTTCTTATATGGTTTTGAATGTAAGGTAATATGCCTTCAATAGTTAAGAGTTTTGTGTTTGCAGGAATTCTCATCGATCCTGGTGGATCGATACCTCAATACTCCGGACAAGGCGATGAACGAGACGCCGCTTCACTTTGCCGCCAAATTCGGCGCTGAGGCCGTAGTTGACGTGCTTACATCCTTCCCGCAATGCAACAGAAAAGCTAGCAACAAGTACGGCGAGAAGCCCGAGGACGTAAGATATCTGAAAACGTTAATTTTGAATTCATTGAAACAGTATTTTATTTATTTGATATTGAATAGTGATTTCTTTCCAGTCGTGTGTTTTTGTAAGCATGAAGCAGCCAATTGTTTATAATGTTAGTGCTGCAAACCAACAGTCAACTGGATGTCTTGTTCAATATTTGAAATAAAAAGTGACACTAGACAAGCCCAATAGTTAAAACAGCAATTTCAAAAAAACCCCCGACTGCGTAAAATGTTTACTGAGAAGGGATACTTTTATACCCTAAGTCACTTTCACAATTAAGACAAATCTAAGGACACTTCTTATCAAAAAAAAAATCCATCACGCCATTTAGATTACGGAGCCTGCATACACACATACAAACATATTTTCGAAAAACATTACCTTTATTTAGTGGCAGTTAATAAGCAATACTTTTGCAGGACAATGCTAAAGTTTCTTCAATGTGATGTATGTATGATGTGCGTAATCATACCATAAAATTATTTTAAAGACAGATTAAAGAGTCTTTTTGCACTTATCGAATGCGAAGTGGAGATTTATTGCACACATCGAACGTGAAGCGTAGATGTAGTAACTCTATTGTCACTCCCATCACTTCCACCAGCTATATAATAAAAAAAAGTACACCAATAGCACGAGGAGTTTTCAATTACTTAATACTTTTTTATAAGATTATTTAATTCGTGTATTAATAAAAAAAAAGTTAATTGAAAATAATATTAAAAAATTTCACTTGGACCTCAGTTGGTCGGTATGGATGTGAACAAGATACCTTTCGGAAAATCTGAACATATCACTTTGATTTGTATTTAATTAGCTTTTGATTTTTTGTAGCTTTAAATGAAATACGTGTTTCGGTAATTAATAAAAGTAAATTGATTATTCTAGAGACTTGAATAATCAATTTACTTTTATTATATCAACCAAATTGGCGATTTATTAAAAACGGGCCAAATTAGGAGTACCCTTAGACGACGAGCATGTATGCGTAGGTATATGGATGTGAAGGAGGCGAGAGAGGTGTGTCAGGATCGTGCCAAATGGAAGTCTGTAGTCTCTGCCTACCCCTCTGGGTGACAGGCGTGAGTGTTTATTAAACTTTAGGATTTTTCATTTTTTTATAGAATTAGTGTGACTAACCAACACACAGTCTACCTGATGGTAAGTGGATGTTGTGGTCCATAGACATTCTAAATTTATCCTCAATTAACTGAGGACTGAGATAAAAAGTCTACGGTTTTCTACATTCACCATATGAAATACAGAGAAAGTGGTGCTACTCCGGTCGAGCCGACCTATTCGTGTTACAACCATAATACAGCTGCACCGTGGTCTGCTCTCTCGTCTCATCTCTTTTAAAGAAAGCTTAATAAGCAATTAATGAGTACCTTAAAAATGAACATGCCTGGTATTAATGAAATTTAAACTATAATACAAAAGTAGCAATCTGTCGATGTTCTGATTCCGTCAAAACCACTTTTATTTAACTGTATATTCTTTTATTATTGTGTAAGCAATTATTGGTCGTTCTATTCTACCGAAAATATAGTTTTTGTCTATTGTTCGCATTCGTCTCTTATCGTTCGCATCTGTCTCTTTTCATGATAAACATGGCGGATGTAGTCTCAGTTATATGACAGAGATGAAATCCTAACGTAAGATTCACAAAGTCTAGTCAAAACATAATACAGCAAAAGTTGTAATCAATACGTTTTCTAATTTAAAAATCTGTTTATAAATTCCGTCACATTACGAAGCTTTAGGAAGATTTCGTCGGCGACTTAAAACAACACACAGTCAATGACTAAAGGATCTCAACTTGCTTTAGCAGACAAAATTGTGGTTTATATTACCATCGGAGCACTTATTTAATAGATGTCACTAATAGTTCACATGTGCATACATGATATACACAAAATCGCATCACTTTTACGTAACAAAATCTTCTTCAAACTATTCTTTAATAATACAAGAAGCTTCAGAAGAAACAATCTGCCGCGTCAAGTTTGTCAAACCCACTTTTCATTAGTCTGTGTACGTCCACAGATAATCTGCAACCGCACGTCGAACGCGTCGCCGGAAGTAGTGCGCAGCATCCGCAGTATGCTGCAGGAGCGCTTCTACGTGCCCGTGCTGCACGCCGACGACGAGAGCGCCGAGCCCACTATCGGCCTGCCCTTCACTCCGGCGGCGCCGCCCGTGAGATTTCAACATACAATACTTTATTTTAGTTATAGTGATTTACCGTGTGTTAGTGACGTAAGAAAACCCACTATCCCATATTATCCCGCTAAGCGAGGCATCTGTATACTAAACATATCCTCATCATCATACGTATAGTAAACATCTCCTCTTATAATACGATCTCAAAAAAAAAAATGAAAACCTGTGAGAAAACCGTGTCATATCTTCCCGTTGGTGTCGTAAGAGGCGACAGAGGGAAATTGAAACAGGCGATGGTCAGCAGCATTTTCCTGATAACAACTTAAAATTAAAAAGCTGCGGTTAAACACCCACTCGCCAAGCGTGTCAACTATGGCAAAATCCTATGAGGCAATCTATGGGGGAGGCCTATGTACAGCAGTGGACTTTTATAGGCTGTGATGATGATAATGATTCTGTGAGAGTGTGTTTTTACCCCGGTCAAGCCGACTCACCAATGGCACGACCTGCCGGCATACTCTGCATATATAATAATACGATAAGACTGCAGCATAGCTCTACCACTCACAGAATTTTGTTTATTTTTTTCTATTTATTTTTTCAAAACATATTTTTTTAATACATCAACACGCCTCGACGGAGCGCTTGCATTGATGCAGTGCACATTCTGGCAGGATCGCCGTGTAATGTTGGAAAAGGTGCCAATGCGAGGAGTGTTGTTCTCTCTAGGGTTGAAATCTATAGACCGTACTTTGATTTTACTTAGAATTTACTTTCGAGCTAAGACAATGTCGGTATTTATACTGCTGGCTTCGAATTTGTGCTGAGTGCGTGCTTATTAAAAAGTCAACGAAATCGACGACTTACGAAAATCTCAGGATATAAACTAAAAGCACCGTATTACTTTTAAATTACTCTATAAATATGTTACTCTGATTATTTATAATAATAACTAGTTTAAGCCGTCTTCTAATTTTAAAGGTAGGACCGGGAGTTCAAGTTCTAAAGCCAGTCGTAATAAAAAGATCAGGCCTTTAAAATATACAGAATGGGTACCACATATATTCGATAAATGAAACCATATACTTGTTATCGTCTTTGCTGACGATATACAAAAAAACGAACGAAGTCTCTCCAGTAGTTAGGTCAAAAATTAGCGTTTTAAATTTGAGATAATTTTAACTCTGTAGAATTAGGTCACTACGTCAATGTTTCAATGAACTTGAATACTTGAAAATTAAAAAGTGACATTGCCACGCAGTGTAAACTATTACGATGTGAGACTATGTACGTTAACAGCGATGTCTTGGCGGCGTCGTTTAAAGGCGACGGCGTACTTGTGCGCACACCTATGTCGTAGAGTATTATTATTTTCCGCATTTTGGAAGTCTAAGGAATCTCCTAGGTGTGCGTTATTCGTAGTTAGCAGTGGCTGCAAATAACCGCCGGTTCGACAAACTCCGCCGATCGTTGAGTTCCGTGATTCCGTGAGGCGTCGAGGTCACCGACCCCTAGGTGATTCTTGGCACTTTATGCGTTCCGTGCATTTCGTGCCCTGTCGCGCATTAAAGTGCCACCTTTGCATTTCCCCCAACCCTTTTGGTATAAAAGGGGTAGGCAGTGCCCATAGTGAGGATAGACTCTCTCATAACATCACCACCATCCGCGTCACGCACCAACATCTGTTGCCGATCGGCTGGAAAATAGATAGGGCCTATAGCAGATTACCGCTGACTGTTAGGTTAGGGACATGTCAGGAAAAGATAAGGGGGAACCTCCTCCTAAATCAAGGAAACCACCGGACCGGCCAGGCGTATTGGAGAGGCCAATCGCCTACCGTGACATTTTTAATCCGGAGAGGGTGAGAGTTGTCTCATCTTACTCCCAAATACCGACCCGGAAACCTTCGTCGCCGGGTAAGGAGTCCGCACCGAGGGTTGCACTCTCGCCCATCGTACCTGAGTGTACGACTGGGCGTGAACCGCTGCCCTCTCAACAACAGCGACCAATGAAGACGCCACGAAGGCACACGCCACCAGAGACCGAAGCCTCCCTCTACGAGATGAGGCTGCGCATCGGTAACTCATCAGAACCATCATCAGCATCATCGGATGATGAGGAGCCCCAAACAGCGACAAGGAAGAAGGTCCACACCTCACCTCCTAAGTCGCCATCACCACCACAACAGCCACCATCCATCTCACCGGACCGACGCAGTCATGACTCTGCCCAATTCGAGCAAGGAGGTGAGGAGTCCTACAGCTGGGGCTCAACAACATATGCAACCCTAGCTGCATCAGCCGGGAGATTATCCCCGGTGCAAGCTACTAACCCGTCCGGGCTAGCTCTTGACGATGGACAGCGACCGTCAACGAGCTATGCCCACATGGCCGCGGCCCCTGCAGTACCACGACCGCAATCGGCGGAGGAACCTCAGAAAACTGAGAAGGAGAAAGAGAAGTCGAGATATCCGCCGATTGTCGTAGAATGCCTCCCGGACTGGACCAGGCACTTCGAGGTCCTCAATAAAAAATTGGGCCACCCTCCCAATGCCCGTCCGTTCGGGAAGGGAGTTAGATTTTCACCTCAGAGCCCGGATGAGTTCCGCACCATCCAGAGATACATGGTCGAGCTCTTCGAGAAAGACAAAACCATGTCATGGTACTGCTACACCCCGGCAGAGGAGAAGCCCACTAAAGTGGGCATCCGGGGTCTGCCAGGGCACTGACACCAAGATGATCGAGGAGGCTATCCGGGCAAAAGGCTTCCCGATCAACTACGTAAAGGCCATACCACCACGTAGAGGCAGACCGGGCTGCCTCTACTACGCACAACTGGAGCATCTGAGCCTAGAGCGGCTCCAAGAACTATACCATATTGACGAACTCCTCTACATGAGAGGAGTAGTCATCGAAGCCTGGCAGAGAAAGACTGGACCAGCACAATGCCACCGCTGCCAGGCTTTTGGACATGCCTCTGCAAACTGCTTCAGACCAGTGAAATGCGTTCGCTGTGCTGGAGAGCATATTGCCAGCCTTTGCCTTAGGGGTAGAGAGGAAGAGCCAAAGTGCGCAAATTGCGCCAAAAACCACACGGCCAACGATCGCCGCTGCCCAGTCCTGAGGAGGATTGCCAGGAAGCAGGGGATCGTTCTACCTGGGCTACTCCCGGAGAACCCTAAGAGGATCCCCCAGAGTCGCCCAAAGGCTGTTACCATACTGGAGGATCGGGTGGGCCACCATCACCAGAAGAAAGGGTTGGCAATCAGCCCCCCCCCCCCCCACAGCACCAACGGAAACGGTGGAACCCATAGAGCAAAGGGCAACCACCGGGGCGACTCTCCGACCTCCTGCCAATGACGCCACTGAGAGGCAACCCTCTCAAAGGAAAAGGCGGAGGAACAGGAGCAAGAAAACGGAACAGCCTCCTCCTCAGGCTATAAGAACCTCTACCCCTACAACAACAGGACCGATAGCCTCGCAGGCGCATGTTACTGCAAGAACACCAGCACCAACTATGACAGGTAGAGCGCCAATAAGGGCCCTACCAGAAAGCAGAGCCCGCTCTACACATAGAGCGCGCTCTACCCAAAGGAAGACCATAACCAATGCCCCGAAACCAGTGCCTTCACAGCGTAGTAATGAACGCAGACCACCAACGTCCGGCTTCGAGACGGCTGATGCCATCCACAGATTGGTAGGCATAGCCATCGAAGTCGGAACACAAGTCCTGGCCGACATAAGGGCCGGGACAGACCCCGTAACCGCCGTCATGAAGGCGCTGGCATCACTACTGGCAAGGCATTACGGAGGATAACCTGCGTCTGCTTTATTGGAACCCGGACGGGATTCGTCAAAGGATCCACGAACTCCGCACGGTCACCCAGCAACAGGACATCCAGGTGATCTTGCTGGGTGAAACCAAATTACGACCTACAACGCATCTTAAGCTGCCTAATTATACCATCTACAGGAGGGACGAGGTCGATCCTCAAGGGGTCGCTTATAGAGGGACAGCGATCCTGGTGAGGAGAGACATCGTCCACCAGGAGCTGGACCTGCCAGACTTCCAGACGATGCGTTCAATCGGCATAAAAATGGAGGCGGCGGGCGAGGAACTAAGGATCTTTGCAGCATACCGCCCGCCGGGGACTCCATTTCACTCCTCAGACATTTATTTATTTATTACAAAAACAGTAACAACATCATAACAGTACAAAACCAAGACGATGCTGTACAAAAACCAAACAATAACTGATAAATATAACTACTGACATAAAATATATACTTATACAATTATAATTAAGAAAAAAAAAGAAAGAAAAAAAAATTATAATAAAATCTCACAGACCCTGTGCGCCGCTTCTGTGAACTTTGCCAGGCTGCAGTGGTAAATGTCCGTTTCTTCGGAAATAATATTCAATAACTTTAAATCGTCCTTATATAACTTTAAATCATCCGGACGGTAATGGAAGGTACGGCACCCACCATCATCGCCGGGAACCTGAACGCCAAACACCCGGCGTGGGGGTCCAGAGTGATCACCCCGCCGGGTCGTGAACTTTACGATGACGCAGAGAGCCATGACTACGACGTTCTAGGTCCCGAGGAACCGACGCACATCCCTACTGATCCTAGGAAGCGTCCGGATGTATTAGACATCGTGCTCACTAGGAACGTCAACTACCCAGTAGTGGTAGAAGTGCTGTACGACCTGAACACACAGCACCTCCCGATTCTGATAACCCTTGGCACTAAGGCAGTGACTTCACCGCCCAGAGCTGTCAAGACCAAGACCAAGACTGGAGGCTCTACTACCAACACCTGCAGGAGAGACCTCCAGTCCATACACCGATCAACTCAGCGGACGACGTAGAGGCCGCTGCAACTAGAATAACCACGTGTATCCAGGAGGCCCTCAACGCGGCCTCTACGATCGTCCCTCTCACGGGGAGAAAAGAGGAGCTGCCGCTAAGAATACGCGTGCAGCTAAACCACAAAAGAGCGCTGAGGAAGCTCTGGGCGCGTACTCGCTGCCCTAGAGTAAAAAGAAAATTAAACACCTTGTCAGACGAACTGTCGGTTGCAATACAGGCCCACAGAGGAGAGGCCTGGGAGCGGCGCATATGGAAGGCTGATGAACATCATGCGTCGCTCTACAAATTGAACCGGCAGTTAACGAAAACTCGACCACCTGTTTGCCCGCTGACCAACAATGCGGGCGTTCAACGTTACGATGCTAAGGGCAGAGCGGATATCCTAGCTGAGCACTTCGAGGAGCAGTTTATGCCGAACCCAGCAAGTGCGGAGTTCCTGGAAATCCATACCCGGAAAGAGAGCCGCGTGCAGGAGCTCCTGTCGTCGCCCGCGCCACCGCTTGCAGGAGAGTGGTTCATCTCCCCCGCTGAACTGCGGAGGACAGTAACCCGCCTGCAACCGAGGAAGGCGCCGGGGCACGACGGGATTACCAACGCTGCACTACGACAGCTGCCCAATAGAGTTCTTGTAGAGATAGGTCGGCTCTACAATGGCATATTGCGGACATCCCACTTCCCGGAGGACTGGAAGAAAGGCAAAGTTATCGTCTTGCCGAAACCCGGGAAGGACAGGCGTAGAGCTGCCAACTACCGGCCGATCACGCTGCTACCGCATATAGCTAAACTGTGCGAAAGATTACTGTTAAGACGTCTCCGCCCGTGCATCCAACTTCGGGCGGAGCAACATGGATTCAGGAGGGATCACTCCACAGCAACACAGCTGACCAGAGTGCTGCACCTGCTTGCGGCCGAGCACAACCGCGGCCGTATATCGTTGGGCGTCTTTCTCGATATCGATAAGGCGTTCGACCGGGTGTGGCACACAGGTTTACTCTTTAAATTAGACGATCAAACAAGTATCCCTCCTGCTATATTGCGGCTAGTGGCGTCTTTTCTGGAAGGCAGGAAGTTCTACGTCTGTGTAGAGGACGCGGAGTCCGCAATAAAACCCATTACAGCTGGTGTGCCACAGGGCAGCTGTCTGCCTCCAGCCCTGTACGCGGCGTACACTAATGACATTCCTACCCTGGCAGGACATTTGCATGAATGGGAGGACGACGTCGAACTAGCGCTGTTTGCGGATGGCAGCGCATACTTCACGTCGTCCAGAAGAGCCCACATCGCAGCTGACAGGATGCAACGTCTGTTGGACCTGCTGCCACCATGGTTGGATGAGTGGAGGATGGACGTCAATGTTAGCAAGACGACCGCTCTACTCACTCGCCGCTATAGAAATCTACCACCACCGCTAACCCTCGGAGGCCAGGAGATCGCATATGAGAAGCCGTGACCTACCTTGGATGCCGAATTGACAGGATGTTGCGTATGACTGCGCACGTCGACTTTGCTATACGCAAAGCTCGATGTGTAACATCCAAGTTACCGACAAAGTCGAAGTTAACCATCTATAAAACATACATAAGACCCCTGCTAACATACGCTGCTCCGGCCTGGTATGCACTCCTGAGCGATCATCAGAAGCGGCGACTTCAGGCCCAGCAGAGTTTGTCATTACGAACTATAGTCGGTGCGGGTCGCTACGTCCGGAATGACGTTATAGCGGCCAACCTAAAGATGGAGAGCCTACAAGAATTCGTGGTCCGGCTGGCGCGCGGTATGTTCGACCGCGCCGACAACAGGCCACATGAACACCACAACGGCTTCGCGCCGTTGCACTCACGGCCGCCGGACGGGCGACCCTATCCAAGAGAACTCCTCCCTATATAGATTAGGGAGTCGAGTAAACCCCACAATGCCGCAGAAAGGCCAACTCCGACAAAATAATTTGTATTAAACACAAATTATAGATAACCACCTTTAATGACAAATTTAACCTACCGCGACAAAAGTCGCTAAAACAACACGCCTTTACCACCAAGGCGCCCAGTACCGGAACATTGTAGTGTGCCGTGAGGAACATCCGGGTAAAGGGGTACACCCCGAGGCCCGAGATCTGCACGGCATTATGCCCTGCAGAGGACAACAACGACGATTTTGGAAGTTGGAAGTTTCGCTTTCAGTTCACCGCGAATCTTCCGGGATAGTGTGTGTGTAATTTTTTGCATTGCTGTAAGTGATTAATTTTAAGTTAGATAAATACAAATAGTTACAACGATTTTCTTACGGTCAAATGGACTCTTATTAACTAATTGACTTTGTGTGCGTGTGTAATGAGATTTTAAGTTTATTTTTATTATTTTTAGTGTGATATTGACACTACTTGACTCTTGTGTATGCGTGTGTTTTTTTTTTTAACAAAATGCCAAGTCAACAGCATTTTTACAGTGAGTATACAGACATGATTATATTGTACGGCGAAATTGGTCAAAATGAACGAAATTTGTTAAACAGGCTTTGAGACAACATTGCGCGGCTATGTAATTTGTGTATTCAAGAACATGGCGGACATTTGAAAATTTAAAAATTTAGGATCCCAATAAATTTTTCAACTAATGTACAATAATATTTATTTCGTTCAGTTTCGTTATCGCGAAATTAAAAAGTGGCGGTAAAAATAAACAGTTTAGTGAAAAGCTTAAGCCGCTGCCGACTACAATTGCCGCCCGCGTGCATTGTTGCCACTCTTCCAAGGGGTCAAGGTATGTTTTCTAAACATAGTGTTTACTTTTACTGAATTTATTTAGATATTTATTTTGTTTGAAAATTTCAATTTTTTTATTTACGGTTTTTAAATTAATATTTAATAATATTTTACATCCTATGGACTAGTATTACTTGTGGTTTCATTTATTGCCAGGATACCACATCCTTACTGTATAAAAACTTAAACTGTACACAACATTAATAAACCAAAAGCTTCATGTTTGAAACAGTGATTTGTGACAGCGCTTGACTGGCTGACCAAACGTTCGGTTTTTTTCTCATATTTTAAACTAAAATTAGTTAAATGTAATAACTTCTATATAAAATACAATTTAAATTATTTTCGATTTATAATTATTAAATTATTTGAGTTTTATAAGCTTAGCTTGATTGAACTTAGCCCGATGCAACTATAAATTCAGAATCAAAGATTGTGCTAAGCATATACTCAGTTAAGTTTTTTATAGGTCAAGTCTGAGCAAAGTTAAAGTACGGTCTATAGATCTCAGTCTAGGACTGATTGGATTACTACTAACGGCTACATTTAATATTAATATGTACGTTGTGTGGCCTACACTACATTACAAACTATAATGTATAATTATAGTGTTCCCGACTGCTCGCAGTCGACTAAAGGAGTTAATGAGAATTGAGCGTAACTTATTGTGCAATGTATTAACTCTGTAGAACCCGTTTAGTGATAAATATAGAAAGAAGTCTTTTATAAAATACGATATTTTTTCTAACCTGGTTGAAGTGGACTCTGAACAAATGGACTGTATTAATTTATAAAACTGTGTGTATTTAACTATGTGAAGCTGAGATTTCATTATAATGATGGTTCTATTAGAAGAATTGAGGTATGCAACTATAAACAATTTATAAAATTGTTTACAAGTATTAATTTATATTACAAAATATTTTACGGTACTATTGTTAATTATTAATTTATTAATACGGGGAAGAATCTCTTCTTGTTTTTAGTCTCGTTTTTTTGTTGACTGGAGTGGAGCTCTTCTGTGCCGCGAAGGTCTTCCGCCGGCCGGATGCCCGCCATTTATTATCCTGGTCTTAATCTGAATACTGAAATACGCCGGCGATTGGTCGCGACGCATGGCGTGATGTCGAGTGCTGGGAAGGCGGGGTCGGCTCGCCTCCGCCTACACAGCACTGGCCTTAATCGGTTCCGTTTGCGTAGGAGATCAACAGCGACCCGCTGAGTCCGCGGTACGAGATCCGTGCGTTCGCAGGCCCCATGCCGGCGCGTGACGCCGACGTGTTCCGGCGCCGCTGGAAGACGCCGCCGCGACACACCTTCCGCCTCGCCGACACCGCCAAAGGACTCGAGGCCGTCGGCAGGTAGGTACACACGTACACTCGCTCACATACACACCGCCGCCGCGACACACCTTCCGCTTCGCCGACACCGCCAAGAGACTCGAGGCCGTCGGCAGATACACACACACGTACACACGCTCACATACAAACCGCCGCCGCGACACACCTTCCGCCTCGCCGTCACCGCCAAGGGACTCGAGGCCGTCGGCAGGTAGGTACACGCGTACACACGCTCACATACACACCGCCGCCGCGACACACCTTCCGCCTCGCCGACACCGCCAAGGGACTCGAGGCCGTCGGCAGGTAGGTACACGCGTACACACGCTCACATACACACCGCCGCCGCGACACACCTTCCGCCTCGCCGACACCGCCAAGGGATCGAGGCCGTCGGCAGGTAGGTACACACACACGTACACTCGCTCACATACACACCGCCGCCGCGACACACCTTCCGCTTCACCGACACCGCCAAGGGACTCGAGGCCGTCGCAGGTAGGTACACGCGTACACACGCTCACATACACACCGCCGCCGCGACACACCTTCCGCCTCGCCGACACCGCCAAGGGATCGAGGCCGTCGGCAGGTAGGTACACACACACGTACACTCGCTCACATACACACCGCCGCCGCGACACATCGTCTCGCCGCCGCGACACCTTCCGCTTCGCCGACACCGCCAAGGGACTCGAGGCCGTCGGCAGGTAGGTACACACACACGTACACTCGCTCACATACACACCGCCGCCGCGACACACCTTCCGCTTCGCCGACACCGCCAAGGGACACGAGGCCGTCGGCAGGTAGGTACACACACACGTACACTCTCTCACATACACACCGCCGCCGCGACACACCTTCCGCTTCGCCGACACCGCCAAGGGACTCGAGGCCGTCGGCAGATACACACATACGTACACACGCCCACATACACACACACACACATGTTCCGGCGCCGTTGGAAGACGCCGCCACGACACACCTTCCGCCTCGCCGACACCGCGCCCCTCCATAGATGGCGCTACATCATCTATAGGGGGTCGTTGGGCTTTTACGTCTGGCCAAAAATCTAAAACAGATGCACAAACACAACATTCACACACCTATAATAGACACATAAGCTAGTAGTAGTCTACGAGCAGATAAAAAATATAAGCGCAAACACAGAAGCACTTACATATACTTACATTACATACACTTACTTTTTCAGTATATAGGCACAACATACAGAAAGTATACACTTCCATACATATAAGTGATAGAAAATTTGTGAGTAGATTTTTTTTTAAATCATAAATTCAACAGCTCTGATTTGCCACCATTGTTTAAATTTATCATTACACTGTGAGTGTCAATATTTTATGAAAGTTTTGAGTGCAAATAAGATTATTCAAAATATTATTCTTAGTTTAAAATTGAAAAATGAAATTTGATTTTTTCTTGTATCATTTCTCGGAAGGGTTATGTTCAGCTGTGTGCTTGTAATGGGCCATGGTGATTAGGGATTGAAAAGTTTCTAAAAATGTCGGTAAGGAACTGATATTTGGTGGTGCTGGTAGCATAACCATAGAAGAGAGGAGAACTGAAACCAAAACCAAAACCTAAATGAGAACCGTACGGCATTTTTATTTAATAAGTCCAAATATATAAAAAATAAAGTTAAATAGGAATGCCATCTTAAAATCGATACCTTAACTGGGACTAAAACAGGAATTATACCATAAAGTCCCAAGTTTTGTCCTAAGGTGTTCAACGAATAGGGCGGTATAAATCAGCTGATTGGGATGAGATACGACACTTTTTTGCATCCTATCCTTGGCAGGAGGTCTGTTTCTCTTCTACGTATCTGTCGAGCTGCGCAGATGCGATAACCGATGTGTTGCGGCAAGCTATGGAGTATTTAATCCCTTTTTTGACGCTCCCATCGGTATCAGAGCTCGCCTATGTTTTAACAGTAAATGCGCTCAATCCTGGGTTGACACTCGATACCGCAAAACTCCGGATCATCAGCTTCAAGAGCTTTCAACCAAGCAGCCAAGTCCTACAAAAACGCGTTACAGAAATCCGCGTTAAACACGCGTTAAACATATTGGGACAAAACTCTCTGCCAGACTATTCGGCAGCATAGTTTTTGGTCTCTTGCCAAAGCGGTTGAGGCAAAGTTCTGTCGACCTACTACTGTACTGTAAAACCGGATGGCACACCAGCGCTTACGGCTAAAGAGAAAGCGGATTTGTTCGAGCCTCTCTTTGCCTGCAATTTTCGTCTCTCTTTACCTGCAATTCACGTCTGGATAGTGGCAACAACATTCCACCTGAATTGCCTCGCTGCGGGACCTCTATGTCGGAGGTTCGTATTACAAATAAGGAAGTTCTTAAAACCTTGCGGTGTCCTAGACGTGAATAAACTAGTGGACCTGATGGTATAGTAGCTATAGTTTTAAAGGTTTGTGCACCTGAGTTGCCTCTTTTGCTGCCACGCTTGTTCCGTCTCTCATTTAGGACTGGAATAGTACCAAAATACTGGAAGCTGGCAAACATGCAGGCTGTTCTAAAAAAAGGCAGCCGTGCCGACCCTGCCAATTATCGGCCAATTTAAGTTTCCTGTATACTCTGTAAGATTATGGAACGTATATTGAACGCTTACTGGCATATCTAGAACAAAATTACCTCCTCAGTGACCGCCAGTACGGGGTTCGTTGAAATTGGTCAGCTCTCGGGGGACCTTCTAGCCTAGCGTATGCTTATATATGGGGCCTGTTTCCCTTGATATATCGAAGGCCTTTTGACAGATTTTGCTACGCTAGCCTTTTGTATAAGCTTCCAGAGGACGGCTTATCCCCTGGCCTGATTGACTAGGTAAAGGACCCTGAGTGAACGGTCTCTCCGGGTCGTCGTCGATGCCTGGTCATCTGATCCTGTGGCGACTAACGCCGGTGTTCCTCGGGGGTCCGTTCTCTCCGCAACTCTGCTTATGTTATTGATCTGCTTATGCCCGGTAGCTATGGGTACGCTGACGACAGCACAGTTGTGGCGATATACCAACTAGGTCCTCGGGCTAGTCGGGATCAAATCCATTCCGACAGAGAAGCTATGGTAGAGCGTGTGAATCTCACACTACAGGCAGTCTCCGAATGGGGCGATGCTAATCTTGTGAAATTCAACGCCTCCGAAACACAAACGTTTCTGTCTCTTCACTGCAAAAAGGAGCCAGCTCACCTTGGCTCCTTCTTTCCAAAATGTATTACTGGAATACTCCGATCGCCTTCAGTTGTTGGGGGTGAGATATCCTCAAATCTGGACTTTGGGCGGTTCATTGAGTCCAAGGGGCTGCGGTACTTCACGCCAGGACAGCTGCTTACTCTATATAAAGCGCAAGTCCGGTCGTGCATGGAGCGTACTACTGCCATATATGGGCTGGAGAAGCAAAATACCACCTAGCCGCTTTGGACTCAATGGAAAGACTTGCTAAGAGGCTTATTGATGACCCGAATCTTGTTAAAATCAATCTTAATAGCCTCGAACACAGGCGCAAAATAGCCAGCCTTTCGGTTTTCTACAGGATGCATTTTAAAGAGTAGCACAGGAATTGCATAATTTAATTCCTCCCTTTCCATTTCACTATCGGACAACCAGACGTTCGGCCAGTCTCTACCCTTTTATTGTTGACTTACCACGCATTCGAACCGAATGGTTTGCTACATTGTTCGTCATGCGTACAGCAAAGGTGTGGAATAAATTACCAGAATCTGTCTTTCCATCCGATTGTAATGTTGGTGTGTCTTCAAGGCAAATCAGTGAGCTTCACCATCTTAGGCTACTATCACCAATTACCGTGGTGATGTTACCAAATTAGTTACTAGTAAAATAAAAAGGAGAAAAAGAAGTGACCAGTTAATAGTAAAAAAAAGTTTGATGTTTAGAAGAACCCAAGCGAAGATTCGTAACTAATTTTGGATAGAACCTTTTTCAATTGCTGATTATGATATAATAACAGTTATTGTATTCCTTATGTGTACACTTAATTATTAAAACATTAACATTTAACTATTATATTGACAGGAGTCTGGCGGAACAACTGAAAGTGGGCTGGAAGGAATACTGGCCGTTCTTAGACACCTTCACAGATCTTCGCACTCACGAAGGCTTAACACTCTTAGAAAATTATCTTAAAAGTAAATACGAGTGCGCTTGCTCCTTCGCATACAGCGACAGTTGCGCACAATCACAACACTCTCCTGACGATCTATCATTATCTAGAATAAGCTTAGGCAACCTATCTCAAAATAGTCCTAACAAAGACAGCAAAGACTCGCCGCTGAGCCCCATATCCGAATTGTGTATGGCGATGAAAACGTGCAAAATATCATCGGACAGGCCGCCGCATTGGAAGAAAACCGATCCGATCAAGCAGCGGCTCTGTAGACAGCCCAACCTGAAAGCAATCAGCGTAACAAACGGAGACACAGCGCCATCTATGAACCACACGGTCAACCAACTGCTGTGCATCGAAAGAACGTGCCAAGTTTTCGCGAAGAGGATAGCAGACGCGTTGGTGTTCTCCCTCACAGCGGAACCGGAAGTCGCCGGGGACTCTCTGAAATCAGAAGCGAAACATTTGCAGCACACAATATACACTTATATGGACGACGAGAGGTTCCAACAGATCAACTTTGCACTGATACATTCTCGGTTGGCTCAATTGGTTGTGTTCAAACTCAAGCAGCAGACGAAAGAACTTGACGACGTGAATAATCTAGTGGAGTTCCTGGTGAAACTGAGATGCCCCAACGATGACATATTCAGCTCCGATGATGAGCGGAAACCGTTCACGTTCCGAAATAAAGTAAAGGTGACACATGTGATAGACGATCACGTTAGATGTTTGGCCAGTTTCATATGCGAGGAAATAACAGAGACTGACGAGACCAAGGGCCCGGCGGTCTCGGAGACCGAGTGCTCGGAGATCTGGGAGAAGGCGAGCAAATGTCGCTGCGATTGGAAAATAGAGGTCTTCGAGAGGAACAGTAAAAAGAACGCATCATTCAGGAAAAACAGATCGACATTGTCCACGAGCCCGAAAAGTGAAAGTTTTATTAGGAGACTGATATTTGATGAAGAAATTGGTAAGTACCCACTTTAGTTAATTTATTTTATCTTGAATAGACCTATTTTTACGATTTTTATCTTGTTTCATTTATTTATTTTTAATTCCCGATATTACGCATAAATTAAGTTGGTTACCGTCTATGTCATATATTACACCTCATTTTTAAATGGCGCCGCCCCAGTGGTAGAAAAAGTCGTGGATGCTCATTAAACCCATATAGGTAGGGAGAGAAAAACAAATATTTTTAAAAAGCAAATAAATAATATGTATTTACAAGAGCCATGAATCTGAATCTAGCATTTCAAATTCGCTCATCTCTGCATCACTGTGTGAGTAGTCATCATCCTTTATAAAAATAAAACATGGTTTTATGCAGCTATTAAAAATGTTCCACCGACTGGTATCAATACTTTAAATTACTTTATATTAATAAGACTCATTTACATATAAAGCGAATAAAATGTTATTAATACGCAAACTAATTTTTTTTTGCAAGCTTTACTTTTCAAGTCTCACTTGACAAATCGCGGTCATTCGAGGTCATTGACGTTCCTATTCTTATTTGAATCGTATTGTACGTTGCACATAGCACAATAATCTGAGAGCTGGCGACGAATTTTGGGAAGGCCCTTTTGGCAAGTTGAAATTGTGAAAAAATATACATTCGTCATTGGACGAATCGAGTACCGCGAGTCTGGGAGAGCGTTTGCGGTTATTCTGTCTGTAGCTTTTTTATCATTTCACCACTGATGACTAAGATGAAATGCCTCACAGCCTGTTATTATACTGTGGCCTAAACCTTCCGACATCAGAACTTAGCAGTATATGCACTGCTGCTGGATGGTAGAAATTAGTAAGACTTTAAAAAAAATAGAATAAGGGTGACACACTTAAGAATCAAAAAGCAGATACGTTGTCAGCCCCGAGGACTAAGATGGAATGCCTCTTTTTCAGTAAAAAGTGTCTACGAATCTCTACACTCACCATATGAAACACAGCAGTATTAAACTGCTATTTTACGTTGGTATTCTGTGAGAGCGTGGTTCTTCCCCGGTCGAGCCGACCCTGTCATGTGACAAACAATATAGCTGCAGCGTGGCTCTGCCACGTATGAAAACAGAAAACCGACTTCTAGACAGAAAAGGAATTCTACCAGCTAGTAAAATAGTACTAGTAATTTCCTTTTGTAGTGATTATACCTTGTTTCTTTATACTGTCTCTTAGTTTATCTTTCTTCTCTGTAATACCTTCCCAGATCTTGACGCATACGCGTAACATCGGGCACAGATAAGTTTTTTAGATGCCCATAGATATTTACATTTATCCTCAAATAAGAATCAAAATGGCACGTTGTCGCCCCTGAGGACTAAGACGGAATGCCGTTACCAGGTAAAAAGTCTCCGGTTCCCATCACTCACCATATGAAACGAAGCGGTAGTGTGTTATTATTTCACGCTGGTATTATATGGTTAAGAAAAATTTCTTTATTAGTACGTAAAGTTGTGACACCACAATATCTTCTGTTGCTTATGCTGTTTTGGTTCTTGTCTGTACATTTTTATTTCTCTTAGTCTCTTTCATTCTTTTTTTATACAATTAGGGTGACAAACGAGCACACAGTCCACCTGATGGTAAGTGGATTGGACTGTGGTTCATAGACATCTACATTTATCCTCGATTAAGAATCAAAATACACATGCGTTGACACCCCCGAGGACTGAGATGGAATGCCTCATTTCCAGTAAGAAGGGTTTCCAGTTCTTTACACTCACCATATGAAACACAGCAGCCTTAGCCTTAAGCTGCTATTTTACGCACTCTATTGATGGTTTTGAATTTTCGGGCTGGTGGCGAAAGCCTTACGCGAATAAAATAATTTTGCCTTCCTAATAATAATTAATTAATTACAGGCGATGGTAAAGTACAGTCTAACGAAGTGGTATGCCCAGTGAACGTAAATTCACCAGCTGGGGACAGCAGTTCTGCACTTTACACTGTCAACATGGCAAAGTGCCAAGTTGTGGAAGCTGAAGTAAGTTAGTTAATTTTGCTATAATTATTTGTATTCATCTTAGTAAAATTCAATTAAGAGAACTCTCAAAATCTCTAAAATGAAATAAGATCGGACTATAATATCTTCGCCGGTAAAAACAGAAGTGGCTAGGGGGCGTGTCTGTGTCAGCGCGCTATTATCAAAATGCTCAGCTTCTATACAAATGGCCGTCTCTGCGAATTAGTGCGCTTGCGACCGTCATCGTGAAATATTATCAGAATGCCATGTTGTTCAGTGGTTTCATGTAAAAACCGTAAACTTTGTCAATCATGGAATCACATACCATACCTAAGTACAAGTATTTCATTATATTTATCTTTAAAATCATATTAAACAACAAATCGTAAAATATTTCTTTCTCTTACTACGTTATTCTTGTTTCCAAATATCACAACCACTGTAATATTTTTGCAGTAAATATATTGCTCCATAACCACTACCTAAATAGGATGCCAAGTGACTCAACAAGCAATGTAAATATCATAAAACAATACTTTATTTATGCGGATATATTGCGTAGTACGGCCGCTGTATCTTGTGACGAGCTAGTAATGTGCGTGTGCAGATCCACTATCGACAATAATGTCGATTGGCGATTTGCTATCATAGTTTATTCTCCAATTTGTCAACCGTTTCAACCCGATAGGAAGACCGATGTGAATAATGTTTTTTTTATATATTTTGATTATTTGACAGCAACTACGACGCTGAATGCGTAACCAAAGGTCGTAAAGTAAGTTGATAAAATTTTAGGTTACTAATCGATGGAGTATTCTTATGTTTGAATTATCATATACAAGTATCATAAATACCTAACCGGCATGGTTATATAGTGACTTTGGTTTAAAATTAGTCAATATAATTATTCTTGCTATTTATTTGATAGACATGTGGATTATCACTAACCAGGGGTTTTTATAACAAAAGATCGCCAAGCAAAACCTGCTTAGTACATGGTGAGGTTAAAAAGTAGCTTAGAGTATATGAAAATAATAAATAGGTTGGTAATCGTACCTTTCGGCTTGCCAAATGATGCTAATTTAAAAAAGGAATGGATTGATGCCACTGAAAGGCCACCTGACTTCGTTCCCTACAAAAACTAGTACTGGCCGTCGTGATTTGTATGAGAATGAAAATTATCATAAAAACAACTTGTCTCGCCAATGATAAGCAATTAAAAATCAAACAGAAACTCATGGCAAAGGCTTTGCCAAATTTAATATTTTTAATGTTAAGTTTCACCAATTTGAGCAGTCCCCGATGAATTATCACATTATATTTCTAATAAAAGCAATCATGTAAAAATACATTAATTTAAGATTACACTATTTGACACAAATGCCACCCCAGAAATTTAAAAAAGTGCTGCACAAATTGCTAACTTTACAGGTCAGTGAGTAAGCACCATAGCATGGTTCCAAAATATCTACTACTTCAATCCGCTATGATAGCCTAAACCAACATAACCGGATTTTTTACTGTTTTTATTTATTTTATATTTAGGGCCCAAAAAATTTTAGTACAATTTTGGTATAAATGAAACAATCGATAACGTTCCAATTTAGTCGATCACTAACGCATATGTAAAATAAATCGCTTTTTTACAGCACAACGATAGAGCCCAATACTTTTGTGTGAGTCAGTAGTACGGTGAATGGTAAATGAACGTTGTGATTTTAGAGATATGTAAAGTTACAGCCTATATACGTCCCACTGCTGGGCTCAGGCTTCCCCTCATTTCTGAGAGGGTTTAGGGCAAGGAAGTGTCCGCCGCGCTGCCCAAATGCGTGTTGACGAACTTCACATGTCTTCGAAATATTTTTTTTCTTATTCCTCAGACATGCAGGTTTCCTCACGATGTTTTCCTTCACCGCCGAGCACGTGGTAAATCAGCACTTAAAATTGCAATTAACAATTTCATTGGTGCCGGCGGGGATCGGACCCGGGTTACTCGCGTTCTGTTATATTTACAGCGAACGTTAACCACTGAGCTACCACGGCTCTTTTAGAGATATGGTTTATAATTAATTGTGTAGTACGTTACGATTTATAAATTGCGAGTGTATGTGTGACTGCGTATCTATTGCTTTTACTGGTCTGTTTATGTAGTAGTTGGCGCGTGGTAGGGGCCAACTGGAGACACCGTGTTCCGATACATTTTCAACTACTGGGCATATCTCCTTTATTATTATATCTATGGTTTATTGCCGTGCCGTGTTCTGTGGGATTCCTCATCATCTCGTAGGTGTCGTAGGAGACTACAGAGGAAAACTGAAACAGGAGAGTGACGAGCGGCAACATCTTCCCAATAACACATTAAAATAGTCGCAACTATTTATTATTACTTAGGCTAACTCTTGTTTTGTTTTGTATATATCCTTGTTATGAGGCAATCTATAGGGGAAGCCTTTGTTCCAGCCGTGGACTTTTGATAGGCTTTGAAATAATACTAGTTTTTACGGAATTTATCGCGTATATTTAACTTTTTAAATACCCGACGTTTCGAACGCTTTACAGCACTCATGGTCACGGGCGGGACTGAGATGTTCAACGTCCATATGTCATAGTTAACCGCGGTTACCATAGATTAAAATTTAACTTTTGTTGCGATCTATGCAGTATGAACTTATGGTATCTTGAAGTCTTGCAGTTGTATGCTTGGGTTGGGATTTAATTTTAGTTAAGGATCCCAAGCAGATGGTAGCACCCAGCCATATTCTCTATTGAAATTAGGATGTTTTTTGATTTACGCAATAGCCTCGCGAATCATTCCTTCGAAGGAATCGGTGTTCTTTAGCGAGGATTTGCGGTCTATCAAAAACATCTGATTTCAATGACGGGGGCGCTACATCTGTGTACGTGTTCACAGGATAATCTGCAGTCTGTGAACACGTACAAGATCGCCCCCAAGTCACTACATGGTAACCGCGGTTAACTATGACATATGGACGTTGAACATCTCAGTCCCGCCCGTGACCATGAGTGCTGTAAAGCGTTCGAAACGTCGGGTATTTAAAAAGTTAAATATACGCGATAAATTCCGTAAAAACTAGTATTATTTCAATGTGTAGTGTTGGCGTAAATATAAGAAATCATTTTGATAGGCTTTAATGAAAAAAAAAATTGTTTACTGCTACATTTAGATCTTTCCATAAATGTAGTGAGGACCTACTATACTCGATATGCTTGACAGGAGGAATGGCGATTTCAGATTTCACCCGCCCCGGCTTCGCACGGGTGATTTCTGGATCTCGACAACAGCGCCACCTACCGGCTCCAACAGTAAATCAAACCAACCACTCAAACACACACAAAAAAAAAATCATCAAAATCAGTCGAGCTATTTTCGAGTTTCAGAGAGATTAATGGACAGCGATTGATTTTTATATATAGAAATATTTAAAAACAAAATTCTACTGCTGTTTTTTATTTAAATATAACGCAACGTTACAGCATATATACACCTTACCGCTGCACACAGGGCTCCTTTAAGAGGTTTGTTTGTGTGTAAGAGGTTTTTTTTTAGTACAAGGAAATGTGCGTGCTGCCCTAATGCGTATTACCGAAATATTTTAGACATGTCGGTTTTTCCGCACGTATAAAATCTACACTTGAAATTGCATGGATCTAAGAACAGTGGCCCTATATGCAACTGGATAAATAACTACTGTGTATTTGACATCTGGCATATACCAGATGATTATAGCTCTCTAATACAGGAGCCATGTAAAATTTATTGCGAAAGTAGGGAAAGATATTTTAATAGATGTTGTTACCTAGAACTTGTGTCCGCTCAAAGAGATAAAAAAATTAAACTTTTGATAAAATGAAAAATTGACTTCTAAAACTAATAAAAACATAATTTATTAGCTTCTGAAGTTGGTTAACAGCTTTAATTAACAATTTTTTTTATATAAGTGTATATTGATTACAGATATCAGACGACGACTCGGTGGCTTCTTGCCAGTCGGATAGCGAGGAGGCCTATCTCACAGCCTCAGAGCACTCCGATCACCCTGACCCCCATAAAGAAGATGAGGACAAACTAGAGGATGCCAGTGATCGAGCATTGGTGGAACCTTTTATATATGGGTAAGCTTATTTTGGATACACTTGTGATAGAAGCTATAATCTTAAATTCTAGGGTAAACTTCTATTCTGCTTAAAAATCAATATCTTCTTGAGTTGGACTTCACTGTTGTGTTTCAGTTTTAATGTATTTATTTGCTTTATTAGTTTAACAAGCCGTTAGAATTGCATAGAATTGCTCAGGGTTGACAACACACCTGTAGCATCTTTTGCAAATTGGTTGCTGATTTTCATGGGCAACAGTAGTCCGGTAAGCATGAGGGCAGAAGCTTTTTAGCACTCTAATACTGTAAGAAAATAGTCAATAAAAAAACAGCAAAACAGTTCGCACTTTTAAAATAAAACTAAAGGAATACATACCTTTTAAATTTGCAAAGTAAATAGAATTCTGTGTTGATGTATCCCACCTTTCTTATGAAGTATACTGTGTCTGTATATTATAAAACTAAGAAATTAACTACATTTATTTATTTTGATTTTATATCTTAACAAATAATTTAATTGTGAGTCTTGTGCCTTGCACAAGTTTGTCCCGGTACTTGGAGACGTTTTCCCGAGAAATTTCATATTATCCCATGGGTGTCCTACTAGACGACAGGGGGAAACTGATCTGTCAAACGAAAAAGCGACGCTAAAGAGACAAACATATACATTTATAGGATTTAGCTTGCGAGAGAATGAGATAGAATACGGTATACAATGTATATTATAAATTTATTAATATTTTAATTGCATAAACCCTACAATTATCCTACTCCTGATTCCTATTCGCCTAATTCTCTCAAAGTTTAGTTTTCTGAAGGTTTCATTGTTACTGTGAACTGTTTTTTTTTAATTTAGTAGTTTTTAGGATGACACTGGTGCCCGTCCATACATGATCCTGTTTCTTTCCCTCCGTCGCCTCTCAAAACACGCACGGGATGATATGGGGTGATGGATATTTCTTAATAGAAAAGGGGGCAAACGAGCATGCGGCTCACCTGATGTTAAGTGACTAGCGCCACCAGGTCGGTATGATCAACCGCAACACCAGGGGAATTGCAGGTGCGTTGCCGGCCCTTTAGAAAGGAGTAAGCTTTTTTCTTGAAGGTCCCCAGGTCTTATCGGTCCGGAAAAATCGCCGGTGGTAAACTATTCCACAGAGAGATCGTACGCGGAGGAAAACTCCCTGTGAAACGTCAACGGTCCCTGTGGACCGCCAAGCATCCAGATGGTGTGGATGGTATCGAGACGTTTGCCGCGTAGTGCGTTCACGAAATTTGGCGGCTGGGATTAATCCGAACAATTCCTCAGAGCACTCCCCATGGTATATGCGAAATAAAATGCAAAGAGATGCAACATCTCTTCGCAGTGCCAGTGAATCGAGCCGATCGGAAAGCACTCGGTCGTCGACGATTTCGAGCGTTGACGATTGTTGTTACAAGTGGAAGGAGCTGGTACTGGGAAGCCCCAGCCCAGAGATGGGAACAGTATTCCAAGTGCGGCTGAACTTGCGCCTTGTAAAGTTGCAGGCGGTGTGCCGGCATGAAATACTGTCCGGCTCTGCTGAGCACGCCAAGCTTTTTAGAGGCCAATTTGGCCCTCCCTTCCAAGTGACCACGAAACTGCACGTCACTCGATATGTCAACGCCGAGGATACCGATACTGGCTGAGGCAAAAAGGGGCGTGCCTTGAAACTAGGGAGATACGACAAAGTGGTTCTATTTAGCGGTTAACGCGCAAACTTGTGTCTTATGGGGGTTAAACTGGACTAGATTTAGTCGCCCCCAATCCGAGACTCTGTTCAGCAAAGACTCTACTTCGGACACAAGTTTGTCCCGGTACTCGGAGACGTTTTTCCGAGAAATATTGGCACGGCCAGCGTACAGAGCATCACCAGTGCTGTCATCTGCATAGCAATGAATGTTACGGTTTTGCAACATATCATTGATATGCAGAAGAAACAGCGTTGGTGATGCATGCAGCCTTGTGGAACGCCAGCATTAATAGGCTTGTAATCAGAGCTTGCACCGTCTACAACGACCTTGATGCTCCGATCTGCAAGAAATCTGGTGATCCAATTGCACAATTTCTCGGGAAGCCCATATGAAGGAAGCTTCGAAAGAAACGCTTTGTGCCAAACCCGATCGAAGGCCTTCAAAATGTCCAAACTGACGGCCAATGCCTCCCCTTTGGACTCTACTGCCTCCGCCCATCTATGAGTCAGGTAGACCAGAAGATCACCAGCTGATTGACCACGACGAAAACCGTATTGGCGATCACTGATCAGCTGGTGATCCTCAAGGTACCTCATGAGCTGGCAGTTTACAATGGACTACATTGTTTTTGAGAACAAGGTGGTGATGGCTATAGGCCTGTAGTTGGACGGGTCTGAGCGGTCGCCTTTTTTAGGGATCGGATGGACGAAAGCCGTCTTCCATGATTTTGGGACTACGCCTAGGGAGTGGGAGTACCGGAAAAGACGCGTTAAAACCGGTGTCAACTCTGGAGCACACATCCTCAGCACAGTTGAGGGGATTCCGTCAGGCCTACTCGACTTGTGGATGTCCAGGGAGAGGAGTGCTTTGCGAACCGAACGCTGTGTAAACCGCACCTCCGGCATGGAGCACTCACACCGCGGGATGGTCGGCGGCTTATTCCCCCCATTATCGAGAGTCGAGTTGGACGCAATTAAAAGCGCCTAGCAGATCGGGTTCTTCCTTTGCGGCATGGGCCAGTGAGTCGGCCTCCTTGAACAGCCTTGGTGGGAGACCAGAATGCACGGGTTCCAGAAGGAAGGCGAACTAGTTTCTCGCTAATTCTGCCTATGTGCTCTGACTTTGCCTTGGCAATGACTCTTGAAGAACCTGGAGGCGGAATTATAATTCTTTTTTAGAGAGCTGGTATTTACATCCCGGGACGTTGACGCGTCAGCCCAGGCTTGGTAGCACTCCTGCTTATAGCATGATGTTATTTTACAGGAGCGACCAAACCTTGGCTGAGATTTGCATCCGATGAGCACCACAGAGGAAAGAATAAAAAGTTCCATACTCTGGTGTACCACATCAGCAACAACGTTGGGATCGTCCGGCGAGAAGCAAACCCGCCCCCAAGGGTAGGATGCAAAAAAAGACCGCATCCTATCCCAATCGGCTGACCTATAGTGCCAAACACGGCGGCAGCCTGCAGAATGCAACCGCGATTTCAGCGTGAGTGGCACCACACTTCAGACAAGACAATGGTCCGAGGAGCCTAAAGGGGCGTCGACGGAAATCTGATATCCGTCCGGACGAGAGGTCAGCAGAAGGTCCAACAGGAAAGGTGCATGATCCTCCACATCTGAAATACGCGTAGGCGAAGTAACCAGTTGTGTCAAACCATATGCCAAAAAATCATGAAAACTCCTGAGCAGATCTTCCCGAATGATCGGCTAAACGTGAACCAAGCCATTCGGCGTGGTGGGTCATCACGATCTCTGCGGAGGGGTTCTGCTGTAGCTACGAATCTGTAGCCATTTGAACGTGGTCGAAGAGTCGGTTTGTTTCAGCATTACCGCTATGGAACCTCTAGAGGCACCCGTAGACGCGCGGATGGTCGTCACTGTCTACGCGTAGCCAAAGGACGGACAGGTCCGAACCTTCAAGACTGCCGAGACGTCGAGAACAGATATCCTGAACAGATGAGGCATAAAAGATTGTTCCAGTTTGTACCCCGGGTGGGAGAGATACGAAGCATCAGCCGGAGAGGACGCCTGCGTCTCTGTCGGAAAGAGCAGAGCCGGCGTCGCCGTCTCGAGATGGTAGTGGACGGCGTTTAGGTTAGAGTGAAGCCCCCTGATATTGGAGAAATTCACGGATACTGTGGCTGGAGTCGCTTTGGTCTTGTTGCTCCGTTGCCCCGAGCAGTTGTTGTCTTTAGCGGAATTCCCCCCCCCCATAATACGGCAGCCTGAGCACCCACGCTCAGGAGTGGAATAGCTTGGTCATGGATGCTCAGCGAGGGATTCTCCAGGGGTGCTGGGGTAGTCTATCATTTAATTCCACTACCATGTTGATGGGGGGGGGGGATTCGGCCTCCGGCCACCTGCACACCTGAAGCGCGGAAGCTGAGCTTCCGCTTCACACCGGTATTCTGTGAGATCGTGGTACCACCCCAGTTTGAGCCGGCCCATACGTGCAACAGCAAAGCTGCCGCGTGGCTCTATTCCTGTTAAAATAATAATAATATAGAATATAATAAGAAAAAACAAACAACTTATACAACGAATGAAAATATTAAAAATATAATTTTTTGCAGCGAGGAACCGACCAAGATGGATCGACTGGTGTATGAAGCGATATTGCAGAGTGATGTTCCGCTGGAGCAATTTCCTAACGTATACAGGTGGCGGCACACCATTTCACTATACCCACCTAAAGAGAGGGAAAAGTAAGAATGATCTACTTGTTTTTCTTTCCGAGAATCCTTTAGCCGAAAGAAGACTTTTGACGAAAGAAGTCCTTTAGCTGCGGCGCCATTTTACGAACATTTGACATTTGCTGTCAAATTCCAAACTTTAAATTTTTAGTTCGCATATTTCTGCAGGACCTCTTTCGTGAAAAGGATTTTAGTTCAAACCTAAGACTAATTTCTTTTTGTAATAAGATGCCATATTATATTTATTCAAAAATACCCATATTGGTTTTTGACATGTAGCACATTTAAATTTGCAAATTCCAGATAGTAGTGCAGTGGACTCTTTTCTGGTCTATAAGGCTCTCAGTTATGACAATCCTGCGATTGGTAGGCAAAAATGTGAAAGTGAAAACTTAAGGTTTTTAGCATGATATCTCATAAGCCATGTTGCCCGTCTACCAAAGCGTACACTTTGGAAGACAGGTGGCAGTTGGTTATCGATAATCTTATACGGATTTATCTTTTGTTTATATTGGTATTATTGACAGTGGTTGTAAGAATATCCACAAGCCCATAAGCATAAGTGGGTGTCGTAAGAGGCAACAGAGGAAAACAAACCAGGCAGCAGTATTTTCCTTATTAAAAATAAGAAATGCTGCAGTTGCCAATCCACTTTAAGTACAGAAACCATGACAAGTATCCTCCCTATGAGGTAACATAGGTGTCACCACATATATATATATATTTTTTTTTTATTCAGCAACTTGATAGTATCGTAACGGTTTACTAGTGAGGTTAACTGCCTCGTTGGTCTAGTGCATGGAGTATAGAGGTAAGGAGGACAATCTCCCATAGGAGAATAGTTGAAAATGTGTCCATCTGTAAGCAGTAAATAACAGTTCAAAAACTCTCCAAAACAGCGCTCGAGTAGCTACAGGGTATGATAAATCGCCGTAAAATACATTGAGAGTAATTTTGAAAGCAATAAAATAATTATTGTAAAAAGAGTTATAGTGAAAGTCTGTACAATAAAAAAATTATAAAAAGTTCTTTAAAATTTAGACTGTAGCTACAGTGGCGCCACCCTTACAACGCTTTCCCACGGACACTTTTTTTATACAGAGTCTGTACTCCTTACCTATACACTCCATAGTCTAGTGGTTTTAACGTGACTGCTGATCGTTAGGCCCCGGGTCGACTCAAAAAATATTACTTATTGAGTTTTTCGATCAAGAAATTTTCAGTAACTGTCTGGAGTCAGGAAGTTGGCGGTGTCTCACCCCCGTGCCTCGGAAACCACGTAAAGGCGTAAGTCCTGCGCCTGATCTCTCTTCAGTCGTGTCGGTTTAACGTCCTATCGGAATATGAGAGTGAAGGAATAAAGAGTGCAAAGAGCACATACACTTGAGCACTATAATTTTGTCCTGCGCCGATGGCTAGTCTCCGTTGAGGCTGGCCCGCCGAAGCCGATATTCGGTCTGGAGGACATTATTAGTGAGTATGGCAAAACTAACACATTATTCAGCTCATGTTGAGTTTTTAAGCAAACGCTGCAGAATATAGGCTCTAACAAGAATGGAGTGGCTTGACGGGCAATGGACCAAGCTTACACAGAATGCTAGCGCTGCAGTACTTATAGTATGTAACGGACACCAGAGGCCATTTTAGCTGGCAATTAGTATTCAATCTTAATATTCTGGAGTGACAATGTATCTATATTTGATTCTTAACCGAGAATAGATGTAGGTTCCTATGAGCCTTATGAGCACTTAACATCAGGTGGACTGTGTGTGAGTTTATCCTTACTACTATAAAAAAATGAGTGGTCCTTAGGACACCTACATACATCTTTCCGAAAATTTACAGGCCTTGGTTCTTACCAACTATCATACACAGCTGTTATTTTACGCTAATGTTCCTTGTGAAACTTGAGCAGTGAGGCATACCTACTCTTTTTTTCTCCAATAAGCTTTGCTCAACGGAAAGGAGTGCAAAGGCTATTTACATTTTAAAATGTTTCAATGTTTTGATTACGATTGACAAATGGGTAATGAATGTTCTCAAGTAGCTACATTCTTTCATTTACAAGGGTGATAAACGAACTTATACCGCTTTAAATAGGTGTTGCATCCCATAGTCACCTGCATTTATCATTGGTTAAGAATCAAAATGCAAATGTGTTGTCAACTATGAGGACTCAGATAAAACACGGTAGTATTATGGCACCATTGCGCTGGTATTCTCTGCTAGTGGTCTTTCCCCTATCGAACCGACTCATTCATGCTGCTATTATAACAAATGTGTGATGTTATACATGGTGTTTGTTATGTCCAGATGGCAGCCAGGGCCAGGGCTGAATGAGAGTACAACGCAGGCATCGCTATTGTTGACAAGCAGTCCTTGTGCGAGCAGTCCTTTTGTGAGCAGTCCTTTTGCCAGCAGTCCTTTTGTGGTCAGTCCTTGTTCGAGAGTGGGACGCGTGAGGTCGCGGTTGTCCGGCCGTTGCAGTACGCCCAACAAGGAACGAGATGACGACTCCGGCAGATCATTGCCTCTACAGGTGACAACACTTGTTTACAATCTAGTCAAATTTGTTCATCTTTATACGTTTGTTTATTACATTTCAGGCTGCAGACCTGTCCAAAATTATACCAAAATATCTTAACTTGACGTATGGGCCGAGCGTTTACCATTCCACTCGTGACCAATGAGCACATAGACGCTATCCCATCGATCCTTGATTAAGAACTAAAATGCATGTGTTTTGTCATACCTAACGATTAATATGAAACACGCATTGTAAATCAGTCTTAACAATTTTAGATTTTGCAGTTCCAGAGTATGTTCCAAAATAGAACCCAATGCAAATGACGTCATGAATCGACGCTATATTGGTGATTCGTTCCAAAACATAGGACAGCATATGACGTCATACATTTGCGGCATATTGGAAAAGTGTTGCGATTATTTTGTCATTTTATGCTCCAAAAATCATTATATCTTCCTAATGGAGATACCAGCAATTATTCTATAAATTTTTTGTATTTGGATAAATGAAAACAAATTCTGGCATGCTTCATTCAACGCACACACAATTAAAAATTGTTTTATTGTGGCCGGATATCCGACGCAGTATGGCGGCGGCACGCCAGTATAATATAGTGTCAATTGATGACGTCATTTGCATTTGCCAGTGTACTGGGTTGTATTTCGGAACATACCCCCAAATTCATTCATTCCTTTATTACAGCCTATGAGAAGTCCACTGCTAGACACGGGCCTCCCCATAAATAACTTCATATGGGGGATGTTAGCCATAGTTGTTTGTTGACACCCTTGGTAGGCAGGTTTGTGATCGTAGAAACAGACGCACACATATTTAATTTCAATATCTCCAGGAAAAGCTCTTAATTCATTTTTCATAAATTATAACAAAATATTTTAAAAGCTTTCAAGTAAAATCTGATCAGAATATGAATGCATCTTCTGTTTACAAACATTTAATTTTTATTATTGTTAATTTTCTTGCGTTGTATTTAATTAAAATATTTAAATAATATTATAATTACATAATTTATAATATTAAATAAGCGACAAGCAAGTCAAGAATAATTTCTTTAAAACTAAAGTCTTCAGTTTGAATCCGCCACTCGACTGCTGTCGTGAATCACTCCTATTATAAAACTACTGTAATTTTATTTATTAGTATTGTTAAAAATAAATAAAAATAAAATATGGTAGTATAATTTTCAGGTTTCGAACTGGCTTCGCGTCACTGGGCCAAATTCACCTCGCTCGGCTACGGCAACCAAAAACATGGGTCATAATGTTAGCTTTGGTTTCTGAGATAAGTTTTTCTCACAGTATATATCTTCAAGAAATAACAAAAACTAGAAATTGATTTGTTGACATTGTTCTTAACATAATAAAGACGTGTTCGTCTTAAAGAAAACATTAACAAATATATTTCATTTGAATTGTAGTAAAAATTATTGTAAATTATATCGATGAATAATTGTACCTATATTAGTGTTTTTATTGTTATTTGCACTATATTAATATTGATAGGATTTAATTGCGTGATATTTCAGATACTCGTCAAAAACATTTCTAAAATTGAATACAGTTATGGTGCCTATGCAAAATAGACACAAGTTTCACAATATGCGACTATTTTGTGTACTCTGTTATATCGACCAAAATATATGCATTTATGTGGGTGAATATTATCATATTTTCTGGAATCTGAGTGCTTAAAGTATTTTTACACTAACTGTAGCTATGGTAAAGAAATAATTTTAAAACAGCAGCACATTTTTGTTGCTATATCTATAAAATCTGTTTGAATATATCACCTAATCTTCCCTACAAAATTATTTGTGAAATAAATAATGGTTGTTTCTATGACATACAGTAATAAGTGGGAATAAGAAATATTGTGAATTTGGTTTGCTTCGATATTTTATTCATTTTAAACTATTACATTTTAAGCTACTTTGCTGAAATCATATGGTAATTATTGTTTACTAGCTGTTGATGTATATGTTGTGTTCATGTAACTGATAATCTCATTTTTATATTTTATATGTTAGGTATCTAACAGAAGCATTAAGGCATTGTACGATGTAATTAATTGTTAGTTATGTTTCGTTTTTGCATTTGTAAATTATTCCACATTGTTCTATTTTGCAATTATTTGACAATAAACATACCGTTCACTGCGTTGATTAGCATTTATAGTTTAACAGTTATTGTATGTCATAATTATTGTGATATTTGCCAAAAGTTCATAATGGAACGTTGCACAGAGATACATTTACGAATGTTTGTACTTTTATATATAAATGAGAAAATAAAAGAAAAATGTAAAAAAGTATGTTTTATATCCGTTTTAATTCACATAAATATTAGAAAAATAAATTATGACTGGAATACTCTTTGGTTTTTTATTTACTGTAATTTAATCCCAAAAATTATCGTCTTCGGAGGTCTTAGGGAGGGAGATGGGGGAATTGTCCAACATTGAATGACTGTTGTAGTTGTCAACATCGGCTGAAAAATTGTCCGAGTAATCTTTCTGATATTCATCAGTTTTATTTAAGGATTCAAGTCCATCTTCAGAATTGACTAAACCTATATTAATACTGGATGCATCTTTAGCTGGTTCTGTTTGAAAAATAGCATTTAAGGCGTCATTTTTAGGGTGATGTGCAGCTGGCTCTGGGGAAGGACTGGTTATAAACTTGTCGGGGGACTGTTCTTCGTAATTTTCATTTAGACGCGTAAGGAATTCTTCGGTTCGTGGACTTTTTATTGATTCATCTGGCGACTTAGATTTAATAGTCCTAGCAGAATGCTCTGCTAACGACAAATCTTTAATTTCATTAATAATTATATTTTTATCTAATTCAATGTCTACTGGTTTCCTAGGACTATTTATTTTGGGACTTAATACTATTGTCATTGGCGCATGCTTTGTAATATCATCTTGTGATGTTATTAACTCCTTAGTATCTATTGAACTTTCTACAATAATCATTAAATTGTCTTGCGAGTCCAGTGTTTTAATATTTCTTGTTTGTGTTACACTTTCTACTTCTACCTTGAGTATATTTCTGTTAGAATTTAAGTTTAAATCGTCATGAATTTGTTTAGCGGATAGGTCATCATCTGTAGTTACACTTGTTTCATTTATATGTTCTTTTGTTTTTGAATCAACCATTTTGTTTTCCGTACACTCTTTTAATTCCGCTCTTTCCTTAATTTCTGGATAACTGATGATTTCAGCATTCCTATCAATACAAATATCGGAGGGAGTTCTGAACTGGGTATTTTCTGTTTTATTCTGCTTAATTTCATATCTATCTATAATAGGGGACTTTGATTTTGAATTATCTGTTCTAACTTGTTTAAGAGGTTTTGGATTATGGTACAATTTTCTGAATTCCGTTAATGGTGCCTCTAAATAATTCACATTTTGAATTTTTGAATTATTTTGAATTCTGTTTCCATCATCTAATTCTTTATCCAAGTTAAAATATGAATTTGGTATCGGCTTAACCCGAACAGCTGTTGTATTTTTATTTGCAAAATGCTCCATAAAATTATATTTAGTTTGATAGTTTCTGAGATATTTATCAAAATCTTTTTTTAAAGCCTCCTTTGTCACCTCTACATACTTGTTTTCATCTTTGGTATTGATATTTTTATGTTGTTTATGAAAGGAACTGTTGTACTGGAGGTCTGAAACAAAATGTAATAGATTTACTTAGCAAGTGTAACGTAAGTGAGTGGAAGAAGACATAGAGCATCACGGGTCATTGGTGAATCGAGGTGAATAGCCATATATACAGGTGATCCCCTCTGTCAAAGTGTATAAGTCCGAACGGTCCTATGCGTACAATAAAACTAGTTGCAGCTGCACTATGCAACTGATCACTAGATTAAATATAGTTGCGCGGTTGAATCGACGTCCCATAAAAATGCCGAATTGTTAAGTTTTTTTTGCTGCGAAAAGAGATATCACATTTTTGCTATTTACTTCTATTTAAATTTAAAAATTACAATAATAACGGTCGAATTGTTTCACATTTGTTTACCAATACAGGCCGCTCTTCCTCACACAATACGCGGATCTGTCCAGTGACTGATCCGAGTTATCGCTGTCGCCGAGTGATACTGTTATAATATTTCTATGTGTGTGTGAAATTGTTGTTTTATTGTTTAAATTGTTGTGTAAATTTCGTAGTGACAGACGATTTTTTTTGTGCGCACAGATTTCCCCCGCAAATAATGACAGTTCTGTATCGGGGAAAAAAACGCTATGGCTACTCCCCTCCGATCCGCCGGTGGCCCGTGTTGATGGAAAGAAGGTATAAAAGACCTCTAGGTAGGCCGACCTCTAAAAAATAAGTCTGATGCACAAAAACAACAACCTTTTCACACAAAAAGTGTTTCAGTTTGATATTTGAAGGACAAGGAGCCGATCGAATACGCATACGGCCTGATTTGGTTGAACCTGATAGAAATTGCTTAGATGCTACAATATTCTGACCATCAGGTGGCCTTTACACTAGTTTATCACACTATAATATATTCGTTATCGTGTAACGATGATTTTCAGGGGGCGTGTGATGATATAAAATATATGCGCAATAATATTTAATATGATTTGATAACGCATTCACAAATATGACAAAAGTGGATCGCATCAAATATCAGACTTACGAAATGTTTGTGACGTAGTTAGATTTCTATAAGTAAGATAGTTTTAATTATGCTTGTGGCTCTTTCAATAAACGTACGTACATCTGGGTAGATACAGTTTATTTCAACCTACCACTATTGCTAACACACTAGAATCGTTATTCTTCTGAAGTAACCTATGTACTTGTAGGTGATATTCGATGTATTAGAAAGTAAGCCAGTATTAAATATACACTCGAGTTGAACAAACGTCTTGATCTTTCATCCCATTATATATAACATAATTCATGGCGACCCATGCCAAGCGCGCGTGTCCGGGTGCAGGCTAAAAGTGCGGACTTTGCACATTCCTGTGTGCCTCGGCAGTGAATGCAACTACGTAATAATAATGAATAAGAATATAATTATGAACTTTGTGGTGAATAGTAATTCGAGAAATGAAGAACATGAGACGACGATTGCCCAAACTGGAGGAACCAATACTGTGGAAATAGAAGAAAAGGATTATCATATAAAGATTAACAATATATTGATCACAACATTTTTAATTTTGGCATCAATCGTCCTGGTTGTTATCATATTTTTGAAGCTGAAGGAAAAATATAAGAAATGGGTAGAAAAGAAAATTAATGCGGAATTTTTAAGAAGAATGCGCACTACTGTCTAACAGACGTGAACCGCGTAATGAAGAAGATGTATAAATTTGTGTTGCCTTACTTTCTCCGAGTGCCTCTACACCGTATATCTACGTAACCGGCCTACCCCTGTACTGAACCCTGGACATAAGTGAGCGATCCTTGACTTCTCCGAGTGCCCCTACACCGTATATCCACATGACGACGCCTGTTTTTGGACTCTGCGCGTGAGCAGACAAGCAGCGTGAAACCATGGTGTGTTTTATATTAGTGCAGTTTCTAAAAAGTGCATTTCCGTTTAGTTTTTACGAGAGTGAGTCAAACCCTTTTTTTACGTGACAATTATAGTGACATTGGTAATTTTATAAACTTCTTTACGAAAATTATATTAAATTTAGGTAGCATGTTTAATTTTGTTTCTCTATAACATTTAAAATAGTTGTTGTCATGTGTTAATTCTAAGAATTACGACCGCGATCGGTCGAGATGCAATTCAGCATTTGTAATCGGTAGACTGTATGACTGCTTCGTTTTAGAATAAAATTAAAATCAATTGAATGAAATATGAACCGAGTGCAAGTTAACTTTAGTTTCTATATGAAATTAATGGTATTATGGCTGAGAAAATAATAAAAGATTAATGAGCAAATTGTCAGAAAAAAGGAAATATTTGATTAAAAAAGGACAAAGTAGGTATAAAGGTTCTATTGCGTTAAGTAAGTTGAACGAGGCCGAGATATATTTAAATAATAGTAAAGATATATTTTCTACATTAAGTAATATTAAGGATAAGTCGGAAATATCTTTAATTACTGAAACATATGACAAAATTTGTTCTTTATTTGCAGAAATAGCGAAATTGTGTGTTTCACCCAGCTTAGAGATGAAGTCAGAAAAGATGGATTTTGATTTGAAAACTGCTTGTAGCTTGATACCTCTTTTAGATGATAGGGAAGATACTACGAAACGATTGATTGATGCGGTGGAAATGTATGCAGACATGCTTAGTAGTGAAGGCCAGCAACTTTTAATTAAATTTGTTCTCAAGGGCAGGCTATCATAAAATGCTAAGTTGCGCGTGTCCAATTCTTATACTTTAGTAGACTTGATGATTCAAGATTTTCGTAATAAGTTATTGACAAAAAAAATTTCACTGTAATACATAATCAAATACAGTCTCTGAATCAGGGCTATAGGACTATTGAACAATACGGATCTCAACTTGAAAAACTGTTAACCGATTTGAATATTTCACAGGCTGACGGTGACGTCACTAAAAAGTACAGTTGTGAAACCAATTAATGAAAAAATGGTGATTAAAAAATTTACGGATAGACTTAAAAATGAAAAGTTAAGTACGATTATAGCTGCTAGAAATTACACATCGCTAAAAAAAGCCATTTAAGTGGCCAAGGATGAATCCACTCCATCGTCATCTACTCAGGCAGAGGTAATGAAAATTTCATCTTTTCCTAAAGGTCGCGAGGTAGATACAATAATCGTTCTTTTAGATTCCAAACCAGAGGTCGAGGGTTCCAGACAAATTACCACAACAATTACAACAACAGAGGTACTAACTTCCAAAATAATAATAACAATTTTAATAGATATCAAGGTAATAGATTGCAGTATACGCCGCAAGGTAGAGGACAAAACATGTTCTACAACAACAGAAGGGGATACAACAACAAGAAAGGTAATTTTAACAATAAAATATTAGCGTTGCAAAATGATAGGCCAGTACGAACTGCTGATAACGTAGAACACCCAGCTGATGAGAGAGAGAGTAACCAGTTTTTTCGGACTTAATAACTTAGTTTTTGCTTGTAGAGGTAACACTAAATTCGTAAATTTTTATGTTAAGAATAGGAAGATTATACTACTGGTAATTTGGTAATAAGGAGGAATGTATTACAATAATTTCATAATAAATGGAATGAGGTTGGGGTTGTTTTAATTATATTGATAAATTTACAGCAAGTTTTAGTTTTAGATTTATTCGCCGTTGTGATTTATTCGATGATAGTTTGGTGATTTTTTTCATTTTCGATAAACCTGATTATAGCAACTCGTTAGTACTCGCACCTCGAAGTGAGTCTATACATTATGTGTATTTGAATAATATATAATAATAATAATAATATTAGTTTATTCACTCCACTAATTTTACATATTACTTAACTATTTAATATGGTTACTATAGGAAGTGGAAGAGGATTGCTTTGTGTGCGCGAGAGAGATAGAAAAGGATGTATTTATGGCAGGAACTATTGTTCAACCGAAAAATAAACGCGTTCCAATTAAGATTTTAAATATTAGAGATGAGGAAATAAGATTAAACAATTTTACTTTAGATGTGGAACCTTTGAGAGAGTATAACATTTTTAAATTTGGTCAATGTAAAAGTAGCTCCAATAGGGCTAAATCTTTGTTACCTTTATTAGAACTTAACCATTTAAACAATGAAGAGAAAGAATCTATTGAAACCATTTGTTCTAAATATTCTGATATTTTCTTCTTACCAGGTGACAAATTAGAAACTACTAATATTTGCGAACATACCATTACATTAAAAAATAAAACTAATCTAATATATACGAAACAATAAAGATTACCACATGCATTAAAAAACGAAGTAAATAAACAAATAACAAAGATGCTCGATGACGACATTATCGAGGAATCTTCTACGAATATTCTGATATTTTCTTCTTGCCAGGTGACAAATTAGAAACTACTAATATTTGCGAACATACCATTACATTAAAAAATAAAACTAATCCAATATATACGAAACAATATAGATTACCACATGCATTAAAAAACCGAAGTAAATAAACAAATAACAAAGATTCTCGATGACGACATTATCGAGGAATCTTCTAGCGAATGGTCAAGTCCTATACTGTTAGTACCTAAAAAGTCTGAGAGCTCACAGAAATGGCGTTTAGTAATCGATTTCCGTAAATTAAATGAAAACATTGTAGACGATAAATTCCCGTTACCCAACATAGCAGACGTCTTAGACTCACTATCTGGTTCAATTTACTTTACTCATCTAGATTTACAACAAGGATACCACCAAGTAAAATTATCACCTGAAAGCAGAAAATACACAGCTTTTTAAACTAGTACAGGACATTACCAATTAAAACGTTTAGCGATGGGTCTTAAAACTTCCTGTAGTGCTTTCAGTAGGGTCATGTCAATAGCAATGTCAGGACTAGCGTTTGAGAAGCGTTTCTTTTATTTAGATGACCTTATTACGTTTGGAAAGTCTTTAGCCACTCATAACCAAAATTTGATAGACGTTTTTGAAAGATTGAGGAAGGTAAATTTAAAACTAAATCCCGCTAAGTGTCAATTTCTAAAGAAGTAAATTTTATATCTTGGTCATGTAGTAACCGCTGGTGGTATAGCACCTGACCCAGAAAAAACTAAAGTTCTAGGTAAGTTTCCAGTTCCACAGAATGCCGATGAAGTAAGACGCTTTGTTGCTTTTTGCAATTACTATAGAAAATTTGTACCTTTATTTGCTACCATAACAATGCCTTTAAATAATTTACTAAAAAGGGATGTACCTTTCATTTGGAATTCAGATTGCCAAAATGCATTTAATTTCTTAAAAAACCTACACCAATATTAGAATACCCAGACTTTGGTGAATCTAATGAATTTTTATTGCAAACAGACGCCTCAGACTTGGCTGTAGGAGCTGTGCTGTGTAATAAAAATAGAAAACCTATAGCATATGCTAGTAGACCATTAAATAAAGCTGAAAAGAACTATCCCGTAATAGAAAAAGAATTAACAGCAATAGTGTGGGCAGTCAAATATTTTAGACCCTATCTATTTGGCAGAACTTTTACTATCATGACCGGCCAAACAAACCTTTGATTTATTTATTTGGAATGAAGGATCCATCTAGTAGGTTAATTAAATATCGTTTAATTCAAGAGTACGATTTTAAAATTGTGTATGTGAAGGGTAAGTGTAATGTAATCGCAGATGCATTATCCAGAGTGTGTATAACATCAAGTGAACTGAAATGTATGAATGAGAAGGTTGTGGCAGTTGTAACGAGACAACGAAAGAAAAAGATGGAGCAGAATAGTACGGTAGAACAGACTGCTCTTAATAAGTGCCTTGATGAGTGGCCTGATCAACCACGCGTCGTGGAACTGTTAAGACAGCCGTGTGATTCCGTAGAATTGAGGTTGACTGACAGGGAAGTAATAGGAAAATTTAAGAAAGGAAATAATAAAGTGATAGAAGAAGAATGTTTTATGTATGTACTAAATAAAATGTTACTGTGTGTTAATTTAGGTTTTAAGTTGCATTTCTCGCGAGCCGAATTTGCAATTAAATTAAGAGTTTTGCAAAAAATAAAAGTAAAAGAATTATGCATAGTAAAAGATGGAAAGAATACTGAGTTTATAAAAGGAATATGTAGTGCAGTTAAATCGTTGAGTGAATGGTCCGGACCCCGAATATGTGTACTGAAAGGAATAGAGAGAATTTATGGTGAAAACGAGAAACAATTTATTTTAAAGGACATGCTGGAATAACTAGAATGACGAATAATATTAGGAGAAAATACTATTGGCCAGGACTAGATTCGGATATCCGTAAATATATAAGTAAATGCGCATTATGTCAGAAAATGAAACAAGGTAAATATACCAAACAACCTATGACTTTAACCTTCACTGCGTCGTCTACGTTCGAGAAAGTTTTCCTCGATTTAGTTGGACCATTGGATAAGGATGAGAATGGAAATTGTTATATTTTAACTCTCCAATGCGAATTAACAAAATATATAGAAGCGTATCCATTACCTAATAAAGAAGCTATTACAGTTGCAGAAGCTTTTGTAAGTAACTTTATTTTAAGATTCGGTATTCCGAAATGTATAGCTACAGATAGGGGGACAGAATTCATGTCTCGGGTTATGGAACAGGTATGTAAGTTATTAGAAATCGATAAGTTATCGTCAACTGCATACCACCACCAATCAATCGGTTCTCTTGAGATAGCTCAAAAACATTTAAGTGCGTTTGTAAGAACTTATTGTACTAAGTCGAATTTTTCATGGTCCCATTGAGTTCCATTTTAGTGTTATAGTTATAATAATTGTGTGAACACTCAAACTAAGTACACTCCTTTTGAACTTGTTTTTGGTAGACAATGTCGTTTGCCAAATAATTTGATATCATGATGTTGAACCAGCGTCTTTCATAATCCCGTAATTATTGTTTAGATTTAAAATATAAATTGCAGATAGCCTTAAGAGATGCTAGAAATAATTTGACTAACTTGTAAGAAAAAAGGAAAGATAAATATGATGAATCATGTAATCCTGTATTTTATAATAAGAATGATCTGTTTTACTTAAAATGAATGTGCTCGACTAAATTAGATTGTGTTTTTGATGGACCTTATAAAGTTGTAGAAGATTTAGGAGTAAATGTGAAAATTGATATAAATGGTAAAATTGACATTGTTCATAAGAATAGGACTAAGCAATTTAGTAGTTAAGAATATTCTTTTTTTTTTCTTTGCCCCCAAAGGTGAAGTAACCTATGTACTTGTAGGTGATATTCGATGTATTAGAAAGTAAGCCAGTATTAAATAAACACTCGAGTTGAACAAACGTGTTGATCTTTCATCCCATTATAAATACAGGCAAGGCATGAAAAATTGTTCTGCTATCCTAAACATTTAAATGAAGTATTCTTACATAAATTCTGATCAATTTCGTCCAAAGCTTTATCTGTGGTCAATCGGAGGTCTTCATTGTTCGCCTCGGACCTGCGCCTTCTAAAGTCCATGTAGGACTTCTCCACTGCCTCTGCTTCTATCTCCAACTTCCGAAGCCGAAGTTTAGCTTCACGAAGCATCGAATTTGGGCTCTTCTCGCGCAATGTGACGCTCGTCTGATGTCTCACGCTCTCTTTACTAGAAAATGCAAAGAATAAATATTATTCTTTTTTTTAATGGTTCCCCTATGCGTATGTTCACGCTAAATAGAAGCGTTGGTAGGTTCAGCGTAAGTTTGCCTATACTATGCTACATAGCTATTGCTAGTTCGGGAGTCAGGGCTTCAACTTTGTAGTGTCAATATGGTTTTATTCAATAAACAAATTTACTATTATTATTATTATGTTGATAGACCACTCGGATTGTAAGCCCAAAGACAATACCAGTATATTAGTAATACCGCTTCCCTATCACCAGTCTATGGCGTTAGGGTTCAAGATAACACAATTTTCCAGCATTTGTTAGCCGCTAGCAATTAACTAGATTTTAAATGTATTAAAAGTAAAGTAAATTTGCAGCCTATATTCGTCCCACTGCTGGGCACAGGCCTCCCCTCATTTCTGAGAGGGTTTTAGGGCAAGGAAGCGTCCGCCGCGCTGCCCCAATGTGTGTTGGCGAACTTCACATGTATTCGAAATATTTTTTTTCTTATTCTTCAGATATGCAGGTTTTCTTCAGTAACCCGGGTTCGATCCCCGCCGGCACCAATGAAATTGTTAATTGCAATTTTAAGTGCTGATTTACTACGTGCTCGGCGGTGAAGGAAAACATCGTGAGGAAACCCGTATATCTGAAGAATAAGAAAAAAATATTTCGAAACAAACTCAAAACAAACGTTATGCTATCAACTTTATAGCTAAGCCATCGGGCTGGGATAAATCCTGTGTCGCGTATTATGGCATAAAATGTAAGGGATTCATTATAATAATGGACAACTTTAACAGTTTTATAAGTTTATACTTCTCAATTTTGTCACTTAAATATTGTAAAAAAAAATCTGAAACTGGCCGTGGTCAAATTGAACCATGCTCAACATTACCTCATAAGCCAGGCCCGACTTGAGAAATATCCAGTTACCGTTATTGTTATAGTTACTTGCGCCCTCCTTTCTCCCAAGGAGGGTCGCATCCGGTTACGGCTTAAAAATCTCTCGTCAGATCGTTAAGCCAATCCCAAAAGGCGGTGTTTAGTGGGTAAAGGTCTGCACATAACCACGCAGCCGGCTGCGTGGTATGCTATGAGCATTCACCGCCTCCCTCTCCCGTTACCGGAGGGTTGCACTTATTTGCTTCGGGCGCAAAAAAATACTATTATAGCCTATAAAAGTGCCCACTGCTGAACATAGGCCTCCCCCATAAATTGTCTCATGTGGGGGACATTTGCCATAGTTTCCAAGCGGGTTGGCAACCGCACTTTGTTTACTTTTAGTCGTTATTAGGAAGGCACTGCTGCCGACCTCCTGATTTGTTCCCAATGTCGCCTCTTACGACACCCAGGGGATGATGTGGATATTCTTATTGCGCCTCTGCACGGCACGGTAGCGTTGGGCCTATTATGAGCTAATCGTAATAAAATGAAAATCGTACTTTCTTAGCTTCTGTTTGGCCTCTCTTAGAACATACTTCGGACTCTTCTCTCTTGTTTTATTTGTTTCTAAGGTCGGCTCAGGATGTGATGTGGCCTTTCTGCAATAAAATGTTTTTATTAGGGAATACATTTCGGTATTTTCTCTATGCATGTTTTGGATACGTTGTCTTTATTACACCGAATCCGGCCACAGATTATTCATTGTATTAAAATAAAGTACCTGTTATTCTCATTTATCAGTGAATTTAGGAATTGGTCATTAGCTGATATTTTGGGTTGGGGCGATATGGACTCAACAGCAGGCGATGCCTCCTGCACATCATCTGTGAAGGAAAACAAAAACTAATGCCGACTGTTCTATATAATAGCCATAGTATATAATCATTATGTGTAAAGATTGTCGCCAAAGCTTGTGAAATGTTGCCAACAAATAATTACCAAAAGATTGGCCGCGTTTGGCAGAAAAAAGCGCTAGCAAGCGCTTGTAAGCAAAACGGCGACACTAAACAGTTTTCGGCCAGGACACGTTTGCTAACTTTAGTAGCGCTGACACAATCCGCCATTTTGCTTAATTAATTTGTTTGTTTTGAAGTAGAGTTTATAAGTTGTTTTGTGCAATATTAGTTGTAAGTAATATAATGACATGAATAAACATATTATACATGTTATTAAAAATTCATGATTGGTAAGTTTTTAATATGAATACTTTACAAACATATATTTAAATTAGGTTAGGTTCACCGGTTAAAACTAACTTCGTGTCCTAGAGGAAAATAGCTACTTACGATTTGACAGCGCTTACCGCTGATGATCGCCATTTTGCTTACAAGCGCTTGCTAGCGCTTTTTTCTGCCAAACGCAGCCATTGACTGCGTGAGCTGTGACGTCGTGACGTTTGTGTTATTTCTAATGTTTCTTTTCAATAGTATGTGTCCTGTTCAATATCAAGGCAATCATCATGTCTTTAATGTTTAAATATTTAGTAACTAATCTCCCAAGTTATAATGCGAGCGCTGAAGGCTTGTCGCGTTGTAGCGAGATGACGTCACGCGTTCATTGAGGCATTGCTAGCAGTACTGCGGGGTTAGCCAGTCTACAATCGTTAAGCCTATTAGAAAATTAGAAAATTGAAATCAATGGCTAAGTCACGTGATTAATTTTAAAATATATCACTCGTATTTTTAGTTATCTATTAACGTTAAAGATTGTAGAATGTCAAGTCGGTAGAGCCGCTGAGCGAAAACGGCGAGACGTTGTCGGCGGATGTGGGGGTATTGATTGTTACGACAAAGGTTCTTGGGTGAACACCTCGTACCGGTAAGTGAATGGGCACTAGATGGAGATACGACCTGGTAAGATATGCACCTGACTCAGGACAGTTCTTTGAAGCGTTCCTTGAAGAAGGCCCATTTTCAACAGTGGACTTCTGAAGGTCTGTGATATGTGTATGATAATGATGAAACGGTAAAGATTTTCTTGTGTATATTTCAAGACCAATGGAACATGGTTGTAAGCCGGTGATAGCAGTTTTATGAGGGTAATATTTCTCTCTCATATTTCACTAGCTCACGTTTCTATCCTAAAGATATACATATCCTATTCTTCGTGTGCTTATGAAAAAAATGAGAAAAGTTATAAAATCAAGCCGTAAACTGTAGAATTTATGGGAAAATAATTATTAAAATTTACTGTTAAGGCAATTTTACCTTTACGCGATGTCCCAGCATGAGGAGAAACCGGTGTTGGTCTTTGATTCAGGCCACGATGGGGGGAAAATCGCCGCCGCAGTGAACGCCATTGATTTACCAAATGTCTGGAATTTATAATTTGTGTTATTAATAACAGACTGTGAGGAATTCCATCTTAGCGGTCAAGGGTGACAACACATCCGTAGCCCTTTTTTGTTTAAAGTTGGTCGTTTACTACGAGGTAGAGCAACCAGCTACACACAGCTGCAGTACGAATGGGTCTGCTACATAGGTATAGGACCACGCTCTCACAGAATATTCACTATAAAAAGCAGAATAATGCTGCTGTGTTTCGTATAGTGAGTGTCCTAAGAACCTTTTTACTGCTTACGAGGCATTCTATCTTAGCCCTCAGGGGTGATAAACGAGCACACAGTCCACCTGATGGTAAGTGGAGCTGTGGCCCATAGACATCCACATTTATCCTCAATTAAGAATCAAAATGCAGATGCGTTGTCACCCTTGAGGACTAAGATGGAATGCCTCGTTTCCAGTAAAAAAGGGTCTCCGGATCTCCACACTCACCATACGAAACACAGCAGCATTAAGCTGCTATTTTACGCTGGTATTCTGTGAAAGCGTGGTCCTGCCCCGGTTGAGCCAACCCACTCGTGCTACAACTATTACATATATAGCTGCAGCGTGGCTCTACTACGTACTAGCATGAAAGAGCAGAATAAAGCTGCTGTGTTTCGTACAGTAAGTGTCCGGAGAACCTCTTTACTGGTAAGGAGGCATTCTATCTCAGTCCTCAGGGGTGACAACGCATCTCTATGATTCTGAACATAGCATCTATATTGTTTTAATCAATGATAGATGTAGATGCCTATGAGCCATAGCATCCACTTACCATCAAGTTACACTGTGTAGTCCTTTGTCATTACTTGGACAGTAAGTTCGTTTGTCAATTCAATTTTGTAAAAAATTAAGGAAAATTATTTCAAATTTGGGAATTAAATTAAGACCTGCCCAGCTAAAGAGTAGAAATCTGGTATTTTTCTACCTTTATACATAAAAGCGTTCAATTTTTGAGACTACTAAAAGTAGCGAATTCAAATTACACGATGTAGTAATTAATTAATAATTATGTAATTTCAATCATCATCATTACAGCCCTTTACAAGTCCACTGCTGAACATAGGCCTCCCACAAGGTATGCCACAAAGGACCGTCCTGAGCCCCCTGCATCCATCGACTTCCTGCATGTCTTACCAGGTCCACACTCCATCTAGTGGGGGGTCGCCCTACACTTCGTCTACCGGTACGAGGCTGCCACTCGAGAACCTTTTTTCCCCAACGGTTATCGGTTCTTCGAGCTATATGGCCGGCCCATTGCCACTTCAGCTTACTAATCCTTGGGCTATGTCGGTCACTCTGGTTCTATTGCGGATATCCTCATTTTTAAGTTTATCACGCAAAGAAACTCCGAGCATAGCCCTCTCCATAGCTCGCTGAGCGACTTTGAGCGTCCTCATACGGTCAGCAGTAAAGGACCACGTCTCAGTTCCATATGTCATCACTGGCAACAAGCACTGGTTGTACAACTTAGTTTTTAGGTTTTGAGGTATACCTGACGAGAAGATGTGTCGTAATTTCCCGAACGCTGCCCAACCGAGTTGAATCCGTCGATTGACTTCTCGGTCGAAGTTGGACTTACCTAGTCGGACTATTTGTCCCAGGTAAACGTACTCGTCAACAACTACGAGCTTAGTTCTCCCAAGAACTACCGGCATAGGTGTGACATGGACGTTAAACATGATCTTTTTTTGTCCATGTTCATCTTAAGACCTATCCGTTGGGAGGCACAATTGAGGTTATTGAGCATAGTGCTTAAGTCCTCCAGCGGTTCTGCCATAAGGACTATATCGTCGGCAAATCGAAGGTGAGTGATGTACTCGCCATTGATGTTAATACCGTATCCTTTCCAGTCCAGTAGCTTGAAAACGTCTTCCAATGCAGCGGTGAAGAGTTTCGAGGAAATAACGTCACCCTGTCTTACACCTCTCTGCAGTTGGATAGGTTTCGTACTCTGGTTCTGTACTCGGATAGCCATCGTAGCCCTACTGTACAAACACTTCAGTACTTCAATATACCGACAGTCAACTTGACACCGTTGAAGAGACTGTAGCACTGCCCAAATTTCGACGGAATCAAAGGCTTTCTCATAGTCCACATACGCCAGGCAAAGTGGCAGATTGTACTCTTCGGACTTCTGTACAATTTGCCGAAGGGTATGTATGTGGTCTATGGTACTAAAGCCTTTTCGGAAACCGGCTTGTTCGGGAGGCTGGAAGTCGTCAAGTCTGTGTGCGTGACGATTCGTAATGACTCTCGAAAACAGCACGTAGACGCGGCTCCGAAGGGATATCGGTCTGTAGTTCTTCAAGAGGGCGTTGTCACCTTTCTTGAAGAACAAGACCACCGCACTTCTGCTCCACGCCTCCGGAGTAGTGCCACCATGGAGGACGGAATTAAAGAGCCTCTGAAGGACTTCAAGTACCGGTTTTCCACCCGCTTTCAGAAGCTCCGCTGTAATTCCATCCTCGCCCGGAGACTTGCCGTTTTTAAGGTGCTGGAGAGCCATTCTAATCTCGCTCAGACTGACGTCCGGGATATCATCTGAATAGTGTCGGATAAGACCCGCTCTTGGATCGTTACTCACACTTGCGTGTGGCTCCAACGATGATGTGTACAGCTGCCCATAGAACCTCTCAATCTCACTCAGAATCTCAGGTGTCCCGGAAACGATGCTGCCACACTCAGTCTTCAGCTTTGACAGTTGGCTCTTACTGGCAGACAGATCTCTGGCAAAGACTTTGGAGCCCTGTTTCCGCTCAATCGCTTCTTCAATACGAGCAGTATTAAATTTGCGTAAGTCTCGCCGCATGCATTTGGATTTATGTCTGTTCAGTTGCCTGTATGCTGTCAAATCTGTTGACGATTGCAGCCTCATCTCCCGTCGAACAGCCATGAGATTAAGAGTGTGATCGGAGAGCTTTTGTGTTCTTCTGCGGCCGGTCTTGCAGAACTTAGCTCCGACCGCATGGACAGTTTCCACGAGCTTGTCATTCATATCGTCCACTGCATTGCAATCTTCTAGGCACTGAAAGCTGTTACGTAACTCGAGCTGAAAGGTTTCGGGATTCTGGATTAGAACACGAGGGGAAGGAACATTGACTTCATTAGACGGGACCTCTCCAACTTAACGTTTAGGTTCATAAACATAAACACTCACGCCTGTCACCCAGAGGGGTAGGCAGAGACTACAGACTTCCATTTGGCACGATCCTGACACACCTCTCTTGCCTCCTTCACATCCATACACCTACGCATACATGCTCGTCGGTTAAGGGTACTCCTAATTTGGCCCGTTTTCAATAAATCGCCAATTTGGTCGATAAATTTTCGCCTAGGACGTCCCTTTCCGACTCTGCCATTCACTTCTGCACCATAAATTTTCTTTGTCACTCTTTCCTCATTCATTCTTTCCACATGACCAAACCACCGAAGCATTCCTTTCTTAATCCTGGTCACAACATCATCTTGCAAACCACACTTTTCTCTTATTACACAATTTCTTACCCTGTCATTCAGATTCAGCCCTAACATACTCCTTAACGACCGCATTTCTACTGCGTTCATTCTACTCTCGTGCTTCTTCTGTCTCACCCAACTTTCACTACCATACGTTAAAGTAGGCACCAACACAGCATTGTGAATTGCCATACGTGCCCTTTTCGACACATTTTGACTCTTCACAATAGAGTGCAAGGCCCCATTTACTCTATTTCCCGCATTCACTCGTCGTTCTATATCCTTATCATATCTCCCATCCCTGCTAAATACGCAGCCCAAATATACAAACTCATCTACTTGCTCGATCAACTCCCCTTCTATTCTTATTTCACAAGTCGTTTTACTTTCTTCTCTTTCAAAAACCATAACCTTCGTCTTACTTGCGTTCACTTTCATACCCCTTTCTTTTAATGATCCGTTCATTAATGTAACCATCATTTGCAACTCGGCCGCCGACGACGCAAGAATAATTTGATCATCGGCGTACAAAAGGCATTTGACGGTTAACTCACCCATTCTTAATCCGCATTCTTCAACTTTCAAATTTTGCAAACAACTGTCCATAAATAGGTTGAACAGCCACGGGGAAGCCACACAGTCCTGTCTGACACCTTTATGGATGTCAAACCAGTCCGAGTAGACCCCGTTGATCCTAACACAAGCACTAGAGTCCCTATAAAGAGACTCCAATGCCTGTATCAAGCCAGCGCTCAACCCAAATGAGTTCAGTGTTTGCCATAGCAAATCCCTATCCACTCTGTCATAGGCCTTTTCCAAGTCCATGAACGCACAAAAAACCTTTTGGTTTTTGGCCAGAAACTTCTCCGCGTTCATGCGCATGGAAAAGACTTGATCTGTATATCCCATTCCCTTTCTAAATCCCGCTTGCACATCCCAAATTTTTCCATCAGTTTCTTTCATGACCCTTTCAATCAGTACCTTAGCATACAGTTTTCCCACAATGCTAAGAAGGCTGATGCCACGGTAGTTTTTACAGTCTTTATTTTTTTTTAGGTTCAGTGTGGCTCTAATCATTCGGTGATCGCTGCCAGTTTTCACCCTTGCGATCACTGAGACATCACTGAACAGTTGGCGTCTGGTCGTCATAATGAAGTCAATCTCATTGTTTGTCGAACCGTAGGGGCCAGCTGCTGGCCCCTACGGTTCCGTTGCCCTACTCCAAATTTCCCTACCTTCAGCTCACCGCTTTCTCTTGTGCCTAGTTTTGCGTTGAAGTCTCCCATCAACACCGTGTAGTGGGTTTTGGAGGAATGCATGGCTCTAGAAATATCCACATATATTTCCTCCACCTTCTCATCGGGATGCGCCGAGGTTGGTACGTAAATGCTGTATGACCTTCAGCGAATACCGTTTGGTGATTCTGAGTATCAGGTACGCGACTCTCGTCGACACACTCCCAATCTTTACAAAGTTGTTGACGAGAGACTTGTGGACGATAAATCCGACACCTCCTTGGGACAGATGGTCGCCCTCCCGGTGATGGAACAAGTTGCCGGACTCGAGGATTACCGTGTCCTCCCCCCTCTCTTCGGACCTCGGATAACCCAATAATATGCCAGCGCAACTTGTCTACCTCTTCTTCCAACTCCAGTATCTTCTCGTCAGACCTCAGGGTGCGTGCGTTATATGTTGCCAGGTCGAGTCGTCGTAGGTGGCAACCGAACCTTCACCGGAGATTCTTAGCACCCCCTGCCCCGCCGTTACCATGGTCGCCACCGTAGTCAGGAATAGCGGGGCCGCCGGGGACTGGGGGCCGTTTGCGCCGTTACTCATGGGGGGATATTTGCCATAGTTGCCACGCTTGGCGAGCGGGTTGGCAACCGCAGTTTTTTATTATATTAGTGTTGTTTTTAGGAAGATGCTGCTGCCCATCTCCTGCCTGTCTCCCTCTGTCGCCTCTTACGACACCCACGGGAAGATATGGAGTAGTGGATATTCTCAACCGCCACTACACGGCAATGTTTTTAAATTATTTTTAATATAGATGTAATTTCAATGTGCACCCACTATTTTTAACTAATTAAATACAAAAGTTAATTCATCCTGGTTGATCATAAGAAACAAATAGGGGATATTCCAATTGTTGATTTCAATTTTATGTGCTGATTTACTTCATGTGCGGCGGTGAAGAACCTACATGTCGGAGAAATAAGCATTGAAACGCGGTGGACGTGTCCTTGCCATAAAACCATCTCAGAGATGGAGGAAGCCTGTACCAGAAGTAAACGGTACTTTATTTTTTTGTCGGCCTTTGAACAAATATTTGTATAGCCTACTCGTACAAATCCGGGTCTAGGTGCTTGCGCTGATGAAATGTACGCTTGTAAGCTGTCTCCACGATACAGGAGAAAATCCTAGAGTCAGAGAAACGTCATGTTTTTTAATATATGGCACTATTCATTAAATATCGATGACATGTATTACGAGGGCTGCACTAAAAGTATCGGAATGGAATATTTCCACTGTTCTTGTCATATTAAATATTTTTAATTGAAAACTCCTTGGTTTTAAAAATCGTATACCATTTATTTATTTAAAAAATATTCTGGGTCTTGTCACAAGGTTTTGTCAAACTTGTTTAGTCGTTGAGAAAATGGAATTGACTCGAGAAAATTCAAGAGCGATGATTCATTATGCCTTTCGAAGTGGTTTAATACAAAAACTGTGTTGACCGGATGATTTCTGCATTTGGTGATGAAGCCCCATCCAAAACCACAATTTATCGCTGGTTTGCTGAATTTCAACGTGGACGTGTCAAGCTCAGTGATGGTCCCCGTCAAGGTCGTCCAAAAACTGCAGTCACCCAAGAAAACGTTGATGCTGTGCGTAAGCTGATTGAGAAAGATCGACATGTGACATACCGCGAAATTCAGGCAACTTTAGACATTGGCATGAGTCAAATACAAATAATCTTGCATGAACAATTAGGTGTAAAAAAGTTGTTTTCCCGACGGATACCGCATTCGCTCTGTGAAGAGCAAAAAAGCGGCTCGCGTTACTTCGTGCGTCAGAACTCTCGAAAGATTCCACGCAGGATCCTCAAATGCTGTATACAACATCGTATCAGGTGACGAATCCAGGATATACGCGTACGAACCCGAAACAAAAAACCAGTCACGAGTTCGGGTGTTCGAAAATGAGTTAAAGCCAACAAAAATTGTTCATTCACGGAGTGTTGCAAAAAAATGATGGCCATGTTTGTCTCCAAAACCGGCCATGTTACGACTATTCCTCTTGTGGGACAAAGAACGGTTAATGCAGAATGGTATGCTAGCATTTGTTTGCCACAGGTCGTTTCTGAACTCCGTAAAGAGAACTGCAACCGCCGCATCATTCTCCATCACGACAATGCGAGTTCTCACACCGCACACAGAACAAGAGTTTTTAGAGCAAGAAAACATAGAATTATTAGACCATCCGCCGTACAGCCCCGACCTAAGCCCTAATGATTTCTATACTTTCCCTAAAATAAAGAATAAATTGCGTAGACAGAGATATTCATCACCCGAAGAAGCTTAAAAACGGCCATTTTGGAGACCCCAACTTCCGAATGAAATGGTTGCTTCAATGATTGGTTCCATCGTATGGAAAAATGTGTCAAATTTCGCGGGGAATACTTCGAAAAGCAATAAATACATTTTTAAATAGTAATGTTGTGTCACTTCCATGATTCCCGAAATTTTCAGTGCCGCCCTCGTAACATTAATTTATAATATAACATTAGTGTTTGCCAGACATGAAAACCCAGAATAGCAACGGGCAACAGTATCAAGGTTTGGCGGCTTCCGGTTTTATTATCGTAAACCTACATACTAAACGTAACGATTAAGTCAAATCCTTGCAACGAGAGAGGTCTATATCCAGCACAGAACTTTTGCAGGCTGGTAAAAAAAAGAGAATTAAGCATGAAGAACGTAATGATTTCTTAAATTTACGCGAACACTACACATTGAATAAAACTATTATTTACGGATTTTATCGTGTTTAATTATAACTTTAATTTATTTTTATTATCCCGACATTTCGGGTGCTTTACAGCACCCATGGTCACTGCTGAGATGTTTGACGTCCCAATGTCATAGTTAGTCCGGCTACCTTCAGTTTTTGAATATTAATTTTTGGTGCGATTTACGCAAAACGAGCTTATAGTATCATGAAGTCTTGCAGTAGTATGCTTGGGTTTGGGTTTAATTTTGTTAATTATAGGATCCCAAGCAGATGGCAGCACCCATCCATCTTCTCTATTGAAATTTGGATGTTTTTTAATTTCAATATCCTCGTGTCATCCTTGGTAGGAATCGGTGTTCTTTTGCGAGGATTTGTGGTTTATCAAATCTAATGTAATGGTGAGGACGATCTTGAACATGTCCGCAGACTGCTTGGGATCCTATAATTAACAAAATTAAACCCAAACCCAAGCATACTACTGCAAGACTTCATGATACTATAGGCTCGTTTTGCGTAAATCGAACCAAAAATTAATATTCAAAAGCTGAAGGTAGCCGGACTAACTATGACATTGGGACGTCAAACATCTCAGCAGTGACCATGGGTGCTGTAAAGCACCCGAAACGTCGGGAAAAAAATTAAAGTTGTAATTAAAAGCGATAAAATCCGTATATAATAGTTTTATTCAACATGAAGAACGTATAAAACAAGCAGTTAAGTTAAAACATACCGTCGACTGTCCGCATGTCTGTCTGTAAGCACGCCCACAAATGGCAACACGTCGCCGGGACGAAGGATGTGCGGCTGCGCAGTATCAAACAGGCTCACTTCCTCGCCTGCTCCCTTCCGCAAGCCCATACTGTTTCTTCTATCACTTGGATTTACAGGAGTGTTAAAAAATATACTTAAATTAGATATGAACGCATATGTGGTTTTACACAGTACTGGGCCTTCGTAGTAGTCTTCGCGTTACTACTATGCGGTTTTTGAAACTGGAAGGAGTCCAAGTAAACTGTCACAATGCGTGTTGACGGACTTCCGCAACATGATCTCAGTGGTGGAGAAAGGAGAAAAGGTGGGCGTAGGGAAGCACGTTCCTGTGCGGTAATATTCACGGGGTGGCATTTTGGGAAATAAAAACAACTCTCCTTAATTTTTAAATGACCTTTAATTTAAAAAATCGACGGATGCAGTTGCCTCAGGGCCGTTCGTGGCTTTCCTTGAGGGAGGCCTATGTTCAGCAGTGGACTTGTGAAGGGCTGTAATGAATTCTTTTGATAAAAACATAACGAACATTGCAACTTCTGAATATAGAAAAAAACATGCGGTTCACACGCGGTAGAAGTATTTTAGAAAACTCAACTTCGAGAGAACGGGATTAGGATAATTGTAAGGTTTATTTATTATAATATTGTTACCAAGTTTAAAAATTATTTCACATTTGATTCTATGTGCATTATATTACATATTATACATACTTCAAGTTTTCAATACACACGAGTAGTTTTAGGTAACAAAAGTATGTAATAGATAATAAGAAAATACTGTATACTGTATTCTATCTCATTCTCTCGCAGGCTAAGCCCTATAGATGTATATGTTTCTCTCTTTTCAGTGTCGCTTTTTCGTTTTATCGATTTTCAAATCACGACGATTTTAAAGAAGTTTTCACTTCAATACCCATTTCAATAATCAGCACTCGTTATCGCCACGCTTAACAGGCGATTAGTAAATTCAGTTGACATCTTGCATTCACGGTCAGATTGATTGAAGACGTTGCTCCTGGTTACAATTTATTGAAGACTTGTTATACTGTTATCTATCGGAGGCTACAGTATGTTACGAGCATTAAGTATTAACCTTAAACATATTTTAGCATGTTACATATTATCACATATTGTTATTTGAACCATTACAGCACAGCGGCTCAGTGCTAGCCGTAAATTTCACTTACACGAGCAACCCGGTTTCGCGGTTTTAATCCTCACCCGGACCAAAGAAATTGTTAATTGTAATAAGTGCTAACTTATCACGTGATTTGTGGTGAAGGAATATATCACGAGGAATTCTAACTACATTCCTTTACAAATGTAATTAGAATACCTCATGCATGTCTAAAGAATAAAAACATTGCTTTTTTATTCTTTACACGCATCAGAGCAGCCGGATAAATTAATTGCTTCCTTCATCATCATATTCACAAGCCCTTCACAAGTCCAACAATAGACCTCCCCAAAGAAATATCATAAAACACGATCCCGAGCCATCTGTATCCATGGATCCTGCACTTCTTACCAAGTCGTCACTCCGTCTAGTGGGGGAACTGCCATATATTTAGCTTACAAGCATGATGCTGCTAACTCAAATGCTGCATTACCCTCCCAGAAATTAGAACCTGTGCCCATCAGTGTGGAGTACACAGTCTGTATGTTTACTTAGTTATGTCATACTAAAGTACAAAATGAATTTATTTATTCATTCATGGGACACCTAAAGCACACACTTTTTATATTTTATTGTAAGTATGCTCTATCTACGGACTTCTGTTCGGGCCCTTATTGATGACACAGTATTACAATGTACTATTAAAACAAAGCAAAATTACAGCAGCTAGTAAAGAAATTTGTTAACTATAAACCTATAGTCAACCAAATCTAAGATATACCTTTTCACGTTTCAAATTAATCATTCCGCAATAACTTTACACAAGCGTACTCGCACGATTTAAAATAACCTTTTACGTAAATCTGAAGAATTATGAAGTTACCTACATTTCATTACAACGTATTTAGTTTTTTATCACTAATTTAAATTCGATTTTTTCAAACAAAGCAAAATATTTAAAAAATAACCGGTATTAACTTTTTTACTTGACATCGTTTCAATGATATGTCGCTATGTACGTTACCGTGGTCACGGAATAAATAATAGTACTACGTACAGAAGTTGCATTCCTTTGATGTCAACTGCTTGCCGACGTTTAATAGCCTACATAATTATTATTAATCAGATAAATCGCGAACGCAAGCTAAATAAAACTTTATCGCTGTAAGTGTCCATATTACTTTGCATCATTTCCGCTTCCGCGAAATGTTAATTATGTTACTTAGGTGAAGTACCTATTCTGACTATGATCGACTGACCATATTTTCGCCCCTATGTGAGTTCTGCGATGCCTAACGCATGCAAATTGCAAGGTCATTCGTCGGGAATCGCAACGCTTGGTTCGGAAGAAATACGTAGATAGTGTAAACAACAAATAAACCTGAAATACGATTCCTAACAGAAACATATCTCATATCTCATATCATACATATCTCTTCTTAGTATACAAAGTTTCAATTTTAGTATTTTGTGTTATTATAAGTTAAAATATTTTAATTACAAAATACAAGTATGTAAGAAGTAAATACTTGGATAGTGAAGTAAAATTTAACTAATTTTTGTAATAAAGTACTTAGGTATTTCTTCTGTAAACCAAATTATTACTTAATTATTTTTTGCTGTAAGTACCTATCTAACAAAAAAAACTAAATAAATTCACCTTTCATAATTTTCTTCTAAAATTCTTCGGTAACTTAAAGAATGATATGAAACCTTTTGTTGGTCATTTCATTTAGTATCCATTCACGCAACAGTTATAGTAGGAACGACGTTTTGCTATTATAATTTATCAAATACATAATATATAATTTTTAAAATACATTAAAACTTTTACAACATTTTTTACTTAATATTCAAATAATCGAACCATTAATTTATTTAAAAAAACTATATACAAGACCGCGCTGAAAAAACCAGTACGTAATTTCAATCTCCCGCCAATTCGGGGGATTACTGTGTGTAATTTTGTGATTTTACGTTTGTTTTTTCATTTTGTAACTCGGCTATAACTTTTTGGACTGTTTCTTCTATATTCGTTGAAGCATGTGCCCATGTCACAAATAATGATTGGGCAAAAGTGGTAGAAAAATAAGAAAAAATTGATTATGGATGACATTGAAAGAGATATTAATTTTGATTGCATTATTGAAAATCAAATAATAATAATTAATCTAAACAACGACAACTCAACTAGTTGTACTGAAAGTGATTGAATAAATGTATTTTTAATCTGGTTTCAATCTTAAATTTTTATGACTTTTTGCCTGTAGTAATAAGCAGTAACAACAAATACGAAGAGACTGATAAATCTTGTGTTTTAAATTTAAATCGGATATAACAGAATAAATTAAAAACGGATAATTATCCGTTTTTAATTTATTTTGGTATTATTCAAACCAAACTGTAAATGATTCATCATTCTCTAAACCATTTATTATGGGTGCGCGTAAATCTTCTTGTTCCATTCCTCTGTATTTCCCTACTCTTTCTTTACTCTTCACCAATCGTCCTTTTTTCCCTTCTCGCCCGTGTGTCCCCCAAACTGTAAATGATTACCAACTCTAAATAAACGATATCGATTATTTTTTAAGAATCGAACATTCTACGTTCCCATTTTTTGGTTGGCATGCTTGGTGCAATACGTCTGACAGCTGTCAAAATGTATTTCTTAGATTTGGTTGACTATAATAAAATATACTTAAGAAAATAAAAGCTTGGATATTAGACTATACACTTATAGTAGTATAACTTACCCTTGTAAGGTGCAGAAATTACTCGTCGGCATTACGGCCGGGGCGGTTCTGGGTCGAGGAGACGCCAACCTTGAAGCGGCCAGCTCCGAACGAAGCCGGACTTGTTCACGCGCCAGTTCGTCTATGTGCTCGCGTTGCTGTCGGGACACATCAAAGTGAGCAATTTTTCTTATAGTGAGTGCAGTAATCAGTTATTAGGTTTTTCTATCCGATAAATTCTCAGTAGCGGCCTGGAGTCAGAAAGTTGGCGGTGTTTCACTTCCGTGCCTCGGAAAGCACGTAAAGCCGTTGGTCCTGCGTCTGGTCTCCCGCCGGTCGAGTCAGATTAGTTCGTCCCATCGAACTATGAGTACAGGAATAGAGAGTCAATAGTCCACTATAATACTGTCCCGTGCAGATGGCTAGTCTTTGTTGAGACTGGCCACCATAACTGAAATTCGGAATGAAGGATATTATAGTAAGGACAAGGACACAAGATAAAAAATGTAAACATGATTACTTCTACTACTATTCCGTTACGACTGCGTACCATTAGAATATCTACGAATGTATTACAGTTCTCTATTAGCGTTAATGATTGCAGAATGTCAACTTGTCTAACCAAGTTGTTTTTCTCGCGCGCAATAATCTCAGAAGCGGCTGTTGGTAAGATAGCTCAGGTAAGAACTTATGGGCACAGCTGCGAACTTTAAAATTTTGTACAACCGACTTCAATATATATAAAATGAGAACATCATCAATGTAGTCGAATTCAATTAAATACGCATTATTAAAGACAACTCAACAACTACTAGTCAGATCTTGATCAAATTTATATGGGACCACATTAAAAGTATCAGCCTTCAAATAAAAAAAAAGAATCATCAAAACCACCTAGAAAAAAGTTCTGAGGTAACACATATACAGTCGAATTGAGAACTTCCTACTATTTTTGAACTCCGTTGTACAACACTATTAGTCTTCAAGCAATACAATCTGTGATTGTAGATTGCTAGTTGCATCGCAGGTGCTTCACAACAACGGCTGTGCCTAGGTAATTCATTGTAATTCGGTATGTGCTCATAAGGTTAGCGTGTAGGCCACAACATTGTTCCATCAATTTAAGTTTTTTCCTGCTTGAAATATGTTTAAAGTGTATATTGTTTTTGTTTTCAAATCAAAAATGAGTTTATAACAACAAATATGTAGTATTTTTACTTCCTAGGCTTGAACGTCAAGATTGATAATAAAATAGTTTCTTAATTAATGTGTCTGATTACGCCTTAGAGGCTAGGTAAGAGATTACAACCTAAAGTTTGTATAATAAGTTTTCAAATTGTAGACGTTTAGATTTTGAGTGCTATAAAAATAAAATAAAAACAAATTAATAATTTACCTGTACATACACACTGTAATTTTATTTACATTTCTTATCTCTTTCCACTGTGGTTTTTAATTTGTACCACATCAAATACATACTCTTATTGTGGGTGGACACAGCAGCATTAAGCTGTATACAAGTGGGTCCATTTTGTCAAAGTTTTAAAAAAAACATATGTGAGAGATTCTATCAGCCCATTTCGTCTCGTGGTGTCGTAATATTATCACTTGATTATTTCGTATTTTATCAAATTATAATAATAATAATAATAAAAGCGCGAGCGACCATTTTGAGCGCGCGACATCACAAATCAGGTGATGTCGCGCGCTCAAAATGGATGTCGGGGCGGTGGTCGTGGAACCAAGGAACCACTCCTCATTGACGCGGTCATTGGCAAAGTGGTGAAACGCAACCGTCGGAACTTCTCCGCCGCCTGGATAGACCACAGAAAGGCATTCGACTCGGTGCCCCATACATGGCTAAAGAGAGTCCTCGAGCTGTACAAGATAGACTGTACAGTTAGAGACTTCCTCGAGCAGTGTATGGGGCAGTGGAGTACGATCCTTTGTCATCTGGGCGAGCGGATGATGGCTGCGGAGAACCACATAAGGATAAGAAGGGGTATCTTCCAGGGCGATTGTCTGAGTCCAATCTGGTTCTGCCTCTCTCTGAACCCTCTCAGTACCTTACTGGAGGGCTCCGGGAGGGGATTTCAGCTACGGAAAGGAGGGACAAAAGTGACCCACCTTTTTCTATATGGATGACCTCAAGTTATTCGCCTCCAGTCGCTCCCATCTTATGGAATTGCTAAACATCACTTGTGAATTTAGCAATTCCATTGGAATGGAGCTTGGGACGGATAAGTGTGCGGTCCTCCATGTTGAAAGGGGAAGGGTTGCTAACTCTGAGGGCGTAGACTTATCTATGCCCGTCAACTTAAGGACCCTTTCCGAGGCTGAAACATACCGATACCTGGGTATGTCACAAAACATCGGTATCGATGAGACTGGTATGAAACAGTCAGTTTGCGACGTGTTTTATGCACGCTTGACCAAAGTGCTTAACAGCCTTTTGTCCGGTGTGAATAAGGCACACGCATATAACGGCTGGGTCATGCCTGTCCTCATGTATACCTTTGGCATACTCAGGTGGACTCAGACTGAACTTAACGCCCTGGATAGAAAAGTCCGCGCTATCATGACGTCCCATAGGATGCATCATCCGAGATCGTCGGTAATGAGGCTGTACTTGTCGCGGAAGCATGGTGGTCGTGGCTTCTTGAGCACGCTCACCATGCATAATCGCGAAGTGTGCAGCCTCCGTGATTACTTCCTGGCGAGATCGGATGATCCATTCTATAAGGACGTCATTTCTTGTGATAAAGGACTTACCCCTCTATTCTTAGCCAACGAGCAATGGCAAGACCCGGCAGTGCAGAGCATTTCCGACCGGGAGACCGTATGGAAGGAGAAGGAGCTCCACGGGAGGTTCTACAAGGCTCTACATGAGCCTTTCGTAGACACAGTAGCCTCCCTCCACTGGCTACGCTTTGGTGATCTCTTCGGGGAAACCGAGGGTTTTGTCTGTGCAATACAGGATCAGATTATTAAGACCAACAACTATCGGAGATACATCCTAAAGGATAAAAAATAAAAATATAAATTTCTTTGCAACTTTCCGCTAAACATTTAATGTTTAGCGGAAAGTTGCAAAGAAATTTATATTTTTATTTTTTATTATAATGGATTTCCGCAAAGTAACGCCTGATTCTATCAATTATCCTAAAGGATGGCACCGTCGACGTCTGTCGAGCTTGTCGCCATCCCGGTGAGTCACTTAGGCATGTCATCTCCGGTTGTTCGGCGCTTTCTAACTCTGAGTACTTGCACAGGCACAACCTAGTAGCCAGAATTCTACACCAGGAGCTCGCTCTGAAATACGGTCTCGTGGATCGGAAATTGCCGTATTACAAGTACTTGCCGGAAGCCGTGCTCGAAAATGATCGCGCCAGGCTCTACTGGGACCGGACCATCATCACAGACAGGACTATTCTTGCGAATAAGCCTGATATTGTGCTGATGGACCGGGCACAGTCAAGGATATTTTTGGTCGACATTACCATTCCGTATGACGAGAACCTCGTGAAAGCAGAAACAGACAAGCAAACAAAATATCTGGACCTGGCTCACGAGGTGATCGACATGTGGGGTGATCTGCCGACCGAAATTATTCCTGTAGTCGTCTCTGCAAACGGGCTAATCCCAGTCAGCCTCTCGGGTCATCTGAGGCGACTGGGACTACGTGGCGGATCGCTCCGGGCTCAAATGCAGAAGGCGGTGCTCCTCGATACCACCCGCATCGTCCGCCGGTTTCTTTCCCTTTCCCCCCTAACCCTCGGCCGTTTGGTCTCCCCTGCCGAGGGCCTCCATCTGGTTGGGCTTTTATTTATTTATGTATTTTTATATTTATTTTATGTTATTGATATTTATGTATATTTATCCTTTCATTTTCATTTATAATTATATATTTATAGAACCCAACCAGATGAGAAAACTATATAGATACTCCACAATAATAATAATAATAATAGTTTAGTATATCAATAAATATTTAATATATAATAAAAATATTATCATGGTAGAATGTAAGGTGTCTTTAATAACTAAGAAGATCATTATAGAGGATTATTTTTCAAAGAATAGCCATATTATAAACTAAAATGATATAGCGTTATTGCAGTTTTTAAAAATACGAGCAAAAATAAGGCTTCCACTTTTATTTGAAATGATCCCAAATTAAATGTGATTTATGGGTAACAAAGTTTTTGCCACCGATCGACCCTTACGTAGTAAAATTAGTAAAAATAATGCATTACCACGCATTTTGAATTAAAACATAAAAAGTACCAAATGTTTGAGATTTTTTTTTTATTATTTTTTCTTCACCATTTGTCTTTATTACTTATTACCTTCTCTGCAAATTTGGCCGGTTATTGAACAATAACTTTGTATAATGTACTACATTCTGTAAATAAAATTTACATTAACATACAAATACACATTACCGTTCATACATACACATTAACATTCGATAAATAAAATTAAAGTTAAAAATTAAGAGGCGACTAGGCCGCGGGTCTAGGAGAAAAATGTACACCAAAACAAAAAAAAAAATATTGGTGAACGCGTGTACTTCCGCGGGGAGGGAGATATACGTGTCATCTGGTATGATGTTCTAGTGCAATTGACTCTAAGCGCGGGAACGTGAACCAGCGGTGCAACACCGATGTTGAAAATATACTTTCACCCTATTATAAAAAGGTACAACGTACTTATTTATTATAGAAAAACAAAAGTACATGAGGTAAGTAACAATGTTATATGTGAATATATTTTACATATATTATGTTTTATTAATTAATATTATTTATCATTCAGATGCTCGAGAACCAACGTGAGCGTCGTTAACAATGGGAATGTCAGAAAATTCTTATGTTTTTTTTCCATCTCATGGTGGTACGACACGCGTTGAGTCACACAATCGGTATACCCATACCTGTTCAGAAAAAGCCATGAGTCGTTTATTTTCCTCTCGCAACAATAGCATAAGATCGCGTTCCTCGCTCGCTTCGCTGGAAAATGAAGCGGCTGCGACTTCGATCGCGGTTTCGTTCCGAAACGATTTCCTCTAAATTCGACTGAAAAAAATGGAAGTATTTAAGATTAATCAGCAGCATTAATTGTTTCTTATGGTGAATGTAGAGATCCGGAGACGCACGGAAACGCACCTGCAATTCCCCTGGTGTGCGGTTGTTCATGGGCGCCGGTAGTCGGTTACCATCAGATGAGCCGCATGCTCGTTACCCCCTCTTCTATATATAAAAAAAAAAACAATTTGCATTTTGATTCTAAATTGAGGTTAGATGTCAATTGGCCACAGCACCCACTTACCATCAGGAGGGGTGTAGAGGTGTAAGAATTATCGAATCGTATCGGAATAAGAGGTAGGTGGAATAAGAGGCGACAGTGGAAAACAAACCTGGAGATGACCAGAGCAGCGTCTTCCCAATAACAAATGTGGCAAATATCCCCCCCCCCCATGAGACAATCTATAAATAAGTGGACATTTAATAGGCTCTAACTGTAACGATTGAACTCTTTCTTCCAGAAACAGGCCCACAGGAAGTGGACCTGGTCGAGCCCCGACGGTTCGACAAAAAATGAGATTGACTTCTAGACTAGACTAGACGGCAGCTGTTCAGTGATATCTCAGTGACCGCAAGGGTGAAAACTGGCAGCAATCACCGAATGTTTAGAGGCACACTGAACGTAAACATTAAGTTGCAGAGGTCTCGTCTAATAAAGTCAACGCTCTGTCCTCCTCATGCTCTAATCTAAAGTCCCGAAAACTTTCAACTTGAGTTACAAAAACGTTTTCAGTTCCTAGAAGATTGCAATACAGTAGACGATATGAATGACAAGCTCCTAAAAATTGTTCATGCGGTTGGAACTAAGTTCTGTAAGACAATCGCATATCCAATCACACTCTTAATCTCATAGCTGTTAAACGAGAAATCAAGCAGCAGTCGCCAGCAGATTTGACAGCATACAGGCAACTGAACAGACAGATCTCCAAACGCATGCGGTGGGACTTACGCAACTTCAATATAGCTCCTATTGAACTTTAATACTGCTCGTATTGATGAAGCGATCGAGCGGAAGCAGGGCTCCAGTCTTTGCCAGAGATGTCTGCGAGAAAGAGCCTACTGTCGAAGATGAAGACTGAGTGTAGCAGCATCGTTTCCGGAATACCTGAGATTTTGAGTGAGCTTGAGAGGTTCTATGGTTAGTTATACACATCATCGTCGGAGCCACATGTAAGTGTGGGTAATGATCCTTGAGCAAGTCTTATCCGACACTATTCCGATGATATCCCAGACGTCAGTCTGAGCGAGATTAGAATGGGTCTTCTGCACCTTAAAAACGGGAAGGCTCCGGGCGAGGATGGAATTACAGCGGAACTTCTGGAAGCGGGTGGGAGACTGGTACTTGAAGTCCTTCAGAAGCTCTTTAATTCCGTCCTCCATGGTGGCACTACTCCGGAGGCGTAGAGCAGAAGTGCTGTGGTCTTGTTCTGCAAGAAAGGCGATAACACTCTCTTGAAGAACTACAAACCGATTTCCCTTCTGAGCCGCGTCTACGAGCTCTTTTCGAGAGTCATTACAAATCGTCTCGTACGCAGACTCGATGACTTCATCACTCACTATCGATAGTTGTTATGGCAGAATTGCTGGAGGACCTAAGCACTATGCTCAAAGACCTCAATAGTGCCTCCTAGGTCATACGATGAATATGGACAAAACAAAGATCATGTGTAACATCCATGTCACACCTATGCCAGTAGTTGTTGGGAGCACTAAACTCTGAAGTTGTTGACGAGTGTTTACTTGGGACAAACAGTCCGATTAGATAAGTCCAATTTCGACTGAAAGGTCAATCGACGGATTCAACTCGGCTGAACAGCGTTCGGGAAATTACGACACATCTTCTCGTCAGGTATACATCGAAACTTGAAAACGAGATTATATAACCAGTGCGCGTTGCTAGTGATGACTAATGGATCTGAGACATGGTCCTTCACCGCTGGCCGTATGAATACGCTCAAGGTCACTCAGCATGCTATGGAGAGGGCTATGCTTGGGGTTTCCCTGCGTGATAAACTTAGAATTGAAGATATCCGCAGTAGAGTCAGAGTGACCGACATATTCCAACGGATTAGTAAGCGCAAGTGGTAATGGGCCGGCCATATAGCTCGAAGAACCGACAATCGTTGGGTAAAAAAGGTGGCAACCTCGTACCGGTAGGCTAAGTAAGCGTAGAGCGACCCACCATTAGATGGAGTGACGACATGGTAAGAGAAGCAGGAAGAAGATGGATGCAGGTGGCTCAGGACTGTGGTTTGTGGCATTCTTCGGGAGGCCCATGTTCAGCAGTAGACTTGTGAAGGACCGTAATGATGATGAATGATGAACGGTAATATTATGCAACAAAATTAAAAAATAGATCCAAATTGCAACAAAACCACACCAGAATACCAAACATTTGTTTATGTGCAAACATTGTGTGTATTTGTGAATGTTTGAAGTCAGGAAATGCAACGTAGAAGTACCTAACTACGAGGTGAATGGTAAGATAGAAATCAATAAAAACATCTGTTTAATATTCATATCAACAATTTATATGGACATACAATATAAGCTTACACACTATGGATTCACAAGGCCTCCTCCCCACCCCGGATATGGCAATGGGTATGTGCAGATTAATGGTTCATATTAGATATTAGATTTAGAGAGAAGATATTAGATTTGTTACAATGGGTTTGTTATTGACATCATTTTTTTGTCTACAGACAAAAATCTCTAGATAAATAAATAAAAAAGGGATATGTAACAATTATTGTACATGCTTGTATTGCCCCATATAGCAGCAGTGGGGTTATAAGTGGCGACTGTGAGAAATGCCAGTAAGATGTGAAAGTTTTCAACAGATGACGGTATAACCATCTAGTTAAAGGACAAACACAAAACCAATCTAAACCACAAAATAAAATAAATGGTCATCATCCACGGTTGACTGGTTAAGAATGCCATATAAGGCATTAAGTTCGCCCTTTATATCCCACTAGCGATCCGCCCCAACTTAGCACGGATGAATTCTAGATGATTCAAATGCACACAAAAAATTTCATCAAAATTGTTCAAGCAGTTTTCCAGTTTTAGCGAGAGTAATGGACAGAAATTGATTTTTATATAAAGAGATAAAGATAATAAAGGTTCAACAAATAAATAAATGTTTAATATCCACAATGACGATGGGGAGCAACGACAACAGTGCAGGTAGAGCCTGCCAATCGTAATTACGACTAGTTTTTTTTTATGTGGTAGAGCCATGCTGCAGTTATATTAGTAGTATAGTTGTAGCACGAATGGGTCGGCTCGACCGGGGAAGGACCACGCTCTCACAGAATACCAACGTAAAATAGTAGCTTAATGCTGCTGTGTTTCGTATGGTGAGTGTAGAGAACTGAAGACCCTTTTTACTGGAAACGACGGCATTCCATCTTAGTCCTCACGGGTGACAACGCATCTGTATTTTGATTTGTAATCGAGGATAGATGCAGATGTCTATGGGCCACATCAACCACTTACCATCAGGTGGACTGTGTGCTCGTTTGTCACCCTATCCTATATAAAAAAGTTCTTCCTACAACAGGAGAGGGAACATGTCCAGTAGCGGAATACTAGCCGTAGGCTGAAAAGTTCGTACCTGATCAAAATTCACAGTTTTTGGCTTTCTCAAATCGTTGATCACTTGATTCGGGGTCCTTATACCATCGTCACTTTTAACATTCCTCTCTAACTCCTGGTCATTGTTCATAGTAATATTGTAAATTGGTCTAGCATCAGTCATAACACCTCTCTCTATTACACACTTTGGCTCCAATTTAGTTGACGCCATAAATTCCTTTAACATCAACAACTGATCCCTTAATAAATCACAATGTGAATGTAATTCCTCCCTTTCTTTAACATAATCTGTGTTAATTTTAGTGTTGCTATCACATAGCTCTTTTAATTTTTTTAACTCCGATTTTTCTCTTTCTATCATGTCTCTCTCTCTTTTCATAGAGTTGAGATGTCCCTCTAAAATAATCAGTTCGTTTGATATTTGACTTTGCATTTCATCACCACGTTTTTTTAGTGTTTGTTCCGCTTCTAAGATTTGCTGTTTTAGACTTTCTTCCTGCAAGTCATCATAATCAAAATTATAACAATTATCGTATTATTGAATATATACCCAGGTCTGGCTATACTCTATGGGGATATGGGGCACGAACACTAGACCCGACAAAGGCTCCGTAATGTTTTTGCCTTGTTTTTTTTTAATTAAAAAAACCTAACCTCCATACTAGGAGTTTCTTCTTTATCGTGGGGGTAGTTTACATACATAAGTTTCACAATGGCAAATTATTCATTAATTTAGACCTGGAATAATTATTTGCAGGCCATACAAATACTTGTTCCGTACGGGATTCGAACCCGATGTCCTTAACACTGTAATTCACTGCTAAGGCACTGTGCCCTGGGGCCCATGTTGAAACGCATACCCACCCATATGTCATTATACAATTAATGAGATCAATCGAAAAAAAAAGTTTCTTGCATTTTGTATAAAACACTTACTATAATAATCATTATCATTTAATCCCCTTCCCTCCGGACCACTGTACTGTACAGACGTGTTTATTATAGTGAACCGTGTTGCTTAAAATATTAGTAATTATTAATTTAAATAACACTAAGATAAACATACGAATACTAGGCGCGCATAAAATATCCTAAGTTAACAGTGTAAGAAGAGCAACATAACAATTTATCTCCGTGAACACTACTACGTGAGTAATTAGCGAATAAGATTGCCCGCTGTGACATAGCCCCGCCCTTACTTATTAACGGAAATAAGATTTGCGCACACGCTCCATTGATGTAGCGCTCACCGCGCCACTATTGTGTCCGCCCAAACTGTGACTGCGTATGCGCTAAAGGCGGTACACGTTGGACCACACCGATCACAAGTACCAGGGCATCAGAAGCACACTCAAAAAAAATATACGTAATATACGTAATCGCTGGGCCGACTTTGTACTATTATATAGTTATTATAATCATAAGAAACCCTAAAAAATCCTGCTTTATAAATATGCCACTTAAGCGGACTCCACCACGTATAGCATCCTCGACGGAACCCAGGGAATCACCATACCACGGTGGCTCCGAACCCAACATCTCTACCTATAAGGATGATTCTGATGTAGGAGATTTTTCCACTAACATGAGTACGCGTGCAACTAAACGGAAACATGACCAAGACTTCAAAGATGAGCTACAGGCATTTAAAGTAGACATCCTTAGTACCCTGAACTCTTGGAAGGATACTCAAGAAAATAAGATGGAGACAATTCTTATGAGCATAAACGAGCTTCGCAACGAATACAAAGAATTGCACACAAGCGTGAAATTTATGAGCAGTAAATATGATGAGATAAGGGAAAAAAATTGCTTCACTAGATAAAGAAAAACAAGAACAACTAAAATATATTCGAGAACTCGAAAACAAGATAGAATCTATGGAGAGAACTCAAAAATGTTCCACTATAGAGATTCGGAACATACCTAAACAACAAAGGACTGAAACCGCGGATGATCTATTTAACATTGTCCAAAATATAAGTAGTGTTTTAAATGTAGATATACAAAAGCAGGGAATTAGGGATATATTTAGGGTCAATACTAAGACAGATAACTACAAGCCTATAATTGTAGAGTTCATCAACAAAATATCAAAGGATAAATTTATCTCAGCAGTAAAATCATTCAATAAGGAAAACGCAAACAATAAATTAAATACTACCCACTTAAAAATTAATCAGACTCGTACACCAGTATATGTAACAGAAACCTTGACAGCAAATGCTAGAAAGCTGTTTTATATGAGTAGAGAATTTGCAAAGGAACATAAATATACATTCTGCTGGGTTTCGTTTGGACGCATATATTTAAGAAAAGAAGAGGGTATGAAACAAATTCGTATTGATTGCGAAGCAGATCTGAAAAAACTCAAGGAAAAATGACTATTAACTTTAATTTTTTGCATGCTCAAGTTAGTATTTACAGTAGAAAATAAGTTTAATTGTATAAAAGTTAATTATACTAAATTCTATGTTTTCAAAGGCCGGTTACTACATTTTAAAAAGCAAAATATTTTTCTTATGTACACAATACACAAAACAAAATACTACTACTACTACTGTTACCACACATCACACAATGTTATACATCTTTTTATATATAACTCACTAAAATATATAATTTATAAACATTTACATATTGCAAAGCAAGTGTTCATTTCAAAACGAATTGTTTTTTATATTGTTATAATAGTGTACCGTTTTTGCGACGCCTTGACTTTTGCTTATAATTATCAAATTGCATGTAAAAAAGGCAAACATCTGAAACTATGTGTTTATACAATTGAAATTCAATCTGTTTAATAATAATATTACATCTCACTTGGATAAAAATAAATCCAACTGTACTCTGATTGACGATGTGTCGCAATGCTCACAACTTTTGCAATGTCGTGATGGTTCCAAAACTTTTTGCATCCTTACTGCAAAAATACGGAGTATAAACCGCAACTTCGATCTGCTATTGGCTTTTTTATCGGCACTTGATAAAATAATGGATATGATAGTTTTAACCGAATGCTGGTCAAGAAAGGATATCCCTCCCCCAAATATAACCGATTACAATGTACATTACTCTAAAAAGCTTTTAAATCAGAATGATGGCATAGTGGTATATGTTTGTAAGGTCTTTACAGTTATCGCCTCTGAACCGAACTTAATTGAGGGAAACTGCCTTGTACTTGATTTAGATAGGTTTTCGGTTATTTGTTCATATCGACCACCCTGTTATGCAAACCCTCGACGATATCTACAATCTTTAGATAGCTTATTACAAAAATTCTCTAACAGGCAAATCATTCTTACAGGCGATATAAACATTAATACGATGCCTTTCGACATTCATAATAATCAATTAAATGAATATCTGTGCATATTAGCTACTCATGGTTTAGAACAAGGTGTTACACATCCAACGAGGCTCAACAACTGTCTCGATCACTTTATGATAAAGACGACTGAAAAATGGCAAACCATGGTTTTTCCACCATTAACTGATCACAGTCCTATTCTATTACAAATAAAAAACGCCCGACTGCCAAAGATAAAAAGCACACACACAAAACAGGTACTAGATTACGCCCGGGCGTTAAATAATCTAAGTGCCATGGACTGGTCACATTATTTTAAGTTGCGTGATGTAAACCAAACTGCGGAACATCTTGTCAATATTGTTACGAATATAATTAAGGAGTGCACTAGCACTAAGTACATACCCAAAAAGAAAGCACCTCTTAAGCCTTGGATCACGATAGGCGTTGTAAGATCAATTCGTAAAAGAGATAAGTTGCATAAAAGGGCCAAACTACGACCGAATGAAGACACAATTAACACATATAAAAAATATAGGAACACTTGCAATAAAATATTAAAATTTTTGAAGCAGCAGTATTATCAAAAGGAACTACTAAAAAGTGAAAAAAATATCAAAAAAACCTGGAATATAATAAAGGACATATGTAATATGAAAATGAAAAACGATGTGCCTCCAGAGTTGCTTAAGATTGGGAGCACTACAAAGGAATCGTTAAACAAGATCAACACATACTTCACAACCATTGGTAAAAGTCTGGCGGACGTCATCCTACAGAAACTAAATAAAACGGAGCTCGAATTAGCAAGGCAAGCGTTTGTACAATCAAACTCTCAGCTTCAATCTATGTCTTTCGTACCCACAGACCCATATGAAATTAATAAAATAATAAATAATCTAAAATCTGACAGTGCACCAGGTCATGACGGCATTTCCACTAGGTTTGTCAAATTGGCAAAAAAAGTACCTTGTATATCCAATTGCACATCTTTGTAATCTTAGCTTAGAACAGGGAATATTTCCCGATTTATTTAAAACGGCTATCGTGTCTCCAATTTTTAAAACGGGGGACAAACAAGATGTCTCGAACTATAGACCGATTTCTATGCTGTCTACCATGTCAAAAATTGTGGAAGGGTTGATCAACCGTAGGTTGATTATTTATTTAGAGAAAAACAAACTATTAACTGATTATCAGTATGGGTTTCGCAAAGGAAGGTCAACGGATGACGCCTTACTGAAGTTGACATCTTTAATTACCTATTATGTTGATAGAGGAGAGAAGGTCATTGGTGTTTTTCTTGACCTAAAGAAAGCTTTTGACACAGTATCAATTCCGATACTATTGTCTAAACTAGAGGGCTTGGGCATCCGCGGTCATGTATACCAATGGTTCCATAGTTACTTGGCAGGTAGACAGCAATACGTTAGAGTGAATAAAGATCTAAGTGACGCCTCAACCTGTGGATTCGGTATTCCACAGGGCAGTACATTAGGCCCGACTCTCTTCTTGGCGTATATTAATAGTCTTCCAAACGCATTAACATCTAATACGGAAGTGCTAATATTTGCTGATGACACTGTCTTACTATTTCATGGGCAGAGTTGGAAACAAGTACAAACTTTTGCAGAAACCTGTTTTAAGAATGTCTCAGCTTGGTTAGAGAATAACTTACTCACACTAAATATTTCAAAGACCAAATACCTCTGCTTCTCGAGGTCTGCAACTTCAGGTCCAGCTCAAGACTTTACAATCACACTACATTCTTTACCATGTAATGGAAAGCTTACTAGCCAATGCAATTGCAGCACATTAACTAGAGCCAGATGTATTAGATACCTAGGTATTCAAGTAGATGATAATTTGAGCTGGAAAGAACAAATCATTAGCATCTGTTCTCGGGTTAGAAGACTTATATATATATTTAGACAACTAAGAACAGTCGCTAGTAAAAAAATTCTTATTCAGACTTATAAAGCGCTCTGCCAAAGTATCATTAATTATTGTGTGACGACGTGGGGTAGCGCACCAAAAACAACATTGATTCAACTTGAACGCGCGCAAAGAGCAATTTTAAAAGTACTAATGCACCTACCGTACCGACATCCTACTAATAAAGTCTACAACGAGACTCAGGTACTCTCAGTTCGCAAGTTGTTTATAATTCAAGCTCTCCTGAGATACCACCGTGTAACTGCCTACTCACTACCACGAACCAGTAAAAGAAGATTTCGGTGCCCTATACCCACTACCAAAACCACCTTTATGCAACGACACTACAATTTCATAGCACCATACATATATAATAAAATTCCCACTGAGAATATTGTTAGCCTTATAACTCTAAGCACCAATAGATTTAAAAAATATGTATTGAAATGGTTGCAAAATCTTGACTATGTCCAAACTGAAAATCTTCTTACAATATCTAAATAAAATACAATCATTAAAACACGCACAGACACAATCACACACACACACACCACACACACACACACACACACACACACACACACACACACACACACACACACACACACACACACAAGCGCGCGCGCACGCGAGCGCCACACTTCCGCACATACGCACAACAACAATAAACAACACATTAAACAGTATGTAACAGTAACGGCTTATAAATTAATATTAAAGAATAATAAATTGTCTTATGTACTTGCCGAATATAGACCTAGAACTAAGAATTAGGGAAGGCACTGTTTCCTGAGATACAGGTGATAACCTAGTTCAGGAGACAGAGCTCCTTTGTATTTAGACGTATTTGGTTGCTAATAAACGTTATTTATTATTATTATTATTATAATAGAAATATATTTAGATATGGGATTTAATAGAAATATATTAGATATGGCTAAATTTTGGGTAAATCGTCCCGTGGGTGTCGTAAAAGATGACGGAGGAAAACTGAAACAGGAGCTCGGCAACAGCATCTTTCTGATAACAACTCAAAATTATAAATATCTATAGTTGCCAACCCGCCTGGCAAGTGTGGCAACTATGGCGACATCTCTCTAAAAACAAATGTGGAAGGTCTATGTTAAACAGTGGAGTTTTATAGGCTGTTACGGATTGATAATAGAAACTTTGGGTGCTCTATAGCTACTGTAAAATCTAATATGGCTCTGTATGTAGGTCTAGGTGAGTAATAAGCCGGATGCAAAATACAGTACCTATCTTAATATAATGTACCTCAATATAATGACCTTTACATTGCGAACGTTTCTTGCGAACGACCTTTTTATAACGAATTTTAACTATCAAGAAAAAGTGTAAATAACCCTAATTAACGAATTTTGTCAACCTAAGACCTTTATATAAAGTTTATTAGTAGAAGTTGTGAATAAAATTATTTTTATACCTCTTTATAACAGATTTTAGACCACCCTACCCTCAACATAACAAACCTCAGTCCAACGAATTACTTGATACAACGAATTGTTACGAGCTTGAGGTTCGTGACAATAAAAATTGCCGATAAAATTACCTAAATTAACACTTTAATTTACTTTACACAAATTAAAACTTAAAAGACTAATAATTAAACACACTAATTCACTTTATTCCGCTTCGAAGCTTCGCTTGTCTCGCCAAATCCAATACTACCTCGATCGCATCTTGCAGCGCCTATTTATATAAATTAGCAATGAAGCATCCGGAATATTCAAGTAAATGCGCGCAAAGCGACGAGTGTTCGAGTGTAGATTTTCTAGAAACTTAGATCTTCGGATGGCGCTGTCGGTTGAAAGATTTGTGATGTCATTTTCTGCAACGCTCCCCTCGCTCTCGTTCCTGACACTAGATGGCGCTAGTGTATGACGTTGACTTATTCACGCAACAGAATATTTACTTGTTCCCTTCCGGTTTGTTAAATCGAGGTTGCACTGTAATACGTAAAACATTCACAATAACTGCGGGTAGCGGCGTTAAAGATGCAAGATGTATGGTATGGCAATCGCCAATTCGCCCGCGAAGCTTCGCGATTACAACAAATCCTTCTCGCTGTGGGAGAAATCCGTTTTATCACTAAGCATGACTGTAAAAGTTAATAAAGAATCATTTACCTTAGCAGTTAACCGTTCTGTTTCCCGTTTGACGGCTTTCATGGCATTAGACATATTTGAATGTTGTTCCCGCAAAGAACGAGCCAATCCCCACAGGAACTTTTTCTTTTCTTGCACGTTATTTTCTAATTCAGCTTCGCGCGCTTTGAATGACTCTTCCATCTGGTAAGCGATGAAATTAAATTTATTTAATCTAAATTTATTATAAAAATTATTATTAATTAATTTGATAAATATTTAATTTAAACTTTTTTATCTAAGTGTACAGCATCTATAAAGTCTCTGTTTGTAATATGAAATCTACTACATTTAATCGAGCTCAGGGTGTTATTAGCATTCCATCAAGACATGACTAGTCTTTTTTAAATTTTTGTCTGTCCATTGGATAAGTATAATATGGTCATGGATGAAATGTGGGGGGTAATCTATGAATGTGGCGTCATCAATATATCCACCCACGAGAAGCCAGTGCGGCTTGCTAGTTACTTGCCAGTGCGGCTCGCTTGTTACTCGCCAGTGCGGCTCCCTAGTTACTCGCCAGTGCGGCTCGCTTGTTACTCGCCAGCGCGTAAAATACCCAGACCAGTGACAGACAAAACATGCGTGCAGCTCACACGTGACAGAAGTGAAACCCTCAAATGAAATGAAATATAATATACAAGTACTTTACGACAAATGGTTTATTTAATATTATAATTTAAACTACAAATGCGACATAAAATATAAGAAAAGTGTAATTTTATAGCAAATAAATGTAATAATCCTTTTTTTTATTGTATTGAACACGCATTTAGGTATCTGTAGCTTGTACCGCCAAAGATACGAAACGGCAACGTCGCGGCTGCTTTCGGCCAATCCGATTATTTATCTTATCGTTTGCTGTGCTCTGATATATATATATATATATATATATATATATATATATATATATATATATATATATATATTGACATCCAAGGTAAATGGCCTGAATTTAAAATTTATTACTGTTGTATGTAAATTTTTTACTGTTTACTGCCGCTGCCACGTGGCTGCCATTTTTATATGAAAATCACAGATAATGAAAAGTGAACCATACAGCTGGGAAACGCACGAAACTACCTACTACCGGTTTTGATGGTTTTTTTTTTATTCAAATTAGTATTACTTGGGTTCATTTATTTTATTACTTACTGTATTTAAACGACATATTTTAAGTCTTCGACATTGTTTATGTACTTTTAAAAGTACGGGACAGCCACTATTTTTTACGACGAGTAGATTAATTTCCTTATATAGTTATAACTAATATAGTACCCACTAATAAAAAAAAGATTTGTATCAATTTTACCTATTGCGAAGTTGAGGTTTGGCCGTTTTTCACTGCTTGTTTATTCCATAGGCGACACCTTCGTACCTTGTAACAAAACGCGTAAGCGACGCCGTTTCGGCGGCTTTTGCTACCTTTTTTCTCGCGAGCATTGAGCTATAATGCTTCCTATCTCATTTTCTCCCACGTTATATCTTATTAATTTATGTTTGTCTCTTTTTACTGTCGCTTTTTTTGTTTCATAGACTTTCAAATCACAAGTTTTTTATACGTGGTAGAGCCATGCTGTTTAACTAACTATTAGTAGTATAGTTGTAGCATGAATGAGTCGGCCCGACCGGGGACGGACCACGCTCTAACAGAATACCAGCGTAAAATATTAGCTTCATGATGTTGTTTCGTATGGTGAGTATAGAGAACCGGAAACCCTTTTTACTGGAAACGAGACATTCGAACTTAGTCCTCATGGGTGATAACGCATCTGCATTTTGATTCGTAATCGAGGATAGATGTAGATGTCTATGGGTTACAGCAACCACTTACCATCAGATGGACTGCGTACTCGTTTGTCACCCTACCCTATAACAAAAAAAAGGCAGTAGGGTCAAAGATACGAGATTGGCACTCCAATCGGCCGTTAATCGCAATTCTTCTAAATGAAAAGAACCTTGGGAATGAGGTTATCGCTACCATACTTGTTCTATTATAATTCATATAACAGATTGTATAAAATTATTATTAAGTCATATACAGGATTATTATGAAATAACCGGCCAAATTTGCAGCGAAGGTTCAGAATAAGTAATAATAATAATTTATTATTCAAGCAAAAAAAATAATTCAATTTCTAGGATACAAATACTTTGAGATACAGCTTAAAAATAAATACTATTCAGTAAACATCTATGTCTGAACTAGATAACTTAATATCCGTGTTTCAAACAGCAGCGCTCTTCCCTTTAAGATTATACATTTCACTGTATACAAAATAGATAATTAATCAATACGTAATTTAAAGTTGTAGAGAGAGAGTAGGTAAGCCTCCTTGTGTGTACGAGGGCGGCACTGAAACTTTCGGGAATCAAGGAAGTGACACAACATTACTATTTAAAAATGTATTTATTGCTTTTACGATGGAACCAATCATTGAAGCAACCATTCCATTCGGAAGTTGGGGTCTCCAAAATGGCCGTTTTGTAGGCGTCCACAGCTTCTTCAGGTGACGAAAATCTCTGTCCAGGCAATTTATTCTTTATTTTAGGGAAAGTATAGAAATCATTAAATGAGGATATCCGCAGTAAAACCAGAGTGACCGGCATAGCCCAACGGATTAGTAAGCTGAAGTGGCAATGGCCCGGCCACATAGTTCGAAGAACCAATAACCGATGGGGAAGAAAGGTTCTTGAGTGGCAGCCTCGTACCGGTAGGCGTAGTGTAGGGCGACCCCCCACTAGATAGAGTGACGACCTGGTAAGATATGCAGGAAGTCGATGGATGCAGGTGGCTCAGGACCGTGCTTTGTGGCATTACTTGGGGGAGGCCTATGTTCAGCAGTGGACTTGTGAAGGGCTGTAATGATGATGATGATGATGATAGAAATCATTAGGGCTTAGGTCGGGGCTGTACGGCGGATGGTCTAATAAATTCTATGTTTTCTTGCTCTAAAAACGCTTTTGTTGTGTGCGGTGTGAGAACTCGCATTGTCGTGATGGAGGATGATGCGGCGGTTGCAGTTCTCTTTACGGAGTTCAGAATCGACCTGTGGCAAACAAGTGCTAGCATACCATTCTGCATTAACCGTTCTTTGTCCCTCAAGAGGAATAGTCGTAACATGGCCGGTTTTGGAGACAAACGTGGCCACCATTTTTTTGCAACACTCCGTGAACGAACAAATTTTGTTGGCTTTAACTAATTTTCGAACACCCAAACTCGTGACTGGTTTTTTGTTTCGGGTTCGTACGCGTATATCCAGGATTCGTCACCTGATACGATGTTGTATACAGCATTTGAGGATCCTGCGTGGAATCTTTAGAGAGTTCTGACGCACCAAGTAACGCGAGCCGCTTTTTGCTCTTCACAGAGCGAATGCGGTATCCATCGGGAAAACAACTTTTTTACACCTAATTGTTCATGCAAAATTATTTGTATTTGATTCATGCCAATGTATAAAGTTGCCTGAATTTCGCGGTATGTCACATATCGATCTTCTTTAATCAGCTTACGTACAGCATCAACGTTTTCTTGGGTGACTGCAGTTTTTGGACGACCTTGACGGGGATCATAACTGAGCTTGACACGTCCACGTTGAAATTCAGCAAACCAGCGATAAATTGTGGTTTTGGATGGGGCTTCATCACCAAATGCAGAAATCATACGGTCAATAAGTTTCACAAAACCTTGTGACAAGACCGAGAACCTTTTTTTAAATAAATAAATAGTATTCGAAATGATTTCTTATATTTACGCGAACACTACACATTGATTAAAACTACTTTTACGGATTTTATCGCTTTTATTTTACTATTATTTTTAATTCCCGACGTTTCGGGCACTTTCCAGCACCCATGGTCACGGGGTACTGAGATGACTGACGTCGTCGTTTAGTTTTAATGTTATTGATTATAGGATCCCAAGCAGTTGGTAGTACCCAGCCCCCTTCTCTATTGAAATTAGGATGTTTTTTAATTTCAATAGCCTCACGTATCATCCTTGGTAGGAATCGGTGTTCTTTCGCGAGGATTTGTGGTCTATCAAATCTGATGTAATGGTTGGGGCGGTCTAGGATATGATCGCAAACTGCAGACTTCCCGGAACGTTGATGCTTCACATCAGCTATGTGTTCTTTTACGCGGGTTCTAATTGATCTTTTTGTTTGTCCTATATAAGCGAAAACACATTCACAATCAAGCTTGTACACTCTTGCATCTTGTAGAGGAATATGCCACTTGAATGATGGTAGGAACTGACTAATCTTCTTCGGCGGCTTGTAGAATGTTCTAATAGAAGCTCGCTTCAAGATGTAGCCAATCTTGTCTGACACCTCTAACATATGGTAGTACAGCAGGCACACGCTCGACTGTGGCCGGCTTCACTCGGTCACTGTGACGTAGGCGCGAGACCCGAAGCTTGTTGTCGTGCAGAACTTGCTTGACGTGCTGAAGCTCGGCGGCCAGGTGTTTGCTGTCACAGATCCCTCGTGCTCTCTGTAACAAAGATTTGCCCACGGTAGCTAACTGTGAAGGATGGTGGTGAGATTTACAGTTTAAATATCGGTTTGTATGGGTCTTTTTCCTATACACAGTGTGACCAATGGTGTTGTTAGGATTTCGGATGACTAACACATCTAGGAAAGGTAAGGAATTACTTGCCTCTAACTCCATAGTAAATTGAATTTTAGAGTTTATGGAATTAAGATGTTCTAAAAAATGCAGTTACTTTGTCTGATGGTAAAATTGTGAAAGTATCGTCTACGTACCGCTTGTAGATCCTTGGTGTAACAGGTGCAGTAAGGAGGGCTTTCTCCTCAAAGTCTTCCATGAATATATCGGCGACAATGGGAGATACAGGTGAGCCCATCGCAACACCATCTACTTGCTTGTAAAACTCTTCCTTCCACAATAGATAGCCAGATGTAAGGCAATGTCTGAGTAATACTGCATATTCTGCTGGCATATTATTTTTCTCTAGTTTCCTAGTTATAATAGAGATGCAGTCTTCAACAGGTAGGCATGTAAATAGAGACTGAACATCAAAACTGACCATGGTTTCATTGTCAGTAAGACGTAGGTCTTTTATCTCACTGACAAAATGGTATGAATCCCTAGTGTGAGCTCTTGTGTGTCCTCTGAGTGGT